ACCTTACTGACAGGCGACCAGGATGTCTTAGAGTTGGAGGACTCAAGATTCCTCTGCCGAACCACCTGACTCCCCTCATGGTTCAGGAGGAAAGTGGGACTACCGTCATGTTTTGCGGACCCACTAGTTAAATGTTTTTTGAGAGGTTTGGGAAATATCAGTACTTTCAGCATTGATGAAAACACCCTTTGAACTGATGGATACGGCAAATTTGGGATCTCTAACTTGGAAAGTAGTTTTCCTGGTGGCTATAACCTCTGCCAAGAGAGCTAGTGAACTCTGTGCGCTTAGAGTACCTTAAATTCCACAAGGATAAGGTGGTACTGCGTACTGATATAGCTTTCTTACCCAAGGTAGCTACGAGGTTTCACACGTCTCAGGAATTGGTTTTGCCTGCATTTTTTCAGAACCCAGAAACAGCAGTGGAGAGAGGGTTACATTCCCTGGATGTGAGAAGGGCATTGGCATTTTATATACAAAGGACTTCCAGCTTCAGGCAGTCTCCTAGACTGTTTGTGAAATATCGAAAGGATACCAGGGGTCTTCCAGTTTCGTCACAGCGTTTATCTGCTTGGATTGTTTCTGCAATCTGTACTTCCTACAGGTTGGCAGGAAAGGAGTTGCCCCAGCAGGTTAGGGGTCACTCAGCGAGAGCTATAGCTGCCTCCACAGCGTTCATGAAGGGTATCCCCTTAGAGACGATATGTAGAGCTGCAATATGGGCCTCTTCTTCTACTTTTGTCTCCCATTACAAATTGGACTGTGTGTCAAGGAGAGAGGCAAACTTTGGTAGAGCAGTTTTGTTCTTGGCGGTGGCATGATCCCGCCAGCCAGAATATAGCTCGCTAGTCTACCACAATGTGCGATTCACAGTTGACTACGACAGGAAATGGGAGGTTGCTTACCTGTAACTGTGGTTTCCTGAGTAGTCACCTGTGAATTCGCACATACCCTCCCTTCCTCCCCTCGAGTGTCATACCACACCTTCTGGCTGCTTTGCGGTGGAAGAGGATTGAGGGCTGGCTCCACCCAGGGGCCTTATTATTATTATTATTATTATTATTATTAAACTTGATTTGTACCCCGCTAGCATCTCCCAAAGGACTCGATGCGGCTTACACAGGCCGAGGCCTCAACACACAATATAACAATACAATCTAAGCAAATCAAACAATTAAAAACGAAATAAAGCAAATTGAACAACAGGCAATAAACAATACACTACATGCAATAAAACTGAGCCAGGCCAGAGTAATGGGTACAAGATTAAAAGTGCTGATGTGACAGGAGGTGTATATGAGGCATTCTAGGGCAAGTGCAGTGTGCGATGTGCAGCAATCATTGGTTCTAGTAAAGTGCTTATGGGACTTGGTAGTGGAGATTTCCTAATCTGGGCAGGCGCATCGGAATAGCCAGGTCTTCAGGTTCTTTCTGAAGACTGCCAATGTAGGGGTCTGTCTAAGATCTTTGGGGAGGGTGTTCCAGAGTCAGGGGGCCACCACGGAAAAGGCCCTGTCCCGCGTCCCCACCAAACGCGCTTGCGACGCAGGCGGGATCACGAGCAGGGCCTCTCCAGATGACCGAAGTGAACACATGGGTTCGTAGATGGAGATGCGGTCACGCAGGTAGGCTGGTCCCAAACCGTTCAGGGCTTTGTAGGTAAGCACCTGCACCTTAAATTGGGCTCGGAAAATAAATGGCAGCCAGTGGAGCTCCTTGAACAGGAGGGTTGACCTCTCTCTGTAAGGGGCCCCAGTTAGCATCCTGGCTGATGTCGTTGGACCAGTTAGAGCTTCCGAGCCGTCTTCAAGGGCAGCCCCACGTAGAGCGCATTGCAGTAGTCCAATCTGGAGGTGACCAAGGCAATCCGCCTTCGCGAGGTACGGTCGCAGTTGGCGCACGAGTCTCAGTTGTGCGAAAGCCCTCCCAGACACCGCCGACGCCTGAGCCTCAAGCGTAAGCAATGAATCCAAGAGGACTCCCAAACTGCGGACCTGTGGCTTCAGGGGGAGTGTAACCCCGTCCAGCACAGGTTGCCACCCTATACCCCGGTCAGGTTTACGATCGACCAGAAGGACCTCTGTCTTGTCGGGATTGATCTTCAGCTTGTTCCTCCTCATCCAGATAGACACAGCGGCCAGGCACTCGTCCAGCACCCGAGAGGCCTCCTTGGAATTAGGTGGAAAGGAATAGTAGAGCTGTGTGTCATCTGCATAGAGGTGGCACCTAGCTCCAAAACTCCGGATGACCTCTCCCAGCGGTTTCATGTAGATGTTAAAAAGCATGGGAGACAGAATAGAGCCTTGCGGGACCCCACAGGTCAAAGGCCAGGGGTCCGAGCAGGCGTCTCCCAGCTTCACCATCTGGGATCGACCCTCCAGGAAGGACCGGAGCCACGACAGAACCGTGCCCCCGAGACCCATCCCAGAGAGTCGACCCAGAAGGATACCATGATTGATGGTATCGAAAGCCGCTGAGATGTCCAAGAGAACCAACAGAGTCACACTCCCCCTGTCCAGCTCTCTACGGAGGTCATCCACCAAGGCGACCAAGGCTGTCTCGGTGCCGTGACCAGGCCTGAAACCAGACTGTGACTGATCTAGGTAGTTGATGTCATCTAAAAAGCCCTGGAGCTGGGAGGCAACCAACCCGCTCCAGCACCTTACCCAAAAAAGGGAGGTTGGAGATCGGTCTGTAATTGTTCAGCACCGTGGAGTCAAGGGAGACCTTTTTAAGGAGTGGACGAACCACAGCTTGTTTCAGGTGAGATGGAAAAAACCCCTGCTCCAATGATGCATTAATGATCAACACAAACCAATCAACCAACCCCTCCCTGGCCGATTTAATTAGCCAAGATGGGCAAGGGTCCAGAGCCGACGTGGTCGCCCCTGGCCGATTTAATTAGCCAAGATGGGCAAGGGTCTAGGGGCGAAGTGGTCACCCTCACAGCCCCAAGGACCTCCTCCACGGTCTCAGGAAGAACAAGCCTAAAAGAATCCCACAAAATTGGACAAGCAGATGCCTCAATCACCTCCTTTGGCACTGCGATGAAATTGGAGTCGAGCTCAAGGCGTATCTGAGCGACTTTGTCTGCAAAATGGTGTGCGAAGTCGCGACACCGAGTTGCCGGGTCGTCAAAAATCTCCTCCACCACAGGTGGCTGAAGGAGCTCCCCAATGACCCGGAACAACTCCGATGATCTATTTGCTGCAGACGCTATACGGGTAGTCGTGTAGGACTCCTTGGCTACCCGTATAGCCACGGTATACGCCCTAAGCGAGGCTGTAGCCCGTGCTCGATCAGACACGTCCCGAGAACTCCTCCAAGTGCGCTCTAGCCCCCTCCTCGCATGCTTCATCACAGCCAGCTCCCCGGTGAACCAGGGAGACAGCTTGTCATGACGCAGTGTGATGGGGCGTTCGGGAGCGATCGCATCTATCGCCCTGGTCATTTCCCTGTTATAGAGATCGACCAAGGCGTCGACAGGGTCGCCAGGCTCCATGGCAGGAAAAACCAAGATTCCTCAGGAATCCCATCGGATCCATCAGTCTCCTGGGGCGGACCATCTTAATTTGTCCTCCACCCCTGCGGAGGTTTAGGGTCACAGAAAGTCTAAAACTGACCAGATAGTGATCAGACCATGACACAGGAAGGATGTTTTGTTCTTCCACTCTGATCATTCCACTGTCCGCCACAAAAACTAGGTCGAGTGTGTGTCCAGCCTGATGGGTAGGACCAGATATAATTTGTGATAGCCCCATGGTCGTCATGGCGGCCATGAAATCCTGTGCTGCACCAGTCAAGGGGGTCTCAGCATGAATGTTAAAGTCTCCCAGCACAATCAGGCGCTGGGAGACCAAGGCCGAATTGGAGACCACCTCTGCTAGCTCAGTCAGGGAATCTACTGGGTCGCGGGGTGGGCGGTACACCAGCAGAAACCCCATGCTATCACGGTTCCCCACCCTCAGGTGGACACACTCAAACCCAGATGCTTGCGGAACAGAGCATCTGACCACGGCGATGGATTGCCGATAGACAACTGCGACCCCTCCTCCCCGCCCCCCCAGCCTGGCCTGCTGATGCACTCCGAAGCCCGGTGGGCACAGCTGAGTGAGATTTACTCCCCCCAGCTCGTCCAACCAGGTCTCGGTAATGCAAGCCAGATCCGCCCCCCCATCCAGGATCAAGTCCTGAATGGCAGCAGTCTTACCATTGACGGATCTGGCATTAATCAGCAAGACCTTAAGGCTGAGGGGACTGCCATGGGGCCTACCATTTCCTACCTTCTCCAAGGTCGCAAATACTCTATTGCGCTTCTCCCTGGGGTGTCGGTGAACTTATATACTCGAGGGGGGGGGTGGAGCCACGAGGGGGATACAATTCTTTAGACTTTCTAGAAGGTTCCGAAGTTGGCCTGCGCAGGCGCAGGAATGCCACAATGTGCGAATTCACAGGTGACTACTCAGGAAACCACGGTTACAGGTAAGCAACCTCCCATTATTCTGATTGACTGATTAGAACCATGAATCTGAAGCTAAAAGAGTTACCATTGTATTTCTGGCCAAAGAAGGTTGTGCACCTATGGAAATCCATCATTCCTTGAAGAATGCTTATGATTTGGCCCCTTCAGGCTTTTACCTGTTTGGACCTCTGAAAGACAACCTATGTGGTTTCAGATTAAATGACTTGAATGAAGTTCAAACAGCTTTAAAATCATGGGTCACGAAGCAAAAACCTGAATTTTTCCAAAATGGCTTTGATGCGAGTTAATCGATGCCGCAGATATGTACAAATTTATGGTGACTTTGTTGAACTGTAGTTTTGCGTAAAGGACAGTTCAGGCTATGATCTGTAGCAACTTCTGCTGTTATATGTTCATTCATATCATTTTTATGATTTAGGAGGCAAAACTTTTTGACCCACACTCGTATTTGTGCCTGAGATCCTGGTCCGGTTGGTTTTCCCAGGTGAACCCACTGGTTTCAACTTTCCCTTTGCAGGGGCTGACCAGGCCTCCGTAGGCACACATAACCACATCCAGCTGGTGAGAACGCAAATCCAAGAGGCCCGCCAGCTGTCGCAGAAGGCCGAGAGTAAGCTAGCTGAGGTCCAAACAGAGGAGCTCATGAAGCTGAAGGAAGAGGAGGCCTTGGCAGCTGCAAGGCGCCAGGCCAGTGTGGAGGAGGCAGAGGAGGCTTATCTTCGTGAAGACTGAAGAGGTGAAAGCTGCAAGGATGGTAACCCTGTTCCGTTAAAAGCCTAGAGGCAGAAAGGCCTTGGACCTCAGCAGCCCCTTTAGCTTGACCACAGGCCCTGAACTGGGGAGGTGCATTTCCAGCCTGTTGGGGAAAGTTAATTCTACTTGAATGTACAGCTGTACAAATGTGAAAACAAACACCAGAGATGCCTGTTTGTGTCTCTTGTGATCTCCAAGTGGAAACCGAAATTACAGAGAGAAATTAAATCGCTCCTTCAACTCCCCAAAGCCTGGAGGTTACTGCAGGTTCAAATCCACAAGGGCTTTTTTTCTCTCTTCTTGTGTTCTAAAAATGCTTGTTTGTGTTTGTGATGAACAATTGTGCCTAGAGTTTCAAAAATGTTTTTGTGTTGTGTTTCTTAAAAATCCGTTTGGAGGAGAAAGATAACTTCTGTGTTGTTCTCTTAATTCTACAGACATCCTTTACTAAACCCAGTTTTTAAAATAAAGACAAGTAAAACGAGTGCTCTGAATGGTAACTGAAAGGGAAAATGCTTAATGGGTAGCTGTACAGCTAAGACATTGAGCCAGCTGAGAGATGTGCATGCTATCATCTGTCTATGCAAAGCTAGGATGTGTAACTGCTAAAAGTTACCGCAGGATCTCAGGAAACCTGGCCAAAATTTGAATACTTTGCATTTTAAGTATTTATTGGCCACAAAGGAGAGAAGGTTGGTTTAGCAATAAGGAAAGATGGTATATACAACATGGCAAAGAGATATGGCAGTGGTGGAGGGCATTTGGAGAGGTGCCTACGAAAAACCTGGTAGAGAGGTGGGAATTGTGCCCAGATGTTGTAGGAACTGCAACTTCCAACATCCCTCACCCCTGGAAGTTGCAATTCAGCGACATCTGGGGAGTATTAAAAGGAAGATAAAACGGTAGAAGGGTTTTCACGAGAGAGACCCAACGCTCACCTCTGAAAACACCGCAAGGCTTTAAGAAACAGAGAAATCACTCCTCAAGTGAAAGAAAATAATTTGAAAAGGCACTTCTGTTCCTTCCTAATGCATCATGCCAGCTTTTCAAATATGTCCAGAAAGAAAAATACTGTGAGCATTTACAATTTCCCTTCTTGCACATCTCTTCTGTGCCCCTGACAGCTTAACAAAGGAAGGGAGAAGACCCAGACTCCTTCTCCACTGCCATACACAATCCAGATTATCTGCTTTGAACTGGGTTGTATGGCAGTGTAGATTAATATAATCCAGTTCAAAGCAGATCATCTGTATTTGATATGGGTAGATGGGGCCCCAGTGGTTTTCCAGTTCACAAGGCAGGCTTGCCACCTGGGAGCTGTACTTGCCATTAATCCCCATCCAAGGGACCACTTACAAAGCTGTGGCATTGATTTATTTTTCCGCCTTTGCAGCAGCCATCCAGAACATTTGCTTCACCACTTGTTGTGCCATCCCTTTTAGCAATATGACATTGGTTTCACTGCAAAGGACAGAAAGTGAAGCAGGGTTAGCAGACAGTGTTTGACTGACCTCCACCCCGAAATCACATGGAATATTCTGACTAGCAAAACACAGGCTTGCACATGATTTATTACAGGTATTACACAATGGTTGGTGTGCTATTTCTCGTTAAGTTACCACATGAAACATTACAACACGGAAACAGTATAACAGTCCATAGAGAGGCGAGTATGCAAGTTACCAGACACAAATGACCCGTACATGCTTATCTGAAAAGACCAGCTGTTTAAGCCTAGTGAATCTGCCTATACTTGGGTCAACAGCAGAGCACTTCAAGTTTGCAAGAAAAGGGCAGAGCAGCTTCTTGCTGCAGACAGAAATCTCCAAGGCTCTCTTGTGCCACATTTTTCACTATCTTAACTACCATTTATTCTTTTCTGTTTCCATCCCCTGGGAATTCCAGAAATAGTAGTTAACTAGCAAACTTTGGAAATCTTTCACAGACATTGCAGAAGCCCTGACAGCTACTGAAAAAAAATCAATAGTGATTTGAAACAAGAATGGAGCCATGCCTCAGTGGCAGATTAGAAGAGGTAAAATCAACGTCCCAGCTTGATGTTCATCAAAGAACTCAAGGAGGCAGACCGGGAGGCGGAATCCCTGATACCGTCATATACCTTCATATCTGAGCTTGCAAAAGTTAATTCTTTGGGGCTACAAATCCCAAAATCCCGAAGTGACTTTCTCAAGACAGACTTCAGACCATACCCTGAAGCTATCCTTCCTCCAGAGAGGTGAAACTACACTATCAGTATGATCATGTTTAGGATGACTACAGAAACTCTCCTGCTGGTTTTGGATAAGTAGGGAGCATTGCATATTTGTTGTCCAAGTTGCTCCTGTCTCCTCCTGACCAAAGTGAATCAAATCCAAACAAAGCACTGTCAAGTTCCTCCCATTCCAGGGCAGGTTAACCACAAACTTAACGCAATTCAGTGGCATTAAAGGGGTTTCACTTGGAAGGGGTTCTGCCCTCTCTGCAACCAGGTAAACACCAATTTATTTTTTAAAACCTGGTCTCAAAACTATCCAGTCAAGGAATGCAACTGGTAAGCAAAACAACTGGAAGTGAGACAACAATTGTAAGTAGATGAGTGCTCTGATAGATTACATCAGAAGGGCCAACCCGTTTTCTTCCACTAGTGAATTATGGTCCTATAGAACAATCCACTAGCAGGGCATAAAGGTGAAGCCCTTCTGCTACATCTTTGTGAACTATACTATTAGTAAACCTGGAAGCTCTGTGTCGTCATCATCACACAGTGACAAGGAAAGTTCCTTTTCGGCCTTACTGGCTGGAACTTTTCTGGAAGCAATAGTTCAGTGATTCTCAACCTGGGGTCCCCAGATGTTTTTGGCCTACAACTCCCAGAAATCCCAGCCAGTTTACCAACTGTTAGGATTTCTGGGAGTTGAAGGCCAAAAACATCTGGGGACCCCAGGTTGAGAACCACTGCAATAGTCCAAAAGAATTGACTTTTGGAAAGTCATGTGGGCCCCCAACCCATTGAAAACTTCTGTAAACAATTATACACAAAGGGAGAAGCATCAGTGCAAGCAAAGTTATCCTACTGTAAACACCCTCATGTTGAAATCAAAAGGAAATGTTCATATCCATTTAAGCCAGTGCCCATCAAAGTCCATGACACACTGCACCAGACGCACCCAAATCTGCCCTATAGTTTCGAGGTCCCTGACGTGGCACATCTGAGGCCATCGTCTTTCAGCAGCGTCCACATGACCCAAAGCTCCGTCGGGTTCAGTTTGTGTACGATCATCAGTTCTTTGTAGAGGCAGGGATCAAATGGATTAAAGGGCCTCTGGATTCCAAAGGTCTTAAAGCCAGGGTGGTGCGTGGGGGTCAGGCCCATTTTGGCCAAGCACATCCCAACAAAGACATCATCAATGGGGAAGAGCTCGGTGTCCTCGCCCGTGGCCTGCAGCCGTTGGGCTGTCCGCTGCGACATGACGTAGCCACCACCGCCAGCATAGAGGGGATAGAAGGGCGCTGGGTACATTGTCTCCGGGATGAAATACTTAGCCTTGGTGTTCCTGATGGGCCGGGCTTTGCTGATGACGTCTCCAGCAAAGAGGTCCTTTTCTGAGTCCAAATCTTTCAGGAATTCAATGATGTTGTACGTGTTCACAAAGACATCATCGTCCCCCTTGAGCACGAAGTGAGTTTGAGGGCAGTCCTCCACCAGCCACCGAAGAAAGTGCAGCTCCTTTAGCGTCAGGTTAAAGAAGTTATCGACAAAATCCCACTGCAGAATGTCGTCAAACTCCAGGCTTTCGTAGAGCAGGAGTTGCTGGAGGGAGTGAGCCTGAACCTTGACCTGAGAGCGGCCAAGTAAAAACACCAGCCGTACCAGCTTGCTGCCAATGACCCTCTCTTTCCCCCACGTGTTCCTGATGGTCACTCGGCGGTCTACATTCACTGGGGCGGACTTGATTGCTAGGACCAGGAAGGTCTCCGCCTTGCATTCGGAGGGCTTCAGCAGAGTCGAAAAGTTCCGGCAATGTTTGGAGGTTAAAAAAACACGGTGAACTTCTGGGAGGGAAGCTGAGGCATTTGCAACCGTAGGGTCTGGTAAGCAATTTGGAGACTCCGCCAGTTCAAGGACTCTGAATGTCCGCTTCAGACTTGGCCGAGGCGGTTTCCTACTTGCTGAAGGCAACTTGGGGTCCTTCCTGAAGTATACCAGACATGCCAGCAATGAGGCAAACAAGATGTAGACTGAGAAATTTCTTGCCCTGGGCTGCATCTCAAAGGCTGCAGAAGAACTGAGTGCCTGTGTGACAGAAAGCAGAACACCATTAGCCTGACAGTCCTTGTGCTTCACAACAACCATAATCCCTGGACTATTACCCTAGGTAAAGACATATTACTCCAAACTCCCCACTCAGCACTCCAAATATGCTAGATTACCATCCCCAGCTGTGACAGCAATTGGCCATGTTGGGTGGCTACAATGACAGTCCACTGCATCAAGAAAGTACCAGTTTGGAAAGTCTGTCCTAGTCCAGTCAAATACTTTTTAGTTCAACGGGGAATCAAATCTGCAGATATTTACATCTGAGTAAGCGAGCCACCGTGGTGTAATGGTTTGAGCATCGGACTACAGTTTGGGAGACCAGAGCTCAATTAAATCAACCAAGGGACTCCGCTGGGTGCCCTTGGGCAAATCACACTCTCTCAGCCTGACAGCTAAGGTAAGCCTCTTCTGAACAAATCTGGCCAAGAAAATCCTTTGATAAATTTGTTTCGGGGTTGCCACAAACCAAGAAACAACTTGAAGGCACACAACAAAAAACAAGCACATTCCAAAGCAAGGAGTGCACTTTTTAAATCCTGACATGCATGTATTCATGGCAGCAGAAGAGGCATTCCCTCCTTCGTAAGAGGAAATGGAAACGCATCTTCAATGACGCTTGCCAAACTTAGTTTCTGAAGTAGTTTCTGTGTTGATGCACAGGCGGAACCATGTTCCCATGGAGATGCTTCTTTGTAGTTGAGATATATATATATATATATATATATATATATATATATATATATTCAATGTCCCCCAATGGGGTGACTTTCTGTTATCTTGGACACCAACATGGTGTCTGTAGTCAAAAGCATCAGGAAGACCTATGGTTGGGAAAGGCTGCTTTGGCTCTTAAATCCATTCAATGTGGCATTCGGTTTATGCTTCTCTTGCTGAAAATCTCACTTCTGCCTGTAAGTAATTCCACTGTGTTGCTGTGAGAAGGCAGCCTGTTCACCTCCTGCAATTCTAAACACTGAATTTGGCCCCACTCGGGTTTCTCAGGCTGAGAGTTAGAGTTTTCATTCCAGTCCTCCCCAGCAAACAGGAATCAAGTTACGTGTACCCAGGACGAGAGAAAGTACATTTTATCAGGCACAGGCAGCGAGTCCACACCTGGGGATCTTGTGCACTTGAGAGTCAACATACCTGTGCCACTTCTGCACCTCTGACATTCCCATGGATCCCTTTGCTGTTCACTTTTGTACTGCGCACCCTCGAGGCACCTGGGACTGGCGAAGGGAGGCAAAGGAAAAGCATTCTCCTCTACAAGAGCTCCACAGATCGGTGCGCAACTATTTGGCTCCTGGCTATTTTTAAAAGGTGTGAAAATTGCACTGCAAGCAGACAAAGCTCTCTTAGTCAGACAAATCTGTTTAAAACCCAGGAAGCCATAACGATGTTGGACCCACAAGCCTGCATATTGTCTCTAGGTAGTGAGGAAGAGTATTCAGGCTCCTGAGGCACCGCTTGCTGGGACCAAAAAAACAAAACAAAAAACAAACCATAAAAATGTAATAACATGTGTTATTACCTTGTAGAACTTTATATATATATACACACACACACACACACAACCGTATATTCTGGCATATAAGACGACTGGGCGTATAAGACGACCCCGAACTTTTCCAGTTAAAATATAGAGTTAAGACAACTCCCATGCATAAGACTACACCCGTGTATAAGACGACCCCTGACTTTTGAGAAGATTTTCTTGAGTCTTATACGCCAGAATATACTGTGTGTGTGTATGTATGTGTGTGTGTGTGTGTATATATATATGAAAAGTCCATGTATGTATGTATGTATGTATGTATGTATGTATGTATGTATGTGGCGATGTTTCCTTCTGCTTTCTGACTGGCTGCCACTTCCACAGGCCACTGCAACCCCCACGAATGACAGGCAAGGACCAAACTTGGCACACAGACCCCCCCCTCCCTCCATGACCCATCACACATTCTGGTGTGGTTTGGGGGAGGATGGACCATGGATGATGGGATTTGCAGTACTTTCAATCGCTTTGACTCCCACAGAACACTGTGACCCCCACAAATGACGGATCAGGACCAAACTTGGCAGACAGAGCCCCCATGAGCCACTGTACATTCTGGTATGGTTTGGGGGGGGGGGCTGACCATTGATGATGGGATTTGCAGTACCATCACTGGATTCAGTGATATTACCTAACATCCCAAAACTAATAATGCCTTCTCCTAGTAACCCGGGCACCACAGGATCCCCAAGCTAGTACAAATAAAAATGAAAATATGTAGGTATGTGGCTGAGGCGCCCACTTTCACAGACAGGCTCCCACTTCCACAAACAACTATGATCTCCATCTATGGGAAGCCACCAAAGGCCCTCCCTCCAGTGACATTGCAGGTTATAGTGACCTCCACAAACACAAGACTGCCCACCACTCAAGTGAAGGCTTTCGTATGGGGACAATTTCATCCTAGATTGTATGTGTTTCCTCCACCACAAACATCTCAGTCTTTCTGACTCTCCATTGGTGTGGAATTTGCATCATTCCGCCCACTGCCTCTTCCATCACCCTTTCCTACTCTTTTCTGCAGAGCACAGCAAACAGAGCAGAACTGATAAGCAACTGAACATACTGGAGAAGTTTGGGGGACTGACTCAATGGAAGTTGTAGTTCACCCTGCATCAAGCATTGTGACCCCCACCTTCAATGGACCAGGACCACATTTGGCAAGCAGAACCCACATGACCAACGAAAAATACTAGAAAGGTTTGGGGTGAATTTACCTTGATTTATAGGAGTTGTAGTTCACCTATAACAAGAAAGCACGGTGAGAGCATGGAGCTGGGCCCTCAGGTGCTTGCTCTACATTGCTGTGTGCATCATCATGATCCCAAATGATGGTGCACACATGCCTGATATGCCCAAATTTGAATACTGGAAGATTTTTGGGAGGGATTGACCATGATTTTTGGAGTTATAGTTCACCCATAACCAGAGAAACTGAACTCCACCAACGATGGACCTGAATCAAACTTGGCACACAGAACCTCCATGACCAACTGCAAATACTGGAGGGGTTTGGGGGGAACTGACCTTCAATTCTGTCGTTCGCTTACATCAGAGACACTGTGACCACCACGATGACGGATTTGAACCAAACTTGGCACACAGAACTGCTATGACCAACTGAACCTACTGGAGAGATTTGAGGGGACTGACCCACCATGGTGGGAGCTGTAGTTTATCCTGCAGCCAGAGATCGCACTGAACCCACCAATGATGCACCTAGAGCAAACTTGCCCAACATGACAAACTTTAACTACTGATGGAGTTTCAGAGGGTTCACCTGGCATGATGTGATTTGTAGTTTACCCACAACCTTATGCATTTTGTAAAATATAAAAATGACATTTTCAAATAACCCCAAGCTAGTAATCAATAAAGCTGTCTCTATTGGCAGCATAGCTCAGAGATCACTTTGCTCAAAGAGTACTCTAGGGATGAATTTAGGCTCTGGATCAGGCAAAGTTTATCTATGGAAGCCGATCTGGGCAACTTTACCTGTTGCTTGAGGGAAAATCCTTTGCCTGCTGATGAAACCTTTGCCTGCTGATGATAACCCAGAGCTGGCATTCCTCCCATAGCATTTGAAGACAGCATAACAGCCAGCATCTGCTTGGTGACGCACAAAGGCACGCGTCCAGCTTATAAATGTGTATTCTTGCGGTCGTCCAGATGGCAGGATTCAGCTCTCCCGTCCGCACTGACCCTTAAAGCTCTGATAGGCATCCCACGTTGCAACGGCGCTCCCTAGTTTGTGCCACAAGGCATCATGGGACTAATGTGCATTGCTCACTTTGCAGGCTCTCCTATGTAGCAACATAACGACAGCTCTTGACTGGATGTGGATCCTGACACTCGCTTTTCATTCCTGCACGCGGACATTCACTTTCCAACCCCACAAAAGGATCCCACAAAAGGATAATTTTTCAGTGGGATCTCAACACATAACCTTTGATGCTTTTTGGCTGCCCTTTTGAAATTGATCCTGTTGGGAGTCACCTTGAGTGCAAATTGTGGGAGAAAGATAGTTCATGGACACTTGCCCAGAATACAAAGCCTGGAGATAAAATACTGAGTACTAGTGCAAACACAAGAGCTTCAGATTGGAAGCCTTTCCCTCTCGCACAATGCAGGCTCCAGTTGTGCTCTGATAACCACAGATTTGAACCTACTCTGCCATCCCCCATAAACATCCCATTGCATCAACTGCCCTTGTGCATCTGCATGAAAGACATCAGGGCTGCCCAGCTGTCTGCACATTTCTTGATGACATTGGTTGCAAACACAGGATGCAAGTGGGTGGAAAATACCCAAACCCCGACAAGATGCCACAGATTGGCCCCGATTTGACCACAGTGCAGGTGCTGAGCTTTCTGGGGGTGTAAAAAGGATCATTTTGGGTAAAAAGGATGCCCTGCTTCCTCCTGCAGGCCCTGCTCAGTCCCGTATGAAATGCTGCTGCAGCGCACAGCAGCAAATCATTGGGAAGCCCCACAGTCTAGACCAAGCCAACCGGAAAGAAAAGCCAGAGGATGTCTGCAATGCCAGCGATGTCTGACTGGAAGGCGGCCCAACAGCAAAGCCATGCCTTGTCTAGATGGGACTTGCCAGCCTTCAACCACGTTGACTTTCATCCCGAGTCTGGCTTCCCAAGGGATGAGAATAACATGCTACTAGAGTTGGAAGAGCCTCCCTCCTCCCCAGGGCCATCCACTCCAACCCCTATCTATCTATCTATCTATCTATCTATCTATCTATCTATCTATCTATCAAAAACATTTATGTTGTGCCCTTTTCACCCCGAAGGGGACTCAGGGCAGAGCACAACATATATATGGCAAACATTCAATGCCGGGACATAAAACCATAAATATATACAAACATTAAAATCACTTATATCCACTTTAAAATCAGTTGCTAAAAAACCATCTCAAGACACCATTCTATTATTGCCTCATTGCACTGCCCCAAAGGCTTGGTCCCACTGACAGGTCTTCACCATCCTTCGGAAGGACAGGAGGGAGGGGGCTGATCTAATATTGCCAGGAAGGGAGTTCCATAGCCGGGGGCAATCACCGAGAAGGCCCTGTCTCTCATCCCTGCCAAACGTGCCTGTGATGGTGGTGGGACTGAGATCAGCCCCCCCCCCCCAAAAAAAAGATCTTAGTTTTCTCAGTGGTTCGTAGAGGGAGGTGTGTTCGGACAGGTAAATTGTGCCGGGGCTGTTTAGGGCTTTATAGGCCAGAGCCAGCACTTTGAATCTTCTGCCACAAAGGAAGACACAATCCAAGACCTCTAGATAGATGAACTATACTTAAAAACCTTTAAAGGACGAAGGAGATTCTACCAGACTCCCGGGCAGCAGCATATTCCATTGCTGAAGAGCTCTCACCATCAGGAAGTTTCCCTATCATTTGAACCCATGGTTCCACTGAGTCCTAGTCTCCAGGCCAGCACAGAAACACTAACCAAGCCCTCCTGACAGAGGGCCAGCCAGCCATAGATATGGTAGATGTGGTGGAGATATATAAATATAGATATAGATAGATAGGACTGAGAGAAAGAGGATAGGTGTATCATAGAATTGGAAGGGAGCCCCAGGGCTGTCCAGTTCAACCCCTTTTTCCCAGGCAGGGAGGCACCACCCAAGCCCTCCCAACAGAGGGTCAGCCAGCCATGGATGGGATAGATAGGATGGAGAGAGATGATGGGTGTATCATAGAATCTTGGAGATGGATGGGACCCCCAAGGCCTCCTGCTAGGCAGGGAGGCACACCACCCAAGCACTCCCGGCAGAGGCCAGACAGCCATAGATAGGATAGAGAGGGGGGATAGAGAGAGGGGGGGGATTGAGAGAGATCATCATCATCATCTTTAATTACTTATTAATCACCCTCCATCTGAGATGCTCCAGGCGATTTACATAGCAGAAATTATACAGGATAAAACACATACATACAAATATTAAAATTAACATGGGTCAAATGCTCTAGTAAAAAGCCAGGTCTTAAGTGCTAGGATAAAATGCCCTAAGTCACACATGGCTCCCAAATAGGGAGGCAAGGAATTCCATAAGGCAGGGGCAGAAACAGAGAAGGCCCTGATAGACAATATCATCTCCCTGATAGAGATGATAGATGTATCATGGAATCCTAGAGTTGGAGGAGAGCTCCAGGACCATCTAGTCCAGCCCCCTTCTGCCAGGCGGGGAGACACCATCCAAGCCCTCCCGACAAAGGACCATCCAGCCATGGATGGGATAGATAGTATGGAGATGAGATAGGACTGAGAGAGATATATATATGATGGGCGTATCATGGAAGCCTAGAGTTGGAAGAGATCCCTCAAGGGCACCCAGTCCAACCTCTTTCTCCCAAGCAAGGAGACGCCCATCCAAGCCCTCCTGACAAAGGGCCACCCAGCCATAGATAGCATGGAGATAAGATAGGATTGAGGGAGAGGTGATAGGTGTATCATGGAATCCTAGAGCTTGAAGATGGCTCCATGGCCATCTAGTCCAACCCCCTTCTCACCATCCAAGCCCTCCTGACCGAGGGCCAGCCAGTCATACATAGGATGGATAGAATAGAGAGAGAGAGATGTTGGGTGTATCATAGCATCCTATGATGGAAGGGAGCCCCAGGGAAGGGAGACACCACCCAAGCCCTCCCTACCTCGCATTCTGGAGGTTTCAAAGCAAAGGCTGGATGTGCCTCTGTCGGAAGGGCTTGGGTAGTGTCTCCCTGCTTGGCAAAAGGGGGTTAGACTGGGTGGCCCTAGAGTTCCCTTCCAACTCTAGGATTCCATGATACACCGATCATATATCTCTCTCAATCCTCTCTCTCTTCATCCTATCTATGGCTGACTGGCCCTCTGTCGGGAATGCTTGGCTGGTGTCTCCCTGCCTGGCAGAAGGGGGTCAGACTGGATGGCCCTGGGGCTCCCTTCCCACTCCAGGATTCCATGACACCCATCACCTCTCTCTCTCTCTCCCCTCATTCTCTCTCTCCATCCTATCTATCCCATCTATGGCTGGCTAGCCCTCTGTCGGGAGGGTTTGGGTGGTGTCTCCTTGCCTGGCAGAAGCGGGTCGGACTGGATGGCCTCGAGGGGTCTCTTCCAACGTGAGGACTGTATATTCTCTCCACAGAGGGGGTGTCTGAACCAGGCCCGCGTGGAATCTTTCCCTCTGGGCCCCTCCTCACCTGAGGCGCTTCGTGGAAAGAAGCAGGCAAGCAGGCAGGCAGGCGGCTCCCCTCAGGTTCCTCGGCCAGGAGGAGTTAGAAGAAGAAGACGCGGCCCGGCTGAGGAGGGCATGGCTCTTCTCCCTCCGCCTCCGCTCTTAGCCACCAAACCCGCACCCTGCCTTTGGCCAAAATGGTCATTCAAATCTGCGCTGCCGGTGGGGGCGGAACCGCGCCTGCGCACCTCCCTCAGGGTCCTCCTCCCCCCTCGCTGGCCATCGTCAAGGTGATTACGAAGTGAGTGTGGTACCCGCTGGCGCCAAAACCGGCATGCCCCGCCCACTTGACTCACTCCAATGGTGGTATCCATCTCTCTCTCTCTCTCTCTCTCTCTCTCTCTCCCTCCAGGGACCTCTAGAGTTGGGACTCCCAAAGGCCATCTAGTCCAACCCCATTCTGCTAGGTTAAGAAGACACCACCAAAGCCATCCAGCCTCTGATTTCCAACCTCCAGAGGAACGGACCCCCACCCAGAAAAACGATCATGATGACTTCCAAGTAGAATAATGGCACAAGACATGGAGAGAGAGTTGCCAGATGTACAAGCTGGGTTTAGAAAAGGCAGAGGAACAAGTGACCAAATTGCCAATATCGGCTGGATAATGGAGAAAGGGAGTTCCAGAAAAACATCTATTCCTGTTTTATTGACTATTCTAAAGCGTTTGACTGTGTGGATCATAATAAATTGTGGCAAGTTCTGGGTGGTATGGGGATACCAAGTCACCTTGTCTGTCTCCTGAGGAATCTGTATAAGGACCAAGTAGCAATAGTCAGAACTGACCATGGAACAACAGACAGGTTCAAGATTGAGACAGTCGTATGGCAAGGCTGCATACTCTCACCCAACCTATTCAACTTGTATGCAGAACACATCATGCAATGTGTGGGGCTTGATGAATGCATTACTGGAGTTAAAATTTCTGGAAGAAACATTAACAACCTTAGATATGCAGATGACACCACTGTGATGGCCAAAAGCGAGGAGGAGCTGAGGAGCCTTCTAATCAAGGTGAAAGAAGAAAGCACAAAAGCTGGGTTGCAGTTAAACATAAAAAAACCAAGATTATGGCAACAAGAATGATTGACAACTGGGAAATAGAGGGAGAAAACGTGGAGGCTGTGACAGACTTTGTATTTCTAGGTGCAGATTACTGCAGACGCAGACTGCAGCCAGGAAATCCGGAGACACTTACTTCTTGGGAGGAGAGCAATGTCCAATCTCGATAAAATAGTGAAGAGTAGAGACATCACACTGGCAACAAAGATCCACATAGTTAAAGCAATGGTATTCCCTGTAGTCACCTACAGATGTGAGAGCTGGACCTTAGGGAAGGCTGAGCGAAGGAAGATAGATGCTTTTGAACTGGAGGAAAGTTCTGAGAGTGCCTTGGACTGCGAAAAGATCCAACCAGTCCATCCTTCAAGAAATAAAGCCCGACTGCTCATTGGAGGGAAGGATAGTAGAGACAAAGTTGAAGTACTTCGGCCACATAATGAGAAGACAGGAAAGCTTAGAGAAGACAATGATGCTGGGGGAAATGGAAGGAAGAGGGGCCGACCAAGGGCAAGATGGATGGATGGGATCCTTGAAGGGACTGGCTTGACCCTGAAGGAGCTGGGGGTGGTGACGGCCAACAGGGAGCTCTGGCGTGGGTTGGTCCATGAGGTCACGAAGAGTGACTGAACGAATGAACAATAACAATGGCACTATGTCACAATACTTGAAAAATGTTCTGCTCCTGGTTTGAAAGCCTTATTTCCTGCTTCATTGTGCGGTCCTGGCTTTGAAACTTTTTTCAAGTATTGTATTCCAGAGAAGGGAAGAAAGAGAGTGGGGCATGGGGGGCATTGTTCTTCAAATAGTAGAATATGAGAGTTGGATGGGGCCCCAAAACATAGGAAGACACAATCCAAGCCCTTCAAACAGATGACCATCTAGCTGTAGCTAGATAGCAACAGATATGATATGGTTGACACAGAGAAAGAGAGATGATAGATATGGAATCATAGAGATGGAAGAGGGCTATTCATGTCAACATTAATATGTCCAAACGCAGCTCCCCAAACCAAAAAGGAAATCATGCCAAATTAATTATCTATCTATCTATACACATAATAAAAGTGAAAATATGTATGTGTATGGCTGGGGTGCCCACTTTCACAGACAGGCTCCCACTTCCACAAGCAGCTGTGATCCCCATCCATTTATTTATTTATTGTGTCAGGAGCAACCAGACAGTTGTATTACATTTTCAACAAAACAAAACAAACAAACAAACAAACAGACAGACAAACCACAGAGTTTGCAAGCTTGGTAGTTGATTAAATGTCCTTTGACCAGTAGCTGGCCACTTGGAGTGCCTCTGATGTTGCCACAAGGAGGTCCTCCATTGTGCAGGTGGCAGGGCTCAGGTTGCATTGCAGCAGGTGGTCTGTGGTTTGCTCTTCTCCACACTCGCATGTCATGGACTCCACTTTGTAGCCCCATTTCTTAAGATTGGCTCTGCATCTCGTGCTGCCAGAGCCCAGTCTGTTCAGCGCCCTCCAAGTCTCCCAGTTTTCTGTGTGCCCGGGGGGGGGGGGGGGAGCCTGCCACTTTTGGACTCTCGCTTGCTGAGGTGTTCCAGCGAGTGTCTCTGTAGATCTTAGAAAACTATTTATTGATTTAAGTCGTTGACGTGCTGGCTGATACCCAAACAAGGGATGAGCTGGAGATGTCTCTGCCTTGGTCCTTTCACTATTGGCTGCTACTTCCCGGCGGATGTCAGGTGGTGCAATACCGGCTAAGCAGTGTAATTTCTCCAGTGGTGTCGGGCGCAGACACCCCGTGATAATGCGGCATGTCTCATTAAGAGCCACATCCACTGTTTTAGCGTGGTGAGATGTGTTCCACACTGGCATGCATACTCAGCAGCAGAGTAGCATAGCGCAAGGGCAGATGTCTTCACTGTGTCTGGTTGTGATCCCCAGGTTGTGCCAGTCAGCTTTCGTATGATATTGTTTCTAGCACCCACCTTTTGCTTGATATTCAGGCAGTGCTTCTTGTAGGTCAGAGCACAGTCCAGAGTGACACCCAGGTATTTGGGTGCGCTGCAATGCTCCAGTGGGATTCCTTCCCAGGTATCCTCAGAGCTCGGGATGCTTGTCTGTTCTTAAGGTGAAAAGCACATGTCTGTGTTTTAGATGGATTAGGGATCAGCTGGTTTCCCTGTAATAGTCAAACAACTAGAGCTCCTCACCCATGAGGAACCAACAATGGCCCTCCCGCCAATGACATTGCAGGTTATAGTGAGCGCCATGAACATGTCCAAGAGCCCTGCCAATGTCCTTCACAAACACCACACTGCCCACCACCCAAGTGAAAGCTTTAATTCGGGGATAATTTCATCTTGGATTTCATGTGTTTCCTCCACCACAAATATCACAGTGTTCCTTACTCTCAATTAGTGTGGAATTTGCATGATCCTGGCCACTGCCTCTCCCTTAACCCTTTCCTACTCTTTTCTATGGCACATGGCAAACAGAGCAGAATTGATCAGTAAATGAACATACTGGAGGGATTTGGGGGACTGATTCAACATGATAGAAGTTGTAGTTCACCCTGCATCAAGACAGAGCACTGTGACCCCCGCCGACAATGGATCTGGACCACATTTGGCACACAGAGCCCCCATGACCAACGAAAAATACTGAAGGGCTTTGGGGGGGGGGGGGATTCACCTTGATTTGGGGGTTTTGCAGTTCATCTACATCCAGAAAACACCAAGATCACAAATGACAATGCACACATGCCTGATATGCCCAAAGTTGAATACTGGAAGGGTTTGGGAGGAATTGACCTTGATTTTTGGAGTTGTAGTTCACCTTCAACCAGCAAAACGGTGAACCCCACCGATGATGGAATCGATCATGAATCAAACTTGGCACACAGAACCACCATGACCAACTGAAATTACTGGAGGGGCTCGGGGGGAACTGACCTTCATTTCTGGAAGTTGTAGTTCACTTATAACCAGAGACACTGTGACCACCACCGATAATGGACCTCGACCTAACCTGGCACACAGAACCCCCATGACCAACTGAATCTACTGGAGGGATTTGAGGGGACTGACCCACCATGGTGGAAGCTGTAGTTCATCCTGCAGCCAGAGACCACACGGACCCCATTGATGATTTATCTAGAGAGCAAACTTACCTAACATGATAAACTTTAAGTACTCGTGGAGTTTCAGGGGGTTAACCTGGCATGATGTGAGTTGCAGTTCACCCACAACCTTATGCATTTTGTACAATTAAAAAATTGACTTTTTCAAATAACCCGGGCAATGCCGGGTACCCAAGCTAGTATAATAATAACAATAATAATACAAGAGTGAAACACGGCCCGCTTTGCCTTCTCAGTTGTCAATGAAAAGGTCATGGGATTTAAGAATTGCTGGACATTTTATCCCCAAATGCAGAGAGAGATATACATATTTAATAAACAAATCAGCATCCTGCCAACTCAGAAAAAGAGGCAAAAGTAGCTGGCTTTCCAGTTCCAACAGATGAAGAAACACAGCAATGAAGGTTTTGAGAAGCCCCTTGTTATGCCAGCGCCCTTTGCCAAAGGAAAACCTGTCCTGCTCGCCAGGCTGCGATGCCAATGTTTAAGACTTCATGAGGATTTGGGAATCGGCACCCCATTTCATGTGCTGCATTTGGAATTCCACACTCAGAGGCACCGGCTGGTTCGATGGAGTCTTCCTTTCTCCTTCGGGAGAGTCCTTCTTCTTTCCCTTTCCTGAAATTACAAGAGAGCGAAATATGTAGTGTTGGTTCCCCCAATCCTGACTTCGAATTGTGACCCTCCAGCTATTCCCTTGCTATTGGCAATACTGTCTGGGGATATTCAGGCCTACAGTCCAACAATAGCTATGCTGTGCTCCAAGGTGGGGGGTAATAATAATAATAATAATAATAATTATTATTATTATTATTATTATTTATTATCATCATCATCGCTACGGCACCAAACTCCTTGTAGAGCCCAATGGCACTTGGGAACATCTTTCATATATGGCTCCCTTTCGGGGTCAGTGGTGACAAACATCTGTTGCATTTCCTTTGTCTTATGTTTATTTCTTGGTTTGATCAACGGAGCCCCCCCCCCCTTTTTTTTAATTCACAGTGGGCTGAGGGCTATTTCAATCACATCATTTCCCAGTTCTTTTCACACAGCATGGGCAAATAAATATAGCATTCTTCTGTGAAATGATTCATTGCAAAAAAAAATTAATAACAACACTTAACAGAGTTTTGCAGCTGCACTTCATTATATCTGTGCCTCACATGGCCCACTGAATGAAGAACATTTACCGTATTGCATCGCATGATATTCACCACGGCATACTGGTCTGCAAAAAATACAAAAAAACCTGCAAAAATTCAAAAAATTGTATTCTTTGTTTTCCTCACATAATAATCGCAGAGCTGTTTGAGGCTGATTTTCCCTTCTTTCTCCGAGGGCAAGGCAATTTAAGAACTAAGAATAGAGATTCCTGAAGCTCCATTCTTTTCTCTTCCTCCGATGCTTTAAGGCAGTTTAAGAAACCCAAAATGAATGTCTCTGCAACTTGGATCCTCCTTCCTTCCTCATTTCTCCAAAGAATTCCATTTCAGGTTTTGTAAACTGCCTTAAGGCCTTGGAAGAAGGAGGGAAGAGAGAAGAGTGGAGTTTCAGTGGCCTCCATTTCGTAGTTTGCCTTGCTTGTGAAAAAAGAAGGATGGAAGGAAATATCAGCCTCAAATGGCTCTACAGTTTAAAAAATACAAACAAACAGGAATTGAGATGTTTCTTTGAAAGTGGATCATCTCATATCCTTCTCCCCTTTCAGGGTTAAGGCGTTTTTTAAAAAAATCTGACATCTTTTTTTTCTTTGCATAATACTCACACATCCCTTTTTTGATGAAAAGGAAAAAGTGCAACTATTATGTGATGAAATATGGTATTTCTCTCATCTGCCCCCATCTCAAACACACCCATATTGACATGGATAAAAGAGGGTTTATCCTGTGCTGGTTTCCCTGCAAACAAAAGGGATCATGACTGCCAACCAAGGGACACCTGGTCACCAGGTAAATACTGTAATTGAAACCATAGAAGCCTAGAGGTGAGACATCGTGATTAAAATCAGTATTGTTTCCATACCTATATCAGGGCAACTGAACAAATAGCTGACACTGCTGTCGCACGCTGGGCCTGTGCATAAGACTGTAGACAGGACATAAATTCTGTGTGCCCAACGGGACACCGGGGCTGCCTCATATTAAAGGCCCTTGGATTTCCTTACACAAAGTTCTGTAGAAGCTTAAAGTAAGTCCAACAAAGTTCTTTATTAATGAAAACAAACAGGTATTTCAAGGCTTTTTTAACAGTCTATTGGCTCTTTCAATCTTGTCCACAGGGAACAAGCACTATCTTCATAACTGTATACTAACTAATGGGAAAATCCTTAACTTCTAATCTGGGCAGTCTGTCTTTGCCTCTGTTGGCGTGGAGCCCCTGCACCCGGTACCAACTGCGTCTGGCTTCCGCGAGCAACCCTTACCAAGTAGAGCTTTGTAGACCTCCAGGGGAAAAGGAGTTCAGGTTTCAGTGATGGCTGACTGAAGTCCCTCCGCAAAGGAGCTGTAAGGGTGTATGATCCTCGGCCAAGCTGTGGGCTGTATAACCCCGGCCAAGCCGTAGAAGACGAAGCTTTCTACAGGAGCTCTTGGTATTATGTCCTGTGCGAAAGTTTCTCTATGTGGAGTGAACTCAAAAAGGCTCCTATTCCCTCCAAAAACCCAAAAAGGGGCGGGACCAGGGAACCTAACTATAATTGACAGGTGGCTTGCCCTATGATTGCAAACTATAACAGGAAGCCACCCTGCTGCAAAATCCCAAGTCTAGGATTGCAAACAAACATTTAATGCAAAGCAAACAAAATTGGAGCTCCTGGTACAGCTGTACCTGCATAGACACCACTTGGAGAGTTATGCAAACCTCAGCCTTTGGTGGCAGGGTCCAAATAAGATTTGAATGAGAGATTGGGAGATAGATGCAAAGATGGATTTACAGCATGGCTGTTCAGAAGAAATGTCCCATCAGGATTTTACGTATTGCAAGCTTAACATCTTCAATGACCAATTGGCTGCTCATGGCAAGAGATCAATTATTTATTTATTTTTTGCTGTGATGGAAATGTGAGACAAATCCAAGAAGATCGACTTGGGAGCCCTCTCCCCCTGGACAGAGATACTGAAGACCTAGTACTTTGTTGTTGGCAACAACTTGTATGTACTTTATGTTAATATGCTTTGACTTTGTTGTATCCCACCTCAAGCCATTAGGAGAGGCAGGTAACAAATAAAATGTGTTGTTGTTGCATTCTTTTTGTTGTTGTTGTTGTTGTTGTTGTTGTTGTTATCTGTCTTCATAGCCCTGTCAGCAGCTTATGACACTATAAATCATTGCTTCCTCCTGAAAAAAAAAATCACAAAGGACAACCACCTCACTTGCTTCACAGAAAATCTGCTCCAAACAGGAGCTTTTTTGTTGAGTTCCAGGGTCAGAGAAGCAGATGACAAAAACAGGAGAACAGCTTGCCTCAGGGGAGCTTGCCTGCTCCATCAATGTTCAACATTTACACAAATGACCAGCCACTGCCAGAAGGGAAAGAGAGTTTCATCTATGTTGACGATCTTGCCATCACCGCTCAAGCGGGGATCTTTGAAATGTTTGAACAGAAGCTCTCCGAAGCTTTAGGTGCCCATACTGCCTATTACAGGGAAAACCAGCCAATTCCTAATCCATCTAAAATGCAGACGTGTGCTTTTCATCTTAAGAACAGATAAGCATATCGAGTTCTGAGGGTGACCTGGGAAGGAATCCCACTGGAGCATTGCAGCACACCAAAATACCTGGGAGTTACTATGGACCATGCTCTAACTCGCAAGATGCACAGCTTGATTATCAAGCCAAAAGTGGGTGCTAGAAATAATCTCATATGAAAGATGACTGGCACAACCTGGGGATCACAACAAGACACCAGCCCTTGCGCTTTGCTACTATGCCGCTGAATACACATGCCCAGCATGATATACATTTCACCACATTAAAACAGTGGATGTGGCTCTTAATGAGACATGCTGCATTATCACGGGATGTCTACATTTTACACTGCTGGAGAAATTATAATGTTTAGCTGGTATTGCACCACCTGATATCCATCGAGAAGCAGCCTGTAATGAAAGGACCAAGTAATGGACATCTCTGGCCCATCATATGTTCGGATTTCAACCAGAAAGCCAATGTCTTACATCAAGAAATAGTGTCCTAAAATCTACAGAGATACTTGCAGGAGCATCTCAGCAAGCAAGAATCCAAAAGTGGCAGGCTAAAACCTGGAACCTCAATCAGTGGCTGAGACCGAATGAAAAACTCCCTGCTGGGCGCACAGAAGACTTGAAAGGTGCTAAACAGACTGCGCTCTGGAACCACGAGATGCAGAGCCAGTCTTAAGAAATGGGGCCATGAAGTGGAGTCCACAAGATGCAAGTGTGGAGAAGAGCAAACCACAGACCACTGACTGCAATGCAGTCTGAGCCCTGCCACATGCACAATGGAGGACATTCTCACAGCAACACCAGAGGCACTCCAAGTGGTCAGCTTCTGGTCAAATGACATTTTGTACAATGCCAAGTTTTAAACTTTGTTTGTGGCTTTTCTATACATGATAACTGTATTCTCAATTCACTTCTGACACAATAAATAAACAAATAAATATTATTTATACACTCTCGTCATTACCTTTCGCAGGTGGTGGGGTTTTCCGGCCTGCTGCAACCTCTGTCCCACTTTTTGATTTCTTGTCCTTTTTGCCGCCCTTTTTACTATCCTACAGAAGGGACAAGGTTGTGTCTTAGAGAAGGTGGGGCAATGTGGGTACAAAATGCAAAAGGGAAAGACACCAGCACAGTGGGTTTTCGGATTGTGTCCCAGGCCTGTTCTCCCACAATACGGCTTCCTCCATTGCCAGGTACCTTTTCTTTCACAGAGGGGGGACGAGCATTTAAGTCTGTGATCAAGATACCAAAGTTGCACACGACATCCACCAGCGATTCTCCGGCGAGAAGGGAGTCGAGGTTGACGTGGCCAGAACCCAAGGTTTTCAAGATGGGGGGGTCACTTCGTAGCTCTGGCGAAGGAGATTTCTTCTTCTTCTTGTTCCCACCCTATAGGGATGATGAGCAATGTAAGGGTTCATATTTTCAATCTTAGCTATTGCTGCCCAGGTTTGGATTGTCTTTGTGGCGCTTTCCTTTTTCCATTTGCCTCATACACTTCCCCCTCTTTTTTCTTCCTCTTCCCTTCTTTTTCTTTAGGACCCTTTCCTTCCTCCATTTCCCTCAAACAGCTTCTCCCTCTCTCTTTTCCTCCTTTCTTTCCTTCTTCCCTTGTTTTCCCCTCATGCACCTTCCTTTCCTCCTTCCTGTCTCTTCCCTTCTTCTTTTTTCTCCCTCCCTTTCTTCCTTTCCCCCTTTCTTTTCCTTCCCCCCTTCCTTCCCCCTCCTTCATTCCTTCCTTCCTTCCTTCCTTCCTTCCTTCCTTCCTTCCTTCCTTCCTTTCCTTTCCTTTCCTTTCCTTTCCTTTCCTTTCCTTCCCCTTTCCCTTTCCTTTCTTCCTTTCCTTTCTTCCTTTCCTTTCTTCCGTTCCTTTCCTTTTCCTTTCTTTCCTTTCTTTCCTTTCCTTTCCTTCCCTTCCCTCATACCTTTCCCCCTTTCCCTTTTCTCTCTTCATCCATTCTTTCCTTTCAAGTGAGATTCTCTTAGTTTCAAGCACACACACACACACACACACACCTTCCAAACAATAAATCTTAATTAAATTGCTTGTTTCCTTGTGGTATGGATGTCCTAGCTATGACCTTTGAGGTCTCATGGCGTGTCTATTTTGCATTCCAATATCTCAGCATTTCTCACCCTGGGTGTTGAGACCCCTGGTGGGGTCGTGAGGGAGTTTCAGAGGGGTTGCCAAAGACCACCAGAAAACATATATTTCTGATGGTCTTTGACAGAGAAGGCTGAAGATCTCTCCGCCTCTCCTTCTCTTCCTTTTTAGAAATAGATGGCAAATCTTCGAATCAAAAGCCCTCTTCTGCTGGGATTGGCCAGCCTCTCAGTCAAGGGGAGGGCTGTTTCTGAGACTCCAAGTGGGGAGGGGAGAGCAGGCATGCTCGGTGAATGGCAGCATGGTGTGCATGTGTGGGCAAGGGAGAGAATGCGAGGCAGGAGGGAGGCCTGCGCCAGTAACTCCCTTCAAGGCTGTCATGTATCATGTTCTGCAGTTGATGGTGGTTGGTGGTGGCAGGCCTAGCAGTTGGTGATGGAAGGGTTAATGTTCTGGAACAGCTGTTCCAGGAGCTCCAGATTTATTTGCTGTGTTTGCATGTTTGTGTGCAATCCCATGCTTGGGATTTGTAGCAGGGGGTTTCCTGTTATAATTTGCATTTATAGGGTAAGCCACCTGCCAGTTATAGTTAGGTTCCCTGATCCCGCCCCTTTTTGAGTTTTGGAGGGAAAAAAAGCCATTTTGAGTTAGTTCTCACAGAGAAGCCTTTCACACAGGACATAGAACGAAATGGCTCCTGTAGAAAAGCTTCGTCTTTTACAGCTTGGCCGGGGTTATACAGCCCTACAGCTTGGCCGGGAGACATACAGCCACAGCTTGGCTGAGGGACTTCAGCCAGCCATCACTGGGAAGTGAACATCTTCCTCCTCCTGGAAGTTCTGCAAAGTCTCTGTTTGGTAAGGGCCCTTCGCGGCAACCATAAAGCAGATTGGACCGGGTGTAGGGGTCCCACGCCAACAGAAGAGAAGACAGATTGCCCAGGTAGAGGTCGGGGATTTTCCCAACAGTGAAGGAACAGTTGCCTGCCTTTAGACTAGCCTATAGACAGTTAAGAAAGCTTTAAAGTACCTGTTTGTTTCATCAATAAAGAACTTTGTTGGATTTACTTTAAGCATTCTAAAGACTCTGTTTGGGGGAATCTAAGGGCCTTTGATCTGAGGCAGCCCCGGCGTCCCGTTGGGCACAAAGAATTTATGTCCTGTGTACAGTCTAATGCACAGGCCCAGCGTGCGACAGCACAGTTAATGTAAGTCTTAGTTCTAAAGGGTTGAGTAATCTATAAGTAAGAGTTCATGGGTGAAAGCAATTAAGGGTGGAGGTATGCAAGAGATAGGTTGCAGCTGGGTGTTTCTGAATATAATGAGTTAGCCTTGGGCCTGATCTTTGGGAGAAAAGTATTTGTCTTATTTGGTGGTAGATGCTGCTGGTTTTTTCCCAGGTTTCTGGATTTTCGGTGTTCTGACCTGTCTCTTGAACCTTTGGAACCCTAGAACCTAAGCGCCGTCGCAAACTCTGTTCCTGCGGGAGCAAACCTTGCTAGCACGTCCCTGACGTCATGAGCCTGCGCCTCTCTCCCCGCCCCTTTCTCTGCCCCTTTCTCTTTGCCAGCGTGGGCAGCATTGCCCGCATTTTCTCTCAGTTGAATTCTGCCAACTGAGAGAGTATGCTGGCAATGCTGCCCTAGCAAAGGAAAAACCACTCTCGCAAGGAGAAAGAGGCGGAGAAAGGGGCGGGGCGAGAGGCGGAGTCTCATGACGTCAGGGACATGCTAGCAAGGTTTGCTCCCGCAGGAACAGAGTTTGCGACGGGTCTTAGATCTTTGGACTGGCTTTTGACTACAATATAGACACTTGATTCCTAGGACTTTGCTTATTGAACTCTCAGCATTTGACCACTGGACTGGACCCTGTAACTTTTGCTATCAGTTTTTGCTTTATAATCTGTGGCTGAGTGCTATCTTTATGTTTTATATTTTGGATTATTAAAAAAGCCAGACAGTAAGTGCTGCTTTAATTAAATTGTTTAGCACAAACTGGGAGTTTGTTTGGTTCATCTCTGCCTCTGTATCGGCAGAGCCCTGGCATCGTGACAAAGGCATGGGGTTCTGTGTGGGAAGTTGGGCCCAAATCTTTTGTTTGGGGGTGGGGGTGGGTTCAGAATGCTCTTCATTTATATAATTAACTGTAGGTTAATTATAAATTCCAGCAACTATAACTTCCAAATGGCAAGGTCTAGTTTCTCCAAACTCCACTAGTGTTCACATTTGGGCATACTGAGTATTTGTGCCAAGTTTGGTCCAGATCCATCATTGTTTAAGTTCACAGTGCTCTCTGGATATAGGTGAACTACAACTCCAAAAGTTAAAACTCAATCCTCCCCCCCCCCCCCCGCCACACACACACACACACACACACACACACAACCCCACAAGTGTTGAAATTTGGACATATCAGGTATTTGTGCCGTTTGGTCCAGTGAATTAAAATACATCCTACATATCCGCTATTTACATTACGATTCATAAGGCTAGCAAAATTACAGTTATGAAGTAGCAACAAAAATAATTTTATGGTTGGGGGTCACCACAACATGAGGAACTGTATTAAGGGGTCGTGGCATTAGGAAGGATGAGAAAAAAACTCTAAAATTACAACAGCAAAACAACAGAGAGGAAACAACCAGGCACAGATTAACACCTCCCAGCAAGAGATTTTCCCAGGCTCAGCCAGGCCTTCAAATGCTAATGAAGGTGATCAGCTGAAACATCCACACCTAACTGCAGCAGGGAAGAGCTCCTTGCCCCACCCCAGGCATTCCACAGATATATAAGCCCATTGTCCTAATTCCAACAGACCTCACTACCTCTGAGGATGCTTGCCATAGATGCAGGCGAAACGTCAGGAGAAATGCCTCTAGAACATGGCTCTATAGCCCGAAAAATACCCACAAGAACCTAGCAATTCCAGCCATGAAAGCCTTCGACAAAACATTGCAATCGCTAATCCTTTCTATCTACATACTGCCCACTTTAGCTTGCATTTGAGCACTGCACCCATAGAGACCTAGAGGCCAGTAGACAATCCCTTCTATCACTCTACTGCCATCTTGTGGTTGTATCTGCGCACTGCCCTTGCCCCAAACAGGGCAGACTTTGTTGTTGAAACCACATAACCATTTTACATTGAACAAGGAAAGGTATGTGTGCCAAGTTTGGTCCAGATCCATCAAGCTGTGGAAGAGCCATTGTGGTACCAACACACACACATACATACTTTGACTTTTATATATCTACAGGTGAACAATTAAGAATCCAATTTCTGATAAATCAGGTATGAGTTAGAGTGAGGTAGGTTCAGACATCACCACAAACCAGCATTCAGCAGATGTTTTGGTTTACCAAGGCTAGCTATCAATGCCTGATGGTTCCCCATTTGTGACAGGAGCAACTAAACAAATTCCTTTGATCTGTGCTTTGTTCAGCGTGATGAACCCAGCAGCGGTCAGCAAGCTGACTTGTAGCTTTCCTGGATATAATTACACAACAGGTGAATCCAGGAGGGGCACCCTGAAGCACAGGCTTTGCAAATGGGGAGAAGCTGGTGTAGGAGTGTCACGGGACACTGGCATCGCCTACAAGTCCATGAAACTGTCTCAGTTGCACAGAAGAGTGGCTCCATTCTGCCACTTGCTGGGAGATGTACCCAGGTGTCTAATCATGATCACCTTTCCAGCGTCTTTTCCTTTCTCTGTTTTTCCTTTCTCCGCTTTTCCTTTCTCCTTTTTCCCTTTCTCTCCTTTGCCAGCTTTCTCCTTCTCTGCTTTCTTTTTCTCTGCTTTCCCCTTCCCTTTCTTGTTTTGGCTTTCGTCGGGAGTGACGACAATAGGCCAGGACACAATCTGATGAAAGAAAAGAGAATTTCTGAAGCTACAACACGCTGAAAGCCTAGTCAAAATGGAAATTAAAAAAAAACCCACTGTACATGTTAGCGTGTGTCTTTGGGTTTAAAATCCCAAATCTCCCTCTGCTCTTGGAATACTCCGCCCTCTTCCTACTAAAATAAGAATATCCCCGGATTTCACTGCATAATGTTCGCCACTGCATAATAGTCACACTCTCATTTTTTGGGTGCCCAAAATTGTATTTTTTTTATTTTCCTTGCATGATAGCCACATCCCTGATTAGGGTTTGTAAACTGCCTTAAAGTTTTGGAGGAAGGAGAGAAGAGTGGAGCTACAGAGACCTCAATTTTGTAGTCTGTAAGAGAAAGGAGGAAGGGAGAATCAGTCCCAAAGGACCTGCAGCTCAAAAAAAAAAATAGAGCTGTGTTGTCAAAGGCTTTCATGGCCAGAATCACTGGGTTGCTGTGAGTTTTCCGAGCTGTCTGGCCATGTTCCAGAAGCATTCTCTCCTGACGTTTTGCCCACATCTATGGCAGGCAGCCTCAGAGGTTGTGACGTCTGTTAAAAACTAGGCAAGAGGGGTTCATATATATATATATATATCTGTGGAATAATATCACAGATATATATATATGAACTACAGTATATTCTGGTGTATAAGACTACTTTTTAACCCAAGAAAATCTTCTCAAAAGTCAGGGGTCGTCTTATACGTGGGTGTAGTTTTATGCATGGGAGTCGTCTTAACTCTATATTTTAACTGGAAAAGTTGGGGGTCGTCTTATACGCCCAGTCGTCTTATATGCCGGAATATACGGTAGTTGCCTAGTCTCCAACAGAACTCACAACCTATGAGAATGCCTGCCACAGATGGGACGAAATGTCAGGAGAGAATGCTCCTGGAACATGGCCAGACAGCCCAGAAAACTCACAGCAACCCAAACATAGAGCTGTTTGTTTGAATGGCCACACACACACATATCCCTGTGGAATAATGCTCAGGGAGGGAGAAAGAACTCATGTCTGAGGCAAGTGTGAGTATTGCCATTGACCAGCTTGATTAGCATTGAATGGCTTTGCAGTTTCAAAGCCTGGCTGTTGCTGCCTGGGAGAATCCTTTGTTGGGAGGTGTTATCTGGTCCTGATAGATTCTTGCCTGGAATTCCCCTATTTTTTGAGTGTTGCTCTTTATTTACTGTCCTGATTTTAGAGTTTTTAAAATATTGGTAGCCAGATTTTGTACATTTTCATGGTTTCCTCCTTTCTGTTGGAATTGTCCACATGCTTGTGGAGTTCAATAGCTTCTTTGCATAGTCTGACATGGTGGTTGTTAGAGTGCTCCAGCTTTCCTGTGTTCTCCAATAATATGCTGTGTCCAGGTTGGTTCATCAGGTGATCTGCTATGGCTGACTTCTCTGTTTGAATTAGTCTGCAGTGCCTTTCATGTTCCAGACAGGAAACAATCAGGGCCAGATACCACCTCCCAACAAAGGATTCCCCCAATCAGGAAGCAGATAGGCTTTGAAGTTGCAAGGCCATTCAATTCTAATCAAGCTGGCCAATGGCAAATTTCCCTCTTGCCTCCAACAGGCAAGAGTTTTTTCTCCCATCCTGGACATTCCACAGATATATAAAACCCACTTGCCTAGTTTCCCACAGACCTCACAACCTCTGAGGATGCCTGCCATAGATGTGGGTGAAACGTCAGGAGAGAATGCTCCTGGAATATGGCCAGACAGCCCAGAAAACTCACAGCAACCAAAACATAGAGCTGTTTGTTTGAGGATGGATCATCTCTCCTCTTCCCCTTTTAGGGTTTTTTTTTTTTTTTTTGGGGTCGTGTCAGGAGCGACTTGAGAAACTGCAAGTTGCTTCTGGTGTGAAAGAATTGGCCATCTCCAAGGACGTTGCCCAGGGGACGCCTGGATGTTTTGATGTTTTATCATCCTTGTGGGAGGCTTCTCTCATGTCCCCGCATGGGGAGCTGGAGCTCATCTGCGCTTTCCCTGGATTTGAACCTGCAACCTGTCAGTCTTCAGTCCTGCCGGCACAGGGGTTTAACCCACTGTGCCACCGGGGGCTCCTGGGATTAGGCTAGTGGTTCTTAAATTGTGGGTCTCCAGGTATTTTGGCCTACAACTCCCAGAAATCCCAGTCAGTTTACCAGCTGTTAGGATTTCTGGGAGTTGAAGGCCAAAATATCTGGGGACTCACAGGTTCAAAACCACTGGGTTAGGCATTTTATTTAAAAACAACAGAAACTGGAGAATCAAAGGCAATTTTTTTCCTCCGTAACAGTCACACCCTTTTTTTATGGATAAAAGGGAAAACAGTGTGATTATTATGCAATGAAATAATGGATTTCAATCTGAGTATACATTTCTCCTATATCCCCACATATGTTTTGAAAGCAAAAATTTCATATCACCAGTGTCTGTCCAAGTGGGCTGGTGCCTCACCAAATGACAAAGCCTATAATTCTACAGCATCGAGCCTTCACAGTTCAAAGTGGCATCAAACTGCATTAATTCTACAGTGAACATGCACCCCAAGTAATAAAACTCTGCCTTTTCAAACCTTTTCCTCTACAATGGCCACATTGGTCCCAGTGAGAAGATAGGCCTTCAAAGCAATCAGGTCTCTGGTGACATGCTCTTTCCTATATTCACACTTGATGGTCTCTGCCCAGGGCTTTCGGGGGGTGCAATGAACATTTGCTGGGAGGAAGAGGAAAGAAAAGGAAGGGATTGAAGGAAAACACTTCTTCGGAACAGAAGAGAGAAAATGAATTTGCCAGGATCTTTCACAAGACCCCTTCACACACTGATCATGTGAAGGACCAGAAGAATAAACATACGTAACAATGAAAGAGCACTGATTATATTGGCTATTGTTTCCACGGGATTGACCAACAATCCAGGATAATGATACGAAAAGACAGATTAGCAATTGATTCAAGAACCAGTTTGAATGTTCAGCTCACGAATTGCGAGCTGCAACTATACTACAATAATCTGAATGTTAAATTCAGATTCTCACTTTATTGTGCTTTAATTTTTGTTCCATGGCGCAACTGCGGTGGTGCAATGAGTTAAACCTTTGTGCTGCTGAATTGCTGACCTGAAGGTTGGCTGAACTGCTGACCTGAAAGTTGGCAGTTCAAATCCAATCTAGCCAACCTAGCAGTTTGAAAGCATGCAATGTGAGTAGATAAATAGGTAATGCTTTGGCGGGAAAAGGCAAAAAGCAATCTTGCCGGCCACACAACCAGGAGGTGACAACACATGCTCCTTGGCTTGAAAATGGAAAAAGCACCTCACCAGAGCCAGAGATGAGCACTGCCCCAGAAGCCGGAAATGAAAGGTGAAGCCCCTGCCTTTGTTTGTGTTTGTGTGTCTCATCATATATGATTGTAAAGGCATATATGTATGTAAATGCTGTAATCCGCTGAGTCCCCTAGGGAAGAAGGGCAGAATATAAACAAAGTGTGTTATTTATTATTATTATTATTATTATTATTATTATTATTATTATTATTATTTTAATATGTGTAGGAATATGTTTTAATATGTGCTTTTTATGAAATGCATTTTAGTAGAATCATAGAATAATAGAGTTGGACGAGACCCCAAGGGCTGTTCATTTCAACCCCATTCTGCCACACAATCAAAGCATTCCTGACAGATGGCCTTCCAGCCTCTGTTTGAAAGCCTCCAAGGAAGGAGCTTTCACCAGACTCCAAATCAGAGGGTTTCACTGCTGAACAGCTTTTCTTACGATCAGGAAGTTATTCCTAATGTTCAGGTGGAATCTCCTTTTCTGTCATTTGAATCCATTCTTCCACTGAGTCCTAGTCTCTAAGGCAGCAGAAAACAAGTCTGCTCCCTCTTCCTTATAACATCCTTTTGTATTTAAACATAGCTATCATGTCTTCTCTCTACCTTATCGTCTACAGGCTAACTTTATGATGTATTTTAACTATGTTGTGCCTTGTCCGAGCTGCAAGGAGAGGTGGGTTATTGTTATGTTGTTGTTGTTGTTGTTGTTGTTGTTGTTGTTAATAATAATAATAATAATAATAATAACAACAACAATAATAAATAGGACCCCCATATCTGCAAGAAATACATTCCTGGATTTAATGGAGATAAGCAACATCCTGGATAGTAGGGAGCCTTGCTGATATGCAAGACTTCTAGTTCATGTATATATATGTGAGAGGAAGCCACAGGGAGGAGGGAGCAAGCTTGTTTTCTGCTTCCCTGGAGACTAGTACGCGGAACAATGGCTTCATACTACAAGAGAGGAGATTCCATCTGAACAGGAGGAAAAACTTCCTGACTGTGAGAGCTGTTCAGCAGTGGAACTCTCTGCCCCGGAGTGTGGTGGAGGCTCCTTCTTTGGAAGCTTTTAAACAGAGGCTGGATGGCCATCTGTCAGGGGTGATTTGAATGCAATATTCCTGCTTCTTGGCAGGGGGTTGGACTGGATGGCCCATGAGGTCTCTTCCAACTCTTTGATTCTATGATTCTATGATTCTAGTCCAAAAATACAATACAGTTGTGCTGGAGGACCTAGGAAATGCCTAAGGTCCTCGGGGGGGGGGGGGGGGGGGGGGGGGGGGGGGGGGGGGGGGGGTGTCTTCTGTATTGCTCTCGTAACACGCTGACCACTTAACAACATGGTTGGAGTTTCCCCTCAAAGCAGATGGAGTGCTTTAAACTCACCCTTCTCTGAGCTGGTGACTTGTGATTCAGAAGATCTATGCAGACATCCCAAAAGGCCTATCCTGTGACTTCTTAGGGCTACCGGATCCCCTCTGAATAATTCACCAGTGTGGCAGCACGAACATGGAGCCTGCCACAATCTCACCTGATGGAGCACCATCACTAGCAGGATCATTCTTACAAGAAGAGTGACTAAATCAACCCAGCAAGAAAACTCACAAACTCTGATTTATTATTATTATTATTATTATTATTATTATTATTATTATTATTATTATTGGGTTGCTGTGAGTTTTCTGGTCAGGCCATGTTCCAGAAGCATTCTCTCCTGACCTTTCTCCCACAGCTATGGCAGGCTTCCTCAGAGTTTGTGAGGTCTGTTGGAAACTAGGCAAGAGGGGTTTATATACCTGTGGAATAATGTCCAGGATGGGAGAAAGAATTCTTGCTTGTTGGAGACAAGTGTGAATGTTGCCAGCTTGATTAGCATTGAGTAGCCTTGCAGCTTCAAAGCCTGACTGCTTCTTGCCTGGGGGAGTCATTTGTTCAAACTTGCCTCCAACAGACAAGAGTTCTTTCTCCCACCCTGGACATTATTCCACAGATCTATAAACTCCACTTGCCTAATTTCCAACACATCTCACAACCTCTGAGGATGCCTGCCATAGATGTGGATGAAATGTCAGGAGAGAATGCTTCTGGAACATGGTCATACAGCCCGGAAAACTCACAGCAACCCAGTGCTTCCAGTCGTGGAAGCCTTCAACAACACAATATTATTATTATTATTATTATTATTATTATTATCATCGTGTATTTATACGCTGCCTTTTATTTACCAAAGGAGACTCAGGCTGAATCTATCCTGCCATATAATACAGTTTCTGATACCAAATGATCTGCTTTGAACTGGATTATATAGCAGTGTAGACTCACACCCAGTTCAAAGTAGACTATCTGGGATCAGCTACTGGATTATATGGCAGTGCAGATCCAGCCCCAAAGTGGGAGACATTCAGATCAAAGCAGAGACATCCAGATATCAAGCCCCCACCAGCTTGAGCAGGCATCTCCGTTTTCGACAGCACCTCCAGAGACTGGGGCTGCCAGCTGCTGGTTTGCTTCATCAGCACCGGGGAGCTCTTCGTCTTCAGCAAAGTTGAGGGCGTGCGCTGGGATAACACCACCTGAGATGAAAGGGCACCAAATCAATCATTCATCCTACGGACGGCCTGCCTTTGTCCTACCAAGGTGGCATGCAAGATGTCAGTTTTTATTATTTTTTTTAAATTGAAAGCAAGAATTCGGTGAAATATATACTATAAATATGTATTAAAACAATTCTGTTAGGAGTGCATAGTTAAAAATGGTATCACACTTCACCTCGCAGCAGCCTTTACGGGACAGACAGGTATATTTTGACTTTGGTATATATAGATGTTTTAAAACAGGCCTGCACAACCTGTGGCCCTCCAGGTGTTTTGGACTTCAGCTCCCAGAATTCCTGGCCATTGGAACAGCTGGCTAGAGCTTGGAGTTGGAGGCCCACAGGTTGTGCAGGCCTGATTGAAAACACACGCACACAAGTCAAAGTATGCTGCGAGGTGAAGTGTGTTGTCACTGAATTGGCTGTTGCTAGGTGAAGTGCCCCTCTGTAAAAACAGAGAATGCACAAGAAAGTATAGACTTACTACAAAAGAGACAAAACTTCAATTCCTGAGTATACTAAAGCTATAAAATATTAGAAGAATTAGGGAAGGCAAACTCTACAGGATTTATGGGCATTTTCTTTCCACACGTTGCTTGCCTCCTTCATATTTTTGCTTGGATTGGCAGTCATGGGGGAAGTGGCCCTCTGTAATGTCACTGGGCTGGCTGTTACTAGGTGAAGTGGCCCTTTGTGATGTCGCTGGGAAAAAAGGGTGATATGTGGTGGGAGAGTAGGGAAGGAAGGAAAGAGCCCCAAAGAGAGCCAAGCTACCATGGAGACATGAAAGGGGGAGGGGAAGGAAAGGAAGAAAGCAAAGGAATTGGGAAGGAAGAGGGGAAGGAAAGGAGGGGGAGGAAAGAAAAAGGATGGAAGGGTGGAAGAGAAAGGAAAGGGATGAGGTGTGGGAAAGAGAAAGAAAGAATGAACTGACACCCGTGATACGGCAGGTATATATGCCAGGACAAAATAAAAACAGAAGCACACCTCTTTGGAAACTCTTCTGTCAAAGGCCTTCCAAAATAAAGAAGAGCACAGAGATGGGCCACCAAGAAGTCTTTTCCATGTCCCTCCTAACTGCTGCTGTGAAGGCGGTGTGACCAAGAGAAGGCCTTCCCAAACTGGGGGCAGCTCCAAGGGTGTTTGGCAAGTATGGTAACTCTTCTTTTCATAAGTCTTTGGTCATGTCTTATCTGACCTGCATCCTGTCTCTTATCTTTTGTGGCTTTGGAAGAAACGGTTCAGCGAGAATGCCCTGCTGCCTAAGGCCACCTGGGAAACCCCTCTGGAAAAAACGTTGCAAGGGAGAATTGAGAGTGACCTTGGCCTCCCTTCAGTCAAGAAGGAACTGTGAGGCCTTTTCCAAGCTACAGTTTACAACTAAGTTTGAGCAGCATTTCTATTTCAGAGACCAACAACCAACAATCTGGTGCAATGAAAATGTTGTCTACTCTGTACTCCTGCGATGTGTCCATACTTCTCAATTATAGCCATTTCGTACCACTTTGATGGCTTTGCTTCCAATTAGTGGAGTCCTGGTCCTTATGGTTTGGTGCCATAATCTTGGCTAGAGAGTTCTAGCAAAGCAAGCCTCAACCGTTGGTTCTTCACAGGTTTTAGACTTCAACTCTCAGAATCCGGAACCATTGGCTGAGGTTTCTGGGAACTGAAATCCAAAAGACTGTATCACTTCAATTGTAAGATACTATCAATTGTAAGAAGCACTTTAATTTCAGCAGCACCACCAAAATATATATAAGATACACCTGTGATTCTAAGATGTACCCCATTTTTAGAGACGTTCATCTAAAGCAGTGTTCCTCAACCTGGGTCAGGACCCGTGGGGGGGTTGCGAGGGGGGTTTCAGAGGGATCACCAAAGACCATCAGAAAACACATTTTTCTGATGGTCTTAGGAACCACTTTGGCAGAGAAGGCTGAAGATCTCTCCACCTGTCCTCCTCTTCCTTTTTGGAAACAGACGGTGAATCTTCCCACCAAAAACCCTCCTCTGCTGGGATTGGCTGGCCTCTCAGCCAAGGGGAGGGCTGTTTCTGCGACTCCAAGCGGGGGAAGGGAGAGCAGATGTGCTCAACACATGGCCGTATGGTGCACATGTGCAGGTGAGGGAGAGATCGTGAGGTTGGAGGGAGGCTCATTCCCCTTCAAGGCAGGGGGGAAAGCACCCGCATGACATGGGACTGAAGGTAGCCCACTAGCATCAGGAGGAGGAGCAGAAGAGCTAAGGTAATTCGTAACGCTATTTATTAGAAAAAAGGCAGTCTTTCCTTTTGTTTTTTATTAATGCTCCCATTAGAAAATGCATAAGGATGTGGGTGAACTACAACTCCCAAAATCGTGGCTCAATCCTCCCCCAATCTCACCAGTATTCACAGTTGGCCATTCACAGTTGGTCTGTGTGTCAAGTTTGGTCCAGATCCATCATCAGCTGGGTTCAGTGCTCTTTGGATGCGCGTGAACTACAACTCCCACATGCTAAGGTCAATCACCCCTCAAACCCTGCCTGTATTCATAGTTGGCCAAGTTGGATCTGTGTGCCCAGATTGGGTCAGATACATCAGTTGCTCTGTTGATGTGGGTGAACCATAACTAGCAACCTCTGAGGTCAGTCCCCTCAAAACCCCACCAGTATTCAAAGTTTGGGCGTATCAGGTATTTGTGCCAAATTTGATCCATTGAATGAAAATACATCCTGCATATCAGAGATTTACATTACGATTCATAACAGTAGCAAAATTACAGTTATGAAGTAGCAACAAAAATAATGTTATGGTTGGGTCACAACATAAGGGGTCGTGGCATTAGGAAGGTGGAGAACCACTGATCTAGAGAAAGAAGTGCATCTAAGAACGGAATAAATACAGTACCTAGAGGATTTTATTCTGAATTCCAACACTAGAGCTTCCTAGCAGAGGACTGACCAATTCCAGGATCCCATAGAAGACTGGGGAAGTACTATCAATGATTTGCAGATTTGTCATTGCTTTTCTCTGTGGCTGAAAGAGTGGAACTTGGCCAAAGTCACCCGGTAGGTTTCCATGGCTGAGTAGAGATTTGAACCTAGATCTTTCAGTTTCCTTGTTTGACACGCATGTTTTTCAAGCAAAGGATTCCTAACCTTGACAGATTCCTTCTCCTGGGTCCTTTCCCCTTTGGCAAACTCGTACGTCACATAGTAGCTGTAAGTGATGATTGGCGTTTCAGGCCCACTTTCAACTTCTTCAGGAATTACTGGATAAGGAACGCCTCGGATTCTGCCAACAGAGACAATAATTTTCGTGTGGCGCCTCAGGAGCTCTGCAAAAGGGCAAGAGAGAGAGAAAGGGTCCAATAATTGTTTTAACATCCATTGCGAAGCCTCTAGGCAGGGTTTACAGCTTGCGTTGGATATCGGGGGAATGGTTACATGGCTTCTGAGAGTTATTTAAACAAGTCATGCCAGGCAAATCTGATCTCTTTTTTCAATAGAGTTACAAGCTGGGTAGATGCAGGGAACGCCGTGGATGGAGCACCTCTGGATTTCAGGGAGGCCTTCCTTTGACAAGGTCCCCCATGACCTTCTGGCAAACAAAGTACTCCCGTGTGAGCTAAGCAAAACTACGGTTAGGTGGATCTGTAATTAGTTAAGCGAACGAACCCAGAGAGCAATCTTCCCCAATGCTTCTTCTTCATCCTGGAAAGAAGTGGCAAGTGGAGTGCCATCAGCAGGGTTCCGTCCTGGGCCCGGTTCTGTTCAACATCTTTATTAATGACTTAGATGAAGGATGAGAATGCATGATCATCAAGTTTGCAGACAGGACCACATTGGGAGGGAGAGCCAATACTCCAGAAGACAAGAGCAGAATTCAAAATGATCTTAAAAGAGTAGAGAGATGATTGGCCAAAGCTAACAAAAGGAAGTTTAACAGTGACAAATGCAAGATACTCCACTTAGGCAGAAAAAAGGAAATGCAAAGATACAGAATGGGGGTCGCCTGACTCAACAGGAGTATGTGTGAAAAAGATCTTGGAGTCCTTGTGGGGAAGAAGGTGAACATGAGCCAACAATGCAGTGCGGCAGATAAAAAAGCCAATGGGATTTTGGCCTGCATGAATAGGAGTTGAGTGCCTAGATCCAGGGAAAGTCATGTTCCCCCCTCTATTCTGCCTTTGTCAGACCACAACTGGAATCACACTGTGTCCCATTCTGGGCACTACAATTGAAGGGAGTTGTTGACTCTAAGCTGGAATGGGTCCAGAGGAGGGCAACTCAAAGGATCAAGGGTCTGGAGAACAAGTCCTATGAGGAGAGGCTTCAAGAACTGGGCATGTTTAGCCTGCAGAAGAGAAGGCTGAGAGGAGACATGATGAGGGCCATGGATCAAAATGTGAGGGGAAGTCATTGTTTTCTGCTGCCCTGGAGACTAGGACACAGAACAATGGCTTCAAACTACAGGAAAGTAGATTCCACCTTAACATTAGGAGGAACTTCTAAGCTGTTCAGCAGCGGAGCTCTCTCTCTGCCCTGGAGTGTGGCAGAGGCTCCTTCTTTGGAGGTTTTTAAGCAGAGGCCAGATGGCCATCTGTCGGGGGAGCTTTGAATGCAATTTTTCTGCTTCTTGGCACAATGGGGTTGGATTGGACGGCCCACGAGGTCTCTTCTAGCTCTAGGATTCTATGATTTCTACCTTAAACCTAGAGTTCTAAAGCTAGGAAGGACCATAAAAAAAGATCAATAAATTAAAGCTTGAGTAAATCAAGCCTAGAAGCAAAATTATAGAGGCTATCATACTTTGGACACACTAAATGGAGGCTATCATACTTTGGACATGCTAAATGGAGGCTATCGTACTTTGGACACAATATGATGTCACATATTGGAAAAGATGTTAACAGTAAAATTAAAGGCAATAAGAAAACAGAGAGATTATGGGATTTATATATCTGTGGAATGTCCAGGGAGGGAGAAAGAACTCTTATCTGTTTGAGGTAGGTGTGAATGCTGCAATCGGCCACCTTGATTAGCACTTAATAGCCTAGCAGTTTCAAGGTCTGGCTTCTTATTGCCTGGGGGAATCCTTAGTTGAGAGTTGATTAGCTGGCCTGATGTTTCTTGTCTGGAATTCCCCTGTTTTGAGTGTTGTACTTTATTTACTGTTATGATTTTGGAGGTTTTTTTTAAAAAAAAAATACTGGTACTTGGCACACCAGGACTGTGGCACAGCTGGCTTGAGTGTCAGCTGCATTAAGATCACTTCAGACCAAAAGGTCATAAGTTCGAAGCCAGCCTTGTCGGAGTGAGCTTCCGGCCAATTGTGTAGCTTGTTGTCGACCTTTGCAACCCGAAAGACAGTTGCATCTGCCAAGTGGGAAATTAGGTACCACCTATGTGTGGGGAGGCTAATTTAACTAATTTACAAGGCTATAAAAAAGATTCCAGCAAAGCATGCGGGGAATGCAGAAGTACTTCATCAGTGTCGCAGATGGGCGATGAAAGCGACAGCTCCTCTGGTGGCCAGAAAAAGTTAAATAGCCTCTGACTGTCTGTCTATATCTGTTGTGTGTGTCTTTGGCATTGAATGTTTGCCATATATGTGTACATTGTAATCTGCCCTGAGTCCCCTGCGGGGTGAGAAGGGCAGAATATAAATACTGTAAATCAATAATAATAAATACTGTCTCCCACCCTGGACATCATTCCACAAATATATAAAGCCCATTTTCCTAGTTTCCAACATACCTCACAACCTCTGAGGATGCCTGGCACAGATGCAGGCAAAATGTCAGGAGAGAATGCTTCTAGAACATACCCATATAGCCCAGAAAACTCACAACAACCCAGTGATTCCAGCCATGAAAGCCTTTGACAATACAGAGAGATTATGTTATAGTGATATACTCAAGAAAGCTGGAGAATGTGGAGAGTTGTCAACCGCTTTAGGTCTTCTTGACAGAGAGAAAATGGGAAACAAAAGCTATAAATCATCATCCTCATCCAAAGAAGTAATGTTTTTGATCTATGCCAAGGGCATCAAATTAAAGTAGAAAACGTCCGTGAATACTTCCCTAGAAGCCAAAATGACTAAACAGAGGCTATCATACTTCACAATACAATGTCACTTATTGGAAAAGACAGTAACAGTAAAATGAAAGGCAATCGGAAATGAGACATATTGATGGATGTACTCAATGCAGCTGGGGAATTCAAAGGGTTGCCATCCGCTATGAGTCTCCTTGAGAGAGAGAAAGCAGGATACAAATACGATAAATAATAAAAATGATGACATTAATAATAATAATCCAAACAAGCCATGTTTCTGAGTTGTGTCAAGGACAGTGAATTAAAGTAGAAAATGACAATGAATTCTTCCAGTTGTGGTGCACTTTGCATGCTTTTCAAACTCTTTCATGCCACACAGTTATAGTGCTATGATTCCACTTCAACTGCCCCAGTTCCTTCCTCTGGAATCCAAAGGTCTGTAGCTTAAAGAAAGAGGCTCAAAATTCTCTACCAGAGCACACTAAAGCCTCTCCAAACTACAAATCCATAGGGTGCAGATATGGTGGTTAAAGTGGAATCAGAGTGGTATAATTGCATGGTGTGAAAGCGCCCACATTCTCTAAGCGTGGCTGGTTAGAGATAAGGCTTGATCGGTTTGATCATTAGGGGTCACTCCAGGGGACTCTGGGCAGCAGGGATGATGTTCCAGGAAAGTTAGACCATGTTTACTAGGGAGAACAACAACCAAAGGTGGGATTGTGTCATGCCCCCTGTCCAGGATCCCTTTCGTTTCACTAGTTGCTCACTAGTTTTCTTCTCAGACATTTCCCCCCGGTCTTTGAGCATGTCCTCATTGGGCTCCTGGGCAACCAGCCACTTCCTCCCAATGTTCCCCTTTGAGGTCCTTCTGTAGAATTTAGAATTTCTCCAATTTCGGGGAGACCTCCTTTTCTTTTGTGTGGGCAGTACCTACTTTGCCCAGCATCAGCCGTTCAGATCACATCTTTTGATAATATGAACACTCTGATAGAAAGAACAAGGTGGAGATTGTAAGTCATCTCCCCTGCATCTCTGAATTCAAGGAACTGGTTATCAACCTTCCACTCACATTTCCCCTTAGAGGATTGTCTCATCTGTTATTTCCACAGACCACCTACTACACTGCAACCTGCACATACACAATGGAAGATCTTCTCACAGCGACATCAGAGGCACTCCAAGTGGCCAGCTACTGGTCAAAGGACATTTAGCATAATGCCAAGTTTTTAAAAACTTTGTTTGTGTTTTTAAATGCATTTTAACTGTACCCTCAACTTGCTTCTGACACGATAAATAAATATCTGTTATTTCCTTCTTGGTTCTCAACATGTTTTTCACAAGAGCCAGGATTCACTCGGGAGGGACTAGAATTCCCAGAATCCATTATCCAGCATGGCCCTGGAGGATTCTGGGAGTTTTAGTCCAGAAAACAGGAACTGTCCCCAGGCTCTGATGCTCTTGTCGGTGAAGCTATTTAAGCCATCAAAATAGTTTAAGGCAGCGTTTCTCAACCTGGGGGTCAGGACACCTGGGGGGGGGGGGTGCAAGAGGGGGTCAGAGGGGTAGCCAAAGACCATCAGGAAACAACAGTATTTTCTTTTGGTCATGGGGGTTCTGTGTGGGAAGTTTGGCCCAATTCTACCGTTGGTGTGGTTCAGAATGCTTTTTACTTGTAAGTAAACTATAAATCCCAGAAACGACACCTCCCAAATGTCAAGGTCTATTTCCCCCCAAATCCACCAGTGTTCACATTTGGGCATATTGAATATTCATGCCAAGTTTGGTCCAGATCCATCATTGTTTGAGTCCTCAGTGTTTTCTGGATGTAGGTAAACGACAACTCCAAAACTCTAGGTCAATGTCCACCAAAAACCTTCCAGTACTTTCTGTTGGTCGTGTGACAAGTTTGGTTCAATTCCATCGTTGGTGGAATTCAGAATGCTCTTTGAATGTAGGTTAACTATAAATCCCAGCAACTACAACTCCCCAATGACAAAATCAGTCCCCACCTCCCAACCCCACCAGTATTCAAATTTAGGTGTACCGGGTATTTGTGCCAAATTTAGTCCAGTGAATAAAAATACATCCTGCATATCAGATATTTACATTATGATTCATAACAGTAGCAAAATTACAGTTATGAAGTAGCAACGAAAATAATTTTATGGTTGGGGGTCACCACAATGTGAGGAACTGTATTAAGGGGTCGCAGCATTAGGAAGGTTGAGAAAGACTGGTTTAAGGCATTTCATAATGGAATTAAAACAGATGCCTGGTATGCATATACTATTGCTATAGCACTTTGATTTTGATTTTGTTGCCATGCCCCCCTCCTATGGAACACTGGGATTTGTAGTTTGGTGAAACATGACTGCCATCAGGTAAATAATTCTAAATATCTCATGAAACTAAATGGTGGGAATTCACAGATGGAACCATGGTAGCTAAAGGCATATACTAACAGGATGGGTTCTTTCAGTCCTAGCTGTCTTTCCACTGGCAGGCAAACACCTTTCTATTTAGGAACGCAATTGGTTTTTAACACATTGCAGCAGATGGGGCTTTTAATAAGGGTATGTTGTTTTTATTTTTTACCGTTTGAAATGTGAAATTTAAAAAACATTATTTTCCATCGATATGGGGCTGTGGTAGGAGCCCCCGGTGGCGCAATGGGTTAAACCCTTGTGCCAGCAGGACTGCTGACCGAAAGGCTGGCATTTTGAATCCGGGGAATGGAGTGAGCTTCCGTCTGTCAGCTCCAGCTTCCATGAAGGGACATGAGAGAAACCTCCCACAGGATGGTAAAACATCTAGGCGTCCTCTGGGTAATGTCCTTGCAGACGGCCAATTCTCTCACACCAGAAACGACTTGCAGTTTCTCAAGTTACTCATGACATGAAAAAAAAAATGGGGCCGTGGTTAGCACAGTGGGTTAAACCGCCAGCTACAGAAAATCTTGCTGACAGGGAGGTTGGCAGTTCAAGCTGAAGATCAGGGTGAGTTCCCGCTGTCAGCCTTAGCTTCTGCTTACCTAGCAGTTTGAAAAGAGCAATGTGAGTAGATAAATAGGTACCACTTTGGCAGGGAGGTAAAAGGCACTCCTGACGTCATGCAATTCAATCAGGAAGGTGTCCACAGACAACAGGCTCCTCGACATGGAAAATGGAACAACAGCACCTCCCTTTGGGCAAGTCGAGCACAACCTCCAGATGCTGGAGATGAAAAAGAGGGAAGCCTTGCCTCTGTCTATGTACTGCATGTCTTTGTTAATTGTATAACGGCATTGAATGTTTGCCATGTATGTATTCTGTAATCCACTCTGAGTCCCTTTGGGGAGATAGAGCAGAATATAATTGCAGTATATTATTATATTAGTTTTTAAAGTAGAAATCTGGTTTGATTCTGCTTTAACTTTCGTGTTAACAGTTGTTGCATTGCACTGTGTTTTGAAATGTTGTAAAAAACCTTGAATCCAATGCTGGGAGAAAGGGGGAGTATAAAATAAGAATAACACTATGTAACATAATTCTTGTTCCTGGATTATTAATGTCATTTCCTAATTGGTTTGATCATAAAAACATGGAAGGTTCATCTCTCGCCTTTTATTTTTTTTCCGCCACAAATGAGTTTTGGTGGTCGTAGAGCTGGCTTGCAAGTAAGTCTCGAGCACAGAGGAAAGCACTGACAACCTTTGTCCCGTGACGATTTTTTCTTTTCTTCATGTGTAGTATAATTATGTGTATCTTTAATAAAAATGTTGTCGTTTTTGGTATTACAGACTCCAACCCTGGGGGTTGCATCATTTGACACAGCCACCTGTGACATGTGTATTTTTTATTCCTTTGTTTTGTAGTTTGGCATATTTAAGGGTGTAGTCTGGAGACTTATGTTTTGTTGAGATGGTGGCTTGCGTAGCTGATTTGCCATATCAGGGGCGGAGCCACTCCCTTCCCGCGGCAGTTGTTTTTTTAAGTCAGTCTCGCCATGTCTACCTGGAGCCGAGTCCTCTGGTGGTAGCTTCCGATGTGTCTGTATCCGTGTTCTTGGCAGCCTAATCTCGGTGGGTTCGGACTCCATTGTGACCCAGTAGTTTGCGAGCGCCCTGGAGTGCGAGCTACGGTTGTTGTTCTATTCTAATCAGTTTGGCTGGTTTCCCTGCTGCTGCTGTGACGTGTAGTCTGTGCCTGAATTACTCTGAACCTTTCCATGTACCCTCATTTTGCCTCTTTTGAAGTACGTTTAACCGTTCTCCCTCCGTTCCACTACCCTTTGTTCCGTCTCCGCAAGCTTGCTGATCAGTTTCTCCTAATGCACAGCCTGCCTTCCCTTCCCGCCCGGAAATCACGCTCGCTATCACTAATAAAGCTTCTGTACTTACCAGTCCCTTATAACTCCTCCTGTTGATATTGCTCGTTGTCCCTGCTCCTCTCGATTACGGTGGCATGGGTGTTTTACCCTTGCCCCTTCCCCTTTGGTGGCCTTCGTGCTTTCAACGTCTCTTCCACCCCTACCACCCTGTCTGTCTCCCTCTACCCACTAAACCACGCACGGGGCCTTTCCCCGCCCCTCCCGCCCCCGACCCAGGAGACCGGGGCAGGAACGGACCAAAAAGCGACAGACCGCCAACCGAAGCCCAGACGACAGACCAGGGGATGGCACCCCCCGGCCGGCGCGGGCAGGGCCACCGAGAGCGGGAAGAGGCTAACGGTAAAGTAAACGAAGAAAGGGGAAAGAAAAGGAAGAAAAGAGAGACAGCAGAAGAGAAAGAAAAAGTGGGAAGGAAGGAAAGAGAAGGAAGAAGAGAAGGAAAGACGGGAAGGAAGGAAGGAAAGAGGGAGTGAAGGAAGGAGGGAAAGAAGGAGAGAAAGAGGGAAGGTTGGCCACAGCAAAGCATGGCAAGTACAGCTAGACTATATAAATAAAAATGTAATGTTCGTTTGTGGGATTAACATAACTCAAAAACCACTGGACGAATTGACACCAAATTTGGACACAATACACCTAACAACCCAATGTATGTCCTTCACTCAAAAAAAACTGATTTTGTCATTTGGGAGTTGTAGTTGCTGGGATTTATAGTTCACCTACAATCAAAGAGCATTCTGAACCCCACCAAATGGAATTGAACCAAACTTGGCACACAGTTCTCCCATGACCAACAGAAAATACTGGAAGGGTTTGGTGGGCAGTGTCCTTTGGTTTTTGAGTTGTAGTTCACCTACATCCAGAGATCACTGTGGACTCAAACAATGATGGATCTGGACCAAACTCTACACAAATACTCAATATGCCCAAATGTGAACACTGGTGGAGTTTGGGGAAATAGAATCTTGACATTTGGGAGTTGTAGTTGCTGGGATTTATAGTTCACCTACAATCACAGAGCATTCTGAACCCCACCAACGATAGAATTGGGCCAAACCTCCCACACAGAACCCCCATGACCACCAGAGTGGGCCACAGCAATGTGTGGCAGGGGACGGCTAGTAATAATAATAATAATAATAATAATAATAATAATAATTCTATCATGCTTCTTCCCTCCCAAAGGAGATTCAATGTGGCTAAATATGCTGTAATTGGGTCATGACAGAGAGAGACTGGAGTCTCCTCTATACAGCAATGACTGTAAAGAGAACTCCACCCAGCAACATTCAACTTAAACATCCTAAATGAATGACTTTGTGTAAAAACGCCATCACAACAAACCCTTCTGCTTTCCTTCAATATGGAAAGCTTTGCCTTGATTGCAATCCCCCTTCTAGCTTTGCTCAATGCAAACAGTTGTTGTCTTTTGCGCTCAGGATATTTCAGTTGCTATAGCCCACCATCTCAAGTGAAGGATGCCCCACCTGGTTCATGTGCCAAGCCTAAGAAGTACCGCCTCTCATCTGGAGTCACTGTCATGTCATCCAGGGTGCAGAGCTGTGGGAGGCTGTCAATGGTGAAGCCCCGATAGACGGGGAGCAGAGAGAGCGGGTTCCCCTGCAGCACCAAGATCCGGAGTGTCTCCAGTGTCATCAGCTTGGAAATGAGGCTTAGCAAGTTGTTGAAATTGTTGTAGCTTAAGTCCAGGGAGACCAAGTTTGGCCTGAAAGCAAGAAGAGACATCTTTCTGAGCAAACGGACTCACATTTCCAGAGATGTGCTCAGTGATTCAAGGATGCTTGCTAGGGAACCCACTCTATGGCTGATCCGGATGGGTTTTGTTTCTGTTCGTTCTCATTTCATTGGGGATCTATGTGACTTCTCCCTCGTCCTGAAGCATTCCCAGGGAATCCCTGGTATTGCCATGGATGTTTTATTCCCTAAGTCAGTTGAAATTAACTCAATATTTTCAGAAATTGAATGTCTGGCTACTTGGTTGTGGGTAGTGCAACAGATTAAACTGTTGAACTGTTGAATCTGCTGACCTGAAGGTTGGCTGTTCGAAGCCGTAGGTCGGGGTGACCTCCTGCTCTTAGCCCTAACTCCTGCCAACCTAGCAGTTTGAAAACATGCAAATGTGAGTAGATCAATAGGTACTTTTTTTTGTCGTGTCAGGAGCGACTTGAGAAACTGCAAGTCGCTTCTGGTTTGAGAGAATTGGCCGTCTGCAAGGACGCTGCCCAGGGGATGCCCGGATGAATTGATGTTTTTATCATCCTTGTAGGAGGCTTCTCTCATGTCCCCGCATGAGGAGCTGGAGCCGATAGAGGGAGCTCATCCGCCTCTCCCCGGACTCGAACCTAGGTACTGCTTTGGTGAGAAGGTTATAAAGACGCCCAAGCAGCCATGCTGGCAACATGACCAGGAGATATCTATGGAAAATAGACTCCTTGGCTTGGAAATGGAACAAGAGCACCTCCCCAAGGCCAGAGTTGAGCACAGCCTCCAGAAACTGGAGATTAAAGGGGAGGCCTTTACCTTTTTCTGTGTATTTGTGTCATAGAATCATAGAATCATAGAGTTGGAAGAGACCTCATGGGCCATCCAGTCCAACCCCCTGCCAAGAGGCAGGAATATTGCATTCAAAGCACCCCTGACAGATGGCCATCCAGCCTCTGTTTAAAAGCTTCCAAAGAAGGAGCCTCCACCACACTCCGGGGCAGAGAGTTCCACTGCTGAACGGCTCTCACAGTCAGGAAGTTCTTCCTCATGTTCAGATGGAATCTCCTTTCTTGTAGTTTGAAGCCATTGTTCCGCGTCCTAGTCTCCAAGGAAACAGAAAACAAGCTTGCTCCCTCCTCCCTGTGACTTCCTCTCACATATTTATACATGGCTATCATATCTCCTCTCAGCCTTCTCTTCTTCAGGCTAAACATGCCCAGCTCCTTAAGCCGCTCCTCATAGGGCTTGTTCTCCAGACCCTTGATCATTTTAGTCGCCCTCCTCTGGACACATTCCAGCTTGTCAATATCTCTCTTCAATTGTGGTGCCCAGCATTGGACACAATATTCCAGGTGTGGTCTAACCAAAGGGAGGAATAGAGGGGTAGCATTACTTCCCTAGATCTAGACACTATGCTCCTATTGATGCAGGCCATTTTAAAGCAGAAAGAAGAAAGATGTGTCATTCTTATTTCACTGTATTAAAGGCATTGAATGTTTGCCTGTCTGTATATCTTGTAATCTGCTCTGAGTCCCCTCGGGGAGCTAAAGCGGAATATAAATAAAGTGTTTTATTATTATTATTATTATTATTATTATTATTATTATTATTATTGGTTGACAAGAATCAAAACAAAACTGGAAAATCTCAATACACTCCCAGAGATTTTTTTGCCCCCCTGCCTTTCTGCTTATGTTAAATCAGCTGTCGGAATTTAAGACACAACTTAAGACCCATCTCTTCCGACAGGCCTACCCAGTCAGTTTTAGCGTGTGAATTTTAACCTGCATTTTAACTCTGTGTATCTTGTATTTGAATAGTGTTTTATTGGTGTTGTATCCCACCTCAAGCTGCAAGGAGATGTGGGTAATAAATATATTGTTGTTGTCGTCGTCGTCGTCATCTGCCTATGTCTATCTGCTGGAAGATCTAGAGATTCCTACAAAAGTGTTTCCATCCCAACCCCAATTTCAAGAGGGCCCTATGTCCCTAGACCCAATGAATGTGGTGGGCTGACTATACATCAGGGCTACTCCTGTCTCCTCCAGAGCTTGCTATTACCAGAAATTGGCCGTGAGGTATCGCTCCTCGGGTGAGCCCAGCTCGCAGTTGTGGCCCAGGCCAAGGTGCTGGAGTGATGGCGGTGCATGCTCACACAGGTCCTTCAAGCTATCCACTTTATTCCCACAAAGCTCCAGCACCTGCCAGAGGGAAAGGGAAGAGGGAGCCGATGTAGGATTTTGGCCGAGCCCAAATCCCACATGGCTTCAGTGCAATGTCGATATTATCGAAGTTACATCATACAGTCCCGATGCTGAATGCCAGCATACATGGATCAAAGGTCAAGGCACACACCCAGCCATCTCTTCTGTAATGCCAATGTGCAATCATACACTCACAGGGACGATAGGAGCTAAGATCCAACCCATCTGGAGGGTGCCAGGTTGTGGAAGGCGAGTCTCCTACACACACAAAGGCAATTGTTGCCATTGAATGCATCAGTTTACCTTCAGCGTCGGGGGGAGGTTAGTGGAATCGATTCTGCTGATCTGATTTGTGCTCAGGATGAGCTCTTCCAAATTTGGAAACTTTAATAAGCCCGCATCAATTTCAGTCACCTGAGAAGAGGAAGAAAACAAGTCAACGTACATATTCAAGGAGACAAACAAAACTAAAATATAATCTCAATCCATGATTTTATCTCAAAACTTCTGTCTGGCATGCAAAGATACCAAATTGTACAATACTCGAGTACCGGCAGGGGTGCAAAATGAGGGCACTGCCCCTGTTATCAAGCCCAAAAGATCCACCCGCCCTGCAGCTAAACATCACAGAGACCTGCAGCTGAGAGTTCAGCAAATCTTCCTTGTCCCAACCCGGCCACCGATGAAATAACTGGCAGCCACCCTCACTCAGGAGGGGCCCAGCAGCTGGCAGCAACCCCGTGGAGAACTATACAACCTAATCCTAATCTTTAATAGAAGAGTCAAAACTTTCTACAAACTCTCTATGTCTCCGTCTGCTTTCCTGCCAATATTTTCAAATCACTTCTGCATAGAAGGCAGCCGGCACTCTCTCATTGGCGGACTACCACAAGCTGGCATTACTTCAGCTGACTTTAATAAAATCTTTGGTGACGTCTCTCCAACTTGATGAGCATCATTTCATCAGATTGGGTTTCCTTATGTGTGCCAAGTGCACGGATCCACAGGCTGGCTGAGCACCTGGGCCACTCATTGCTTAATAGGTTTGGCTCATGGTTTTGGGTTCTGGCTATCCGCAGCACAGATCTCACTATATGCAGCCGCTCCAAATTGCTTTATTTCACCCCCAATGACAATTGTGCCCCTCCAACTAATTTTCCTTCAGTCCCTCTCTTTGAACATAAGCCAATCATCTTGTGATGGAATCATTGATTCTTTCCATCTTTGAGCAGAGAGAATTCTTGCTGTCATTGTCATGTATAGCAATAACCTTCCACAATTTCTATCACCCCAAGCAGATAAGAGGTTTGTTTCATTTCAAATTTGACTTTAATATTTTCTTCTAAAATCATCTGTATTTGTGCCCAGTATCTCTGGGTCTTTTTATATGACCACCACACATGATTTTAAAAGTGCCCACCTTTTCCTCACATTTCCAACAGTCACTATATAATAAACAAATAAAGCTTTATTTATATCCCACCACCATCTCCCTGAAGGGACTTGGGGCAGCTCACAAAAGCACTCAAAGTGCAACACACATAAAATACACAAATACATAAGCATATAAAACAATGACAATGAAAGGGTGGAAGGGAATGGAGGGAGGGAGAATGAGGGAGGGAAGAAAGAGAGAAGGAAGGAAGGAGAAAGGCAGAGAGGGAATGAGAGGAAAGAGGTAAGGGAAGAAGGAAGGAAAAAGGAAAAAGAGAAGGAAGGACAAAAAGGTGGAAGGGAATGGAGGTAGGGAGGAATGAGAAAGGGAGGAAAGAGAGAAGGAAGGAGAAAGAGGGAGGTAAGGGAGGGAGGGAGGTAAGGAGGAAGGAAAGAGAGAAAGAAGAAAAGGCAAGAAGGAAGGAAGGATGAAAGTGTGGAAGGGAAGGATGGAATGAAGGGAAGGAGGAAGGAAAAAGAAAAGGGAGGAAGAAAGGAAGAGAAGGATGAGGTGTGGAAGGGAAGGAGGAAGGAAAGATAGAAGGAAAGAAGGAAGGATGAAAGGGTGGAGGGGAATGGAGGGAGGGAGAATCAAGGAGGGAGGAAAGAAGGAGAAAGAGGGAGAGAGGGAATGAGAGTGGAAAGAGGAAAGGAAGGATGGAAAGATGGATAGGAAGGATGGATGGAATGAGAAAGAGGGAGGGAAGGGAGGGAGCGGGGGAGGTAAGAAGGAAGGAAAGAGAGAAGGAAGGAAAGACAAAAGGGAAAGAAGGATGAAAGCGTGGAAGGGAAGGATGGAAGGGAAGGAGGAAGGAAAAAGAGAAGAAAGAAAGATAGAAAGAAAGAGAAAGAAAGAGAAAAAGAAAGAGAGAAAGATGGAAGGACAGAAGGTAAGGAGGAAGGAAAGAGAGAGAGGAGGGTGGAAGGGAATGGGGCAGGGGAGAGAATGAGGGAGGAGGGACGGAAGGGAGGGAGGAAAGAGAGAATGAAGGAAGGAAGGAGAAAGAGGGAGAGGGAATGAGAGGGGAAAGAAGGAAGGAATGATAGAAGAGTGGAAGGGAAGGAAGGAGGAAGAGTGGAAGGGAAGGAAGGAGAAAGAGGGAGGGAAGGAGGAAGGAAAGAGAGAAGGAAGGAAGGAAATGCTAGTCAGAGAGAGGAGGGCCTGCGAAAAGAGCCCAAGGGGCCGCATCCAGCCCCAAGGACTGGGTTTGCTCATAATGGAAATATACCCTTAGAACTATTTTTATACATCTTAGCAATCCTTTCTGGTGTCAGGTACCATCTATACATCATTTTATAAAGATTTTCTTTCAAGTCATTGCACAGTGTAAATTTCAAACTTTTTGTCCAGACTCCACTCACATCTTTGTTGATGATCCGAAGTGACCTGAAGAAGGAGAGGATGAAGCTGTCTTTAATGATATGTGGCCAATGCACTGCTAGCTCTCTCAGTTGCTGGTCCATGGCACCGCAGTCACGTGGCAGAACCCAAGGCGAGCCGGGACTTCTCAGAAACTCAATCAGTGCTTCTGTGGTCTCTTCCTCCGGCGGTGGAGGCCCACCGCGGAAGGGCGGCTTGATGGGAATGAAGGCATGGCTGCCAAAAGTTTTGGCCGTGCTTGGTGGGAAGCGGGACTTGTTCTGCACCGGAGACAGGAAGGCCTGGATGTAAAAAGGCCTGCTTGGTGGAAGGAAGGCCAGGCCAAAACAGCAAAGTGTGACCCTCGTTAAACACTCATTAAAAACATCTAGAAGTAATGGACATTTAGAGAAGTGTGCTTTAAGTATGCATCCTTCCCCATCAAGCTTGAATTTTATTACATTTTGATTCATACTAATCTTAGAATATTATAAATGGAAGGTTTCCAGGAGCAATGTTATGTCTCTATACCTTCTGTTATGACAATTGATGTCTGTGTCTCTGTCTCTTACAAGGGGCTAGCTTAACCTTCCATTTGCTAATAGAACTGAATAACTGTGTTGTGAAATGTTTCACCAACACACAATGTTTGGAAAGCCCTGAGATAGAGCAAGGGCAGTTCAAATGGTACCAAACTGCTCTGATTGAGCAGTATGCATAGACTTCTAGCTTCAATATCTACACTATCTTTACCTAAAATTGGGCTAGATATTAATTAAGGAGTAATGGACACTGTCAGGCCTTCTGAGAAAGAAATGATCTGCCTGAGCTTAACGTTGGCAATCTAAGACAGATAAAGCTTCCGTATAGCATGGAATGGGGATATGCTCAGTAGTGATTCCTTTCTGGTTGGATAATGTATCTCTTTCAAAATTCAAAGGCTTTAGTTCTCCAAATGGATTATAATTTTCACAGTATCTTTTTGCCTGTGGCAACATTTGCACATGGTGCACTGAGCACCAATGCCCTTGTACAGGGATGCACCATTTTAAAGATTCTTTTGGGACAGTTACAACAAAATCATAGTGCAGGGCTGTGTGGGGTGGTAGCATTCGAATGGTATCAGAAACAACATTGATCAGCTTGGTGGATGATCTACGAAGAGAGCTAGACAGGGGGAGTGTGTCCCTGCTGGTTCTCTTGGACATCTCAGCAGCTTTCGATACCATCAGCCATGGTATCCTTCTGGGTCAGCAATCTGGGATGGGGCTTGGGGGCATTGCCTTGCAGTGGCTCCAGTCCTTACTGGAGAACTGATCCCATATGGTGGAGCTGGGGGACTCTTGTTCAGTTCCCAGGCTGGGGGCCTGTGAGGTCTTTCAGGGTTCAGTTCTCTCTCCCATGCTGTTTAACATCTATATGAAACTGCTGGGAGAGATCATCCAGAATTTTGGAGTTGGGTGTCAAATTTATGCAGATGACACCACACTCTATTACTTCTTTCCACTGAATGCCAAGGATGCTGTCCTGGTCTTGAACTGGTGCTTATCATCAGTGATGGACTGGACGAAGGCTAACAAGTAGATATTAAATCCAGACAATACAGAGGTACTCCTGGTCAGTCAAAAGGCGGATCTGAGTGTGGGGCTACAACTTGTGTTGGAAAGGGTCACACTTCCCCTCAAGACACAGGTTCACAATCTGGGGGTGACCCTGGACTCATCGCTGACCCTGGAGCCCCAGGTGTCGGCAGTGGCCAGGAGCACCTTCATACAGTTAAAACTTGTGTGCCAGCTGCACGCATACCTTGAGACGCCAGATCTGGCCATGGTAGTCATACCTTAGTCACATCCTGCTTGGACTACTGTGACATTTTCTACATGGGGCAGTTCGGAAGCTTCAACTGGTTCAGAGATCGGCAGCCAGGTTGCTAGCTGGAGCACCGCACAGGGAGAGAACTTCTCTCATGTTGCGACAGCTCCTCTGGCTGCCGGTCCGCTTCCAGGCTAGATACAAAGTGCTAGTTATTACCTATAAAGCCCTAAACAGCTCAGGTCCAGGCTATTTGCCAAATTGCATATCCTCCTATAAACCATCTCGACCACTGCAATCAGCGGAGGAGGCCCTACTCTCAGTCCCACCCCGTTTCAAGAGAAGCTGGTGGCTATGTCTTTGTGTGATACATGATGATATTTTATGTGATGTGTTCAATAATGTTTAATGTTTTATCAGGGGAGGGTCAATTTTGATGTTTTATACTGTTTATAATCAATGGCATTGAATTGTTACCAACACTGTGAACCCCCCGAGTCCCCTTTGGGGGACTGCAAATAAATAAATAAATAAATGAGAAATGGGGCCTTTTCCGTAATCGCCCCCCCCCCCCAACCACTGGAATTCCCTGCCTAAAGAAATAAAAATGGCCCCTCCCTCCTCTCCAAAAACAATTTAAAACTTATTTCTGCAGATTGCCATATGGAGAGGAGGATGACTAAAAGTCTATACTCACTCAAGTCCTGTTCCGAATTTGTCACCATACTCTGACTCAGTTGGTTTTGGCTTAGTTGACTCTGTTGATCTCACTGGCTCCATTGGCTATATTACATTTTAATAATGATTTTAAATGAATGTTATATGTTGTTTGCATACGTAATTTATGTTTAATGTTGATTATGTTAGATTAACTGATTGCTTTATGTTTCTATTTATGCATTGGATCTGGCATTGAACATTTGCCATCTTTTGTTGTGATCCACCCCTTGGGGAGAGAAGGCGGAAGGTAAATAAAGTATTATTATTATTATTATTAACACCCTCGGGCCTTTTGAGAAAGAAATGATCTGCCTGAATTTAACGTTGGCAATCTAAGATAGATAAAGCTTTCACGTAGCATGGAATGGGGACATGCTCAGTGGTGACTCCTTTTTGTTTGGATTAACATACATCATTCTTTTAGGACTGAATATCTTTCAAAATTCAAAGGCTTCAGTCCTCCAAATGGATTTTGACCTCCACAATACCTTTTTGCCTGTGGCAACATGTGCACACAAGTTGTGCGCACTGTGCACCAATGTCCTTGGAAATACACAGTTTCCAAGGACATTCTGTAACAGCGACAGTTACAGTTACAACAAAATCATAGTGCAGGGCTGTGTAGCATTCAAATGGTATCGCACAAAGGCCTCTAGAAAGCCATAGGAATGCTCCAAAGTGTGTTTCCTGGGCAAAACGCATGGGGGGAAAAGACAAGCAGGCTTCAAAGCACTCCCTTTCTTACCCAGCTCCCGATCCCACAGGGAAATTGATTCAGGCACAGCTGGCGGATGTGTTTCCAAAAGGCCGCGGAGGCGCCCATGCCTTCCATGGCTCCGCTTGGCAGTTCAAGGCAAACGGCAGCACCAGCAGCAACCCATGTGTACCAGCAGAGTGCGTCCTGTGTTGCTAGGAGATGGACTTGTTGCTAGGAGACACCAAGATGACACTCAGCAGCAGATGTGAGCATCAGGATGCTTTTAGCTTCAAAAGGGGTCACAATACAGAGGCCCCGAAGGCTGTAACCTTATGCCTGGCCCCACTCATCTCAAGGGGGTCTTTCCTCTGAACAGGGGTACTGAGAATGTATTGTCAAAGGCTGTGAGTTCACGGACGTGCAAGACACGGATCTGGGATTTTTTGTTATCAATAAAACCCATTGTGTGGCAAAGTTGCCATGCCAAGCCTTTGACACAAATGGAAAGAGTCAGATCATGGGGCAAGATAAAAAAAATCATTTGAAATGATTTCCGGGTGTAGGGGAAGGGATGGAAACCGAGATTTCTAGTTGCGCACACAGATCATGAGCAGATACCAGATTTCTGCAAAGTAATTCTTGTTTCCCCCCCTTTTCTAGTGCTGTGCACAAATCTCAACTCATATCTCAGATTGACTGTGAGTCGCTCGTTCCAGCTGCAAGAGAAGCAATTGCATTTCTGAAATGCACTGGTATAGAGGACTGAAATAATTATATAGTGGTGCAATGACTCATTTCTCAGGTGGATCCATGCTGAAATTCAGGTGAAAACAGACTTGCAATTATTTAGAATAATATATTGTGGCACAAACAGTAAATGTGTGCAAAATCCATGAGTAAAAGAACATGATCATAAACTACACATCACCTTGAATCCTGGAGACCTGCTAAATGGTAAATCAATACCATTGATTCAATAGCTGTGCTTTAGATAAGGCTAACAGTAATACAATAGAATATAAACATGGAAGGGTCCCCCAAATGCCATCCAGTCTAACCCCATTTTGCCAGGCAGGAAGACACAACCAAAGCTCTCCAAACAGATAGCCACCCAGTCTTTGTTTAAAAATCTCCAAAAAAGGCAGCATATTCCACTGCCAAACAGCTTTTATCATCAGGAAATTCTCCATGTTTAAGTGGAATCTTGTTTCCTGCCATTTGATTCAATTACTCCTAGTCTTTGGAGCAGAAGAAAACAAGCTTGCCTTCTTCTCAATGGGACAGCCTTTCAAGTATGTGGTTCTCCTGTCTCCTCAGGCGTCTCTTCTCCAGCTCCTTAAGCTCCTTCAGACGTTTTTCCTGGACATCTGCCCCCAGAAATCATGAACACAAGGCCAAGCAATGGTTTTCAAAAGGTCTGGTGTGATTCATGGGAGCTTGGCCAATACTCTGAAGACACACACTCAAAAATCATAATTTGATTCTGCCTTTTCCCGTAAGTCTGCTCCCAACAGAAGGACCTCAAAACTCAGAAGGTTTAACTCGATTACTGGGGGACACTTTATTTTGGGCCCTTTATTCCACCTCCAGAAGTGATCCAGAAGTTGGCTCTCAGCGGCTGAATTGCCAATCCTCTGGTGTATGAGGGGCATTTCAGACCAAAAGATGGGGGTCCAAAGTCCCCCTTGAGAGTTTAGGAAGCTCTGAAACTATTGGGTCTCCTCTTTGCCAGCTTTCAGAGAACAAAAGAAGATATGATAAGAACACAAGAAGCGGGGAAGTCTAGCTTTTACAAGAACTCAGGAGACTGTGAGGAGAGAGCAACACTGCAGACCGAATTAAATGGAATCCTGGAAGTTGTCGTTTGGGGAGGCATCCACACTCTTTGGCAGAAGAAGCTAAAGACATGGTAGGACAACCATGGCATTGAGCCATGGTAATTCGGGTGGTGTCAAACTGCATCTGTTTCATAGTGTAGAATCACCCAGAGTGTGGGAGGCGAGGGATATGTTGTGGGCACTGCCAGGCCAGCCGTGCAATGGGGAGGTCCAGCCACCCATCGAATTCAAAGAAGTCCCCGGGTTCACCCGATAAACATCACCAGGGAGGCCAAATCTGCGATTAGAGGAAATTGATCAAAATCAGTCCCACATCCCACTTGCGCATTTGCCGCAGAAGGGAAGAAACCATGCAAAGGTCACGTAGTCGGGCAGGAGAGATACGATCAGGGAGCCCGGGCTATATAAGCCAGCTTCCACAGTCCCCAAGACAAAAACAGAAGCCCAACAGGAAAGTTGACAATGGCTGTTTTCACCACTCCAAGTACCATGCTGGCTCTTAAGGGTAAGTACATTGCATGATAGCATATAGCTTATTAGCTACATCTTTTATTCTATATTATTTTAAATTACATTTTATATGTTATGTGTCCAAGTCAAATGAGTGTAAGATAAATATAAAGGTTTCCCCTTGACATTAAGTCTAGTTGAGTCCAACTGGGGGGGGTGGGGTGGTGCTCATCTCCATTTCTAAACCAAAGATCCGGCGTTGTCCGTAGACACCTCCTAGGTCATGTGGCCGGCATGACTTCATGGAGCACCGTTACCTTCCTGAGGGAGCAGTACCTACTGATCGACTCACATTTGCATGTTTTCAAACATTTCGCAGATGCTGGGGATAACAGTGGGAGCTCACCACATCCGTGGATCAAAACTGCCAAGCTTCTGATCAGCAAGTTCTGCAGCTCAGCGGCTTAACCTGCTGTGCTACAGCAGGCCTTTTCTAATTAGTGTACCATAGAAAAATACGGGGAAGTAAGCAGACTATATGAATGTGGACTTTTGGGTCACTAATTTAACTGGGTCTCGATACCTGGTTGCATGCTTGACCTTGGAATGAGATCAAGAAAAGAAGTCCTCACATTTACTTCTTTTTTGGGGTAGTTTTCTTTACCCCTTGGACATCGAACTCCTGTTCTCATTAGCCTTAACCAGCAAGGCATGGAGCCAAGGCAAGGCATGGAGCCAAGGTTCATCAGCATCTGGAGGCCCAATTGTTTCAGGCAAAGCTTGCGCTTTTTCAATTGTAGTCCTCTCCCAACCAAAATCTAGTATGGGATTGCAAGCTTTGCCTATGCCTCAACTTTCAATGTCATAGGAGTTCCACATTGGAAGTGAAGATCGGTTGTGGTGGACAAGGAGGAACCTTCTGCTGAGAAGTATCTCCAAAACAGTAGCATGAGAAAGGGAGAGAGTAGCATGAGAAACAGTAGCACGAGAAAGGGAAAATGACCAAAATCCCATCTTCCTAAGTGGATCTACACATGTAAAAAATAGAATTTGGACAATTCTGTATTCAGCAAGGACATTAAGTTATTACAGAGGAACTATCAGAAGTGACCAATGCAGAACAGGGTACATGTTGTGCATGTGAACATCAACAAGAGAGTGCTGACACACATCAGGACTCTCTTGTTGGCATCTTGTGACGCAAAGTACTAAGAGTTTCTTACCATCTACGTTATGTAGATAAGGATACATACATTGATACGATGTATGCTGGGATCAATGATTCCAGCCCACATTTGGCTCATTGGTCACGATGAACCATCGCACTGATTTGCCTCTTTGCTCCCCAAACAGGTTTCTCTGCCTTGATCTTTGCCCTCGGCTTGGTGACGGCGGACCCCTGTTCTCAACACAACTGTACCTCAGGACATATTGATGAGTTAGCCAAGCTAGGAAAAGACCTTGTCAAACACTATGTAAGTATGCTGAAATTATTTCTTTCCTTTCTATGATCCTAAAGAAATTGCACTCAAATAAAAAAGCATTCAGTCAAAGATACACATTTCAAGGCAATACTGTTGTCCTGAGATTCCTCCCTTGCCCCCCAGGACCCTACAAGAAGAAAGTAGTAACTCTCTCAGGCAGTCGTTTTATCTGACTGTATACAGGTCTTTCTGGGTTATAGTCTCTTTATATACAAGGTTGGGTGAAAATAAAATTGCCTCCTGGGTCATAAAAACATTATGAATGAACCTATAACAGCAAAAGTTGCTACAGATCTTAGCCTGAACTGTCCTCTACTGTTCAGCATAGTCACCATCAATTTGTACACAGGTTGTTGTAGGTTTTTCCGGGTTATATGGCCATGTTCTAGAGGCATTTTCTCCTGATGTTTCGCCTGCATCTATGGCAAGCATCCTCAGAGGTAGTGAGGTCTGTTGGAACTAGGAAAATGGGTGTATATGTCTGTGGAATGACCAGGGTGGGACAAAGGACTCTTGTCTGCTGGAGCTAGGTGTGAATGTTTCAACTGACCACCTTAATTAGCATTTGATGGCTTGGCAGTGCCTGGGGGAATCTTTTGTTGAGAGGTGATTAGATGTGACTGATTGTTTATTCTCTGTTTTCCCACTTCTGGCCTGCCAAGGGCACTTATCCGGCCCGCGAGGAGGAGCGCCCCCCCCCCCACAGTGCCCCTCCCTTGGCTGGCTCACGCTATCCGTCAGGCCCGATGGGCAGCGTGAGCCAGCCAAGGGCAGCTGCTCCGCATGGCCTACTCGCCCGTAAAGCACCTCGCGAGGTGCTTTACTCGCAAGTAGGCCGCACAGGGCTGCTCCTCCCTTGGCAGGCTCACGCTATCCGTCAGGCCTGATGGACAGCGTGAGCCAGCCAAGGGCAGCTGCTGCCTGGCCTACTCACACTGCCCATCGGGCCTGACAGATAGCATGAGCCTGCCAAGGGAGGAGCAGCCATGCGGCTCGCATGGTACTTTATGCGCGAGTAGGCCGCGCGGGGCTGCTCCTCCCTTGGCAGGCTCACGCTATCCGTCAGGCCCGATGGGCAGCATGAGCCAGCCAAGGGAGGCTGCCCCGGCGCTCTATGCAGTCATGCCGGCCACATGACCTTGGAGGTGTCTATAGACAACGCCGACTCTTCGACTTAGAAATGCAGATGAGCACCACACCCCAGAGTCAGACACAACTGGACTTCATGTCAGAGGAAAAACTTTAACTAGGAAAAATGTGGAAGATCCAGGGTGGGAGAAAGAACTCTTGTCTGTTGGCGGTTAGGTATGAATGTTTCAATTGGCCACCTTGATTACCATTTCACAGCCTGACAGTTTTTAGGGAAAATCCTTTGTTGAGAGGCGATTAGCTGGCCCTGATTGTTTCTTGTCTGGAGTTCTCCTGTGTTTGAGTGTTGTTCTTTATTTACAGTTATATTTTCAGATTTTTTTAAATACTGGTAGCCAGATTTTGTTCAGACTAGAAATAGGAAGATTTCCCATTCCCTGCTCCTGGAATTACTGCCTTAAAGAGGACTAGAAAGAACCCCCTCTAAGGGCCCTTCCACACAGCAAAATAAGATATGTGCAATGTGCATAGGATTTTTTATTGATTTTTTTTAAAAAAAACTATAGTCTGGCCCTCCAACGGTCTGAGGGACAGTGAACTGGCCCCTGGTTTAAAAAGTTTGAGGACCCCTGCTCTAGAACAATGCCACATAACCCAGAAAAACCTACAACAACCCAGCGATTCCGGCCATGAAAGCCTTCCACAATTTGTACGCATTTGAGCCATCATTGAACCCAGGCATCAAAACCATTTTCGAAAAATTCAGGGTTTTGCTTCATTGGCCATGATTTTAAAGCTGTGTTAACATCATTCAAGTCATTGAATCTGAAACCACGTAGGTTGACTTTCAGGGCCCTTCCACTGAGCTATATCCCAGACTATCAAGGCAGAAAATCCCACAATATCTGCTTTGAACTGGGTTATCTGCCATATGTTCCAGTTCAAAGCAGAAAATGTGGGATTTTATTCAGCTGTGTGGAAGGGACCTCAGAGGTCCAAACAGGTAAAAGTCAGAAGGGGGCAAATCATAAACATTCTTCAAGTGAGGGTGGATTTCCTTAGGTGTACAACCTTCTTTTGCCAGGAATTCAATGATGACTCTTTCTTTTAGCTTCAGATTCATGGTTCTAATCAGTCAATTGGAAAAAGAAAAGACTGGATCAGTAGAGTAAGGTTACCTCTATCATATCATAAATAGATAGTCCAGGAGTGCTGAAAGAAATAAAATAGAGTGTTGGAGGCATTACTTTTTGACCCACCCTCGTATTATCACTCAGTTTTGTATTAACAAACCTATGCCTTCTTCCCCCTTTGACAGGAAAAGGCCACAGGCATCATTGCCACTGAAACTCGTTACTACACAGCAGAAGTTCCAGGACTACCTAACTGCACATCCCATGGCGATCATAACATCTGTAACACCTTCCCATTCTTTAAAGGAGTATTTGAAGACTTCAACAGCCCCCTCAGCGATGACATTATGAATCAGGGCCAAAAAACACCTTTGGTGACCATCATCTCCAAAATCCTGGAAATTCAACATTGTTGTTACGAGTCCCAGGCTTGCCTTCCACGTCTTCCTCGCCCACCTCCGGACACGCTCACAAAGAAAATAATGTTTTACAATGCTTTCAGAAAGTATCAGAATTATGCAGAGAAAGCACAAAATTCCCAATGAATCAAACAGAATTGGCTCCAAGTAAAACATGCATTGAGTAGACACCACTAGGAGTCTAATGGCTATGGAATCAGATATTTATTCTATTTAGTATATATATATTATATTACCAATACAAATTTATATGTGAAGACAGGGATATTTACAGTCTATTGAAATTGTATTCTTCTATATTTATATTCAGTTTTTTGACATATTTAATATTTATTCAATGTATTCAGTATGAAATGCCAACTTATAAGAAAGATTGAGCATCAGCAATTATATACGTACTTTGTGGATCTCAGGAACAAAGATCTTCATACATTTTAATCTATCTATGAAATACCAAGTATTTATTGCTTTTAAAGTTTACTCCAACTTTGGGGGTGGTGGTGGTGGTGGTGGTGGTGGAGGGAATAATGATATAAAAAGGACTTTTAAGAGTACAACTTGACATTTTGTGTCTACATATTAAAGAACAGATAAAATAAAATTCATGAGCATCACATTTGCATTGGGATTTTTTTCAGTGACATTTGGAGTATTGTTTGTTGAAGGAATGGGGTTGAAGGCTTTAATGGCCAGAATCACTGGGTTGCTGTGAGCTTTCCGGGCTGTCTGGCCATGTTCCAAAAGCATTCTCTCCTGACGCAGGCATCTATGGCAGGCATCCTCAGAGGTTGTGAGGTCTGTTGCAAACTAGGCAAGCAGGGTTTATATATCTGTGGAATGTCCAGGATGGGAGAAAAAACTTCCATGTGTTGGAGACAAGTGGGAATGTTGCCATTGGCCAGTTTGATTAGCATTGAATGGCCTTGCATCTTCAAAGCCTGGCTGCTTCCTGACTGGGGGAATCCTTTGTTGGGAGGTGTTAGCTGGCCCTGATTGTTTCCTGTTGGGAACATGAATGGCACTGCAGACTAATTCAAACAGAGAAGTCAGCCATAGCAGAGCACCTGATGAACCAACCTGGACTCAGCATATTACTGGAGAACACAGGAATGCTGGACCACTCTAACAACCACCATGTCACACTATGAAGAGAAGTCACTGAAATCCACAAACATGTGGACAATTTCAACAGAAAGGAGGAAACCATGAAAATGAACAAGGTCTGGCTACCAATATTTTTTTAAAAAAACTCTAAAATCAGGACAGTAAATAAAGAGCAACACTCAAAAAATAGGGGAATTCCAGACATGAATCAATCAGGGCCAGATAACACCTCCCGACAAAGGATTCCCCCAGACAGCAACAGCCAGGCTTTGAAGCTGCAAGGCCATTCAATGCTAATCAAGCTGGCCAATGGCAACAATCACACTTGCCTCAAACAGACAAGAGTTATTTCTCCCTCCCTGGACATTATTCCACAGGATATATATAAGCCCCACTTGCCTAGTTTGCACAACCTCTGAGGATGCCTGCCATAGATGTGGATGAAATGTCAGGAGACAATGCTTCTGGAACATGGCCAGATAGGCCAGAAAACTCACAGCAACCCAGAATAGACAAGTCTTTGCTTCCTATTTTTTAAAAAGGCTTCCCTTGGGCTGAAATGTTCAATTTGGTTTTCAGTAGCAAGATCTGAAAGTTCAGAGAGGTTCTAATGCAAGATACAACCTCACTGAAAATGCACATGCTACGCCAGGCTCAGTTTCAGTCCAAAAATAATATTTATTTTGGTTGTAATTGTAAAAAAGAAAACGTGATTGCACAGTTGAAAGCGATCAACCCAAGGGGTCACTACAGATCCCTTTTTGTCATGCAACTGAAAAGAAATCTTTACACACAAAGCTGCAACAAGGGTCTCTGTCAAGTCTCCAAATTTCCAAAACAGAAAGAGGGAAAAAAATGATGAAATAAAGCCCATTTATTGTACAAACGTCATCATTTGCAACTGTAAAAGAAACATTTTGTTCAAAAATAGTAATAAAGAAACAGAGAAAGAGAGGAAGTGTGCACATTTGAAATTCCAATATCATTTATTAAAACAAAATGCATATTTAAGGTTGCCATCGAGATAAACGGTGTAATCAACTGCGAAACCACCATTAACATGACCTCTGTACATGAATGGCAACTTTACAAAGCCATACAGAACCATGCCTTTTGCTGACCATTTTCTCCTTTACTCAGCAGATAAAAACAACAGCCGAGTTGTGAAGTACAGCTTACTATGATGAGTGTGATACGATCAGCTTTGGCTGGGAGAATGAGAAGGTCATCCCCTTCACATCCAGGGCAGCCAAAAGCAACAGCATTCACAGCATTTTAAGGAACAAAGACACATGCTGCCTATATCTTTTGACCCAAGAAGCAGCTTGAAGGGATGACATTGTAGAGGAGACACAGAATAGGAAGGCCTTATCATAGGAACAAGGTTAAAGACACTTGCTTGTGAGAAAGGAATACATTCAATTCTCTTTGGAGATGCCATAGGAGTGAATGTGGTGAGGGCCGATGTAACCTGGAGCCACTGATGGGGTTGTGACAAGGCAAGAGGTCTCCCAGAGCTGTGTCTTGTGCAATGGAAGGAAGAGTCTAAGACAGGACAAAGGTCATGATGTGTAGGCCTCTTGTCGACTAGGCCTGTGTAGCACCCCTGCCCCAAAAAGTGCCGCACAGTAAAACGGATGAACAAGTACAAGCTGTAGAGGTATATCGTGCATTACTGACTGCATTTGTGCACTTTGCGGAAGCGTTTTTGTTCCTTTGTCAGTGCTGGTAACCTGAGAGACTTTCCCTGAAGTGAAATTGCCCTCCAAATGCAGGTAAGGGAGACATGGGCCATCGGCACAGAGGAAAATCCTTTCCTAAAGGCTATCGGATACGTGATAGGAGAATGGCTAGACTTAAAGTTGTCCTTTGAACAGACAGCTCCTTCTTCTGAAAAGAAAGCTAACACAACATTTTCTAAGCACCTTTAGAAAAGTGCTTAGAAAGGAAGACCTCTACCTTTCTCTTTTAATCAAGGAACTATGCTTGAGAGATAGTTCTGCTACAGGTAAAACACAAAAAATATTAAGCATTAAAAAAATCTACCGAATGTTACATTAACATACTGAATAGCACAATTCTATATGAATCTACCTATGACGAGCCATGTTGGATCGGACCAAAGGCACCTTTAGTTGAACTTCCCATGTACCACTGTGGCCCAACCATAAACAGGAAGTGAATGTGACAGTCCTCTGCCGCAACTGGCATTCAGAGGCAACTGCCTCTGGAGATAGTGAAGGAAAGGGCAAATAAAAGGGTTTGGGACAACTTTCTGGTGGTTACACTCAGTCGAGACAGTTTGGAAGAATAAAATCAATGGCGCGGGGGGGGGGGGCATGGGAGAGGTGGTGTATACAGTTGTCCACAGGATGAAGAAAATAGATAAACAGATAAAGGTGCTCTATTTTTATTTAAAACCAGAATTCACCGAGTGTACCAGCAGAACTAAATGTGATACCGAATACAGTTAAACTAAGGAATGCTCTAGACTAGCCCTACACAACCTGCGGCCCTCCAGATGTTTGGGCCTCCAGCTCCCAGAAACCCCAGCCAGCTTCTTTCTGAATACCAGTTGTTGGGCAACATGGAGTGCTGTTGCTCTCAGACTTGGCTTGTAGTTCCTCATCAGAGCATCTCGTTGGTCACTGCAGGACTAGAATTACAAACCAGATGCGACGAGAGAGAAATTTAGCATGGATCCTTTTATGTTCCTAAAATATTTCCATGCACCCAAATATTTCCCCAAGAGAAGAAAAGATTGCATTGTTATGTGCCCAGCTGTGGCTACAGAGGCAGGGTGGCTAAGACCCCTGCACAAGGTGACCTGAGAAAGCTGAATCTCCAAAGACAGTATGGAGAACATCAGGTAGAGAGTACCACCATCTGTGAACCCCAGGAAGGAGTGCTGGAAAAAGAATCAAGAGTTGGCCCTGGGCTAGTCTGGTTCTTCCTCTTGCAAAGACAGCCAAGGAAGCTAGGAGGAAGAAAGAACAGCCCTGGCTCCTTGGCAGTTTTCTAGGCACAACACTCCTGGTTTGGGTTTGAAGGGAGGCTGGAAGAAATAGTGAAGCACAAAGACAACTGGAAGAATTAAGGTTAGGAAATATGTTGGATTCAAAGTATTGGGATAGTCATCTGCTGACTCTCACACACATCTTTATTCTAAACACACTCAAAGTATCAAATGGAAATGGAGCCGAAAATAGGAAAGAATATAATATCTGTGCCAAATTGGCACTATTAAGTGGAGCTGTTACGAAATTTGGATATGTAATGTTTGATGAATTTATGGGTTAAATTAAACTAATAGAGATAAAGCATGATTAATCAGGTGTAGGTGTGTGTGTGTGGGGGGGGGGGATATTTACATCCCCCTTCAATTACATACATACAATACATGTGTACAGATGTGTGAACAAACAAATGTATGCCAGCGCTTGAAAAACTGTAAAAGGCAAGCATCATCTCAGGAAGCATTTCTCCATTTTCTCCAAGATAAAGGAGGGAATGCTGTTTCCAAGATGACGCCTATGACTTCCCTATGATTGAAAAGCAGGAAATACCTTTCCCGCATTCAGGATATTGGTTCACTCAGGCAAATGAAGGCAACTGGCTAAACCAACAGAAGTTTTTCTTGACTGAGTAAAAGCCCTATTGCTAGATGCATTAAGAGCTGTGAAGTCAGTCTAGAGGCATGCGGCTACTGAATTCCCTCCCAAAGCACTGCCTTCCCCTGCACAAATGCCCTTGTCCAGGTTAGCATCAACTTCGCCTTGGCTGAAATTCACTCCTAACTGACGTGATCCCCTGGCTTGAGGGGCATGAGAGCCAAACAGCATGGCTATCTAGATCGCTAAAACCAACCATAATTCTAGGAAGCATTTCCTAGCATGACAAAGTCAGTCTTCTCTTCTGTGGTTCTGCATCTCAGGCTGGAGCTTTGCAGCACTGAACAGAGCCACTACAGCAAGTGAGCAGGCAGGACAGCCTTGGGTCAGAAAACTCAATTTTTTTGTATCTCCATGTCACTTGGCTTCTTAATGTTTGTGCAAACCTATTTGTGATTCTGATCCAGCTGATTCAAGGACAGACTGAGCCCGGTTTAAAAACACACTCCTGCGTCTGCCAAGCTGTCACTGTGTTGGTTGACAGAGGTCAGCGCTGAAAGAAGAAATAGCGCCAGCTACTCAAATGTGACAGAAAGAATAGTGATGCTGTATTCATATATATACCCTTAAAATAGAAAAGTTAAGTCATTTGCTGTGTTTACCGACAAAACTGTTGATTTCACCCTTTGGTTATGTAGTTCCCAATCAAGTCAGTAGCCAAGATCCAAAGAACAACTTTTGGTGCAACTAATGACTTGCATGCATTTGGTGTTTTGGGGATGGGGCAGAGAGAACAAGGTTTCTTGAAAGGGGCAGCATTCTTACCATTGCTCCTCCTCCTTTCAAAAATTACTGGAGAAGAGCTTTCCCCTCAGTGTCTGATGAAGTTTGCCTTCAGCTTTTACTGCCAGAGTAGGAAACCAAAACAGTCCATATGAGCATCAAACAGAAAGCGCATTACATCTCCTCAAGTCAAGAGTGAGCTTCCCTTTAAATACACCATGCCTTGTGGTGCCTCTGCCCTGTGTCTCCAAGCCCTTGGCATCTGAGGTTAGGTTACAGGAAAAAAACAAAACAAAACACTAGCACTGCATATTTCAACAGGTTGCATTGATGGAGTGCTTCTATTGCTTGGTGCAGGTTGAGCGCCCTGCCTGTTTACCTGAGTTGGCTTTCCCTTTTGACTCAAGCAAAGCTGGGTCCGTTGATCGTTCCTCCGCCCCTTCTCTTACCCCCTTTGCCAATCTCTCCACTCAACACCAAGGTCCTACGTGGGCTGAATAAGAGGTGAATTGCCCGCAAGGAGGTTGCTAAGTCCTGATAAGGCTTGGATATTTGAAGAGGTTATCTCCGTTGCCTTTGGTTAGGTTTCCCCAGCAGTTTTGTTGGACTTGATCACGGCCTCGGTGGCTTGTTCCGGCAAGCGGGATGGGTCAGAAAGAATGGAGGTGGTAATACTTAAGTGACGAAGCGTGCTCAGAACCACTGGAGTGACAAAAGAGGCAAAAACAACGGTACTTAAATTACTTGAATTCTCAAAAGAAGTCACAGAAAGCGCGACAGAATTCCAGCAGAGAGGCCATGGAAAGAAAAATCAGAACACTGTACCAGATTTGGAGCTGTGGAATAGATTTCAGAGGAAGTCCATCGTAAGAGTACTCTATTAAATTCTAACCGACACTTCCAACATAAAGGAAGATACAGCTAATTTTATCCATTATACAGAATGTTGCACATTACTATTCTCCTAAAGTCATCGTTTCCAGTGCTACTCCATTATGGCTGCATTCAGATATTAAAAATAAACTCTGGTTTATCATGTTAGAAGTGCCCCCAGGCAAGTCCTGATTACATTCTCCCCCAGCAATAAGAGATGAGAAGCCTTTTTAATTTTGATGGATTAATGTGAGATTTACATTCTAAATTGCATGCGTCAAACTCAAAGCCTGTGGACTGAATCCAGCCTGCAACGTTCTTTTATGTGGCCTTCCTCCAGATGCTAGACTCAAACTCCTATATTCCTCGTCAGTAGACATTATCACGACTAGAGCTAATGGGAGTTGAGATACAGTAACTTCTGGAAGGCTGTGGTTTGTACTGCTGAGTTAGGAGGGTGGGGTTTGGATTTAGACACAAGGCTTATAGATATGATGCCTAACATGTCCTTTAGCCTTTTCCAACCTCAGAGCCACATGGGCTGTTGAGCTGCAATTCCCGTTATCCCTAGTCCGCATGGCTCATAATCAAAATGGATGGGAGTTGTCATTCAACAACATCTAGGGACCCAAACTGGGTAAAAACGAAAATCCTCTGTATCTACAGATTTTCCATCCAACAGCCCTTTGAAAGCAACCATAAGGCTGATGTGGTTTTCCATGGAAATGAGTTTGACAGCCCTGCCCTAAACCATAGCGATGAGTCATCCGTTTGGCCACATTTGGAGAAAGGGACGAACACATAAGCTCAAGGACCTGAGGCAATTAACCATAATTTATTGGAATCAATAATGCTAAGGGAAGGATGATTTCCATAAATTAGCCAACATTATTATAAAACACTGACATGTTCCAATTCCAGCCCCATTCAATTATATGTTTGCACTATGACTGATTTAATGATATGCTTGCACTTCACTGTTGCTCACAGTAATTTAAGTACCTATTAGGAACATAACATGCTCATAATAGATGTACTTAGGCTCAATAATTAAATGGTATCTGTTAAGGTTGGTTCTCCAAATCTCTACATCTACACAAATCATCTTGCTTCCACTCCACACCTTTTCCTTTTATACCAAGGGTTTTTGGTCTTGAGTCACAAGGAGAGGCAGGTAATTAATAATAATAATAATTATTATTATTATTATTGTTGTTGTTGTTCTTGTCTGAATCATCTATTACTATAACTCTCCATAACAGCAAGGTGTGGACCATGTCAAGCCAAAGCTACCCTTGGAAGGAGGACATGAGTGGGATTTTGAGAGGTCAGCAGCAGAGAATAGGTGCTCTTCCACATCTAACACATAGAATGGGTTCCGTAGATACAAGAGAGGAAGACAAATCTGGAAAAAGGATATTTGAGTGCTATGATATCCTGAAAGGATTTCAACCACCAAGAGTTGTCTCCTACTTACTGGGCCGCAGAATGGGCAGGGAGCAGTGCTGGTCCACCCAGGCCAACGCCGTCTGATTCAGCTCCTCTAAGCTGGTCGTGGACACCATTTCATTGAATGTTTCAAACAAGGGGTTAATGATAATGCTGAACTGCACAGTTATTGAGAGTTAAGGAAGAAAACTAAATATACAGACTGACATTTCTGCATAGACAACATAAAAAAACAGATCAGAACTGCTGTGTGCATTCAGCTGAGGGACAACAAATGGTAGGTATGTTGTGAAAATTGAGCTTAAAATCAAGCCGTGGCAACCTTGTGCATGTCTTCAAGTTGACTGATGAATTTCAGAGGATCTTCTTAGGCAAGGAACCCTCAGAGCTGGTTTTGTCAGTTCTTTCCTCTAAAATAGGGCTTACAGTGCATGGCATTTATTGGTCATGTCCCATCCAAGCACTAACCTTCTAAGATCAGACAGGACCTGATACCAAATAGCAAGGTTCTGAATGAAGCAGTGTTTCTCAAACATTGCTCCTCCAGGTGTTTTGGACTTCAGCTCCCAGAAATCCCAACCATCTTACCAGCTGTTCGGATTTGTGGGAGCTGAAATCCAAAACATCTGGAGAAGCAGAGTTTGAGAAACTCTGCTCTACCATTTTCTGGATGGTCCCTAGAACTGGGACAACTAGGGCAATGCTCTTTAATCGCCCACACTTTTGTCATTCTTTCTTAGAGATTTTTTACTGATGATTCCTGGAATCAGAATCTCAATTTGGGGAGCAATAAAATTGGACTGTGATGATTGTTTCTAACCAAAATATTTATGTTTGTCCCATGTAGAATCATAGAGTTGGAAGAGACCTCATGGGTCATCCAGCCCAACCCCTTCCAAGAAGCAGGAAAATTGCATTCAAAGCACCCCGACAGATGGCCATCCAGCCTCTGCTTAAAAACCTCCAAAGGAGCCTCCACCACAGTTCGGGGAAGAGGGTTCTTTCAGGATTGTAACATCATCTCAAGAGAGGGCAATATTGCCTACTACAAAAGCATTTGCAAATAAATGTAATGTTGAGTTCCCAAATTGGAATTGTTAACTGTGCATGATGAATATGAAGAGGAGGACACCGCTGAGAATACATACAATTTCTACAGATAGTCTAGTAACTACTATAGATTTTCTGGATTATTTCAATCATGTTTTTTCCAATGTTGTAAAATTCCTGGAGGTGAAATATGCATGACACATGCGAGGCTGTGAAGCAAAGCACAAAATGCTCCATCCTGTCAAAGTTGCCTCTAATAGAAATCACAGGAAGTGAGAAGTTACCATCTCGGCTGAAGCTAGAGAAACCCTGCCATCATGCCTCGTCTACTGAACAACTTCAAGGCTTCAGGTGAGCTGTCTCTTCCACTGACGCAACCAAATCCTGCCAGGCTTTTAATGGCATTCTTTGACCCAGAGGGCATAACACATCTAGCTGCTCTTTAGAAAGCCATGGCTGGATGTTGCAAACTGCTTCTTTGACCAAGATATACAACCTTAACCTCCTGGGGCTGAATAGCCTCATGCCCATTTAAATTCTTAATTTTTTAATTAATATTTTTATTTATATCCCACTTTTTCTCTCTAAAAAAAGAAAGACTCAAAGCAGCTTAAATTAAAACCAATAAAACACAATTAAAAATTTAAAAATAATTTCAATATTAACAGTATTAAAAATAAACAGTTAAAACCCTTAAAACCAATCCAGCACAGTTCACCTTCCAGCTCCTTAATCCCCAAACTCTTCTTTCTTATGAAAGCTCTCCTGCCTGAAAGAACAAACTGAGCAGAACTCTTAAGAGCTTACAGGGCAAGAGCCTTCAGGCAGACCAAGGTAACTTAAATCAATTTTTGTGGCACATAGGGCTGAAATGTTATTTCCATTAGAGCAGTCAGAATGATAGATGGGCAATGAAGTAGACTTTAGAAGGAGAAGACTTCCTAGATTATATACAGCAGGGGGAAAAGGATACAATCCAAAACTTCCAATTCTGTAAGGTCCTGTTTCGGACGTATTCTGCAAACATACTCCGCATCTGATCAAATCTCTGCCGCGTGATAGGGACTCCGGTGACAGGGAGCTGCTGCTGACAAGAGCTGAAGGTCAAGGAAAGAGCAGAACTCAAAACATGTTTCTTTCCAAATGAGCAAAAGACAGAAAGAGAAGGAAAGAGACTTTTCCACTGTAAAAGAAAAAAAACCAAAACAAAACAAAAAACAAACACACAGCTAGACTCCAGAGAGTATGGCATGTACCAAACACTGTGTCCGCTGGGTCTCAATCTAATCTGAGTTTATGACAAACCTGCTGACTGCTTCCATTTTGACCTGTCTAGTAGTCTTGTGCATTCGTATGGAATTGCTATCTGTTTCTGTTTTTCCCATTCGTATGGCCCCATTTCTGCTTCTGTCCGCTGCTTATGAATACGAGCACCTATACGAATGAGCTTTTCAGCCCAAGGTCCAAAAAACCTGAAGATTTTTGGACCTTGGGCGGCAAAGTGCCAGGGCCTGGCAGGGTCTACAGCCAGGCCTACAAACTTCCGGCGCTTGGCTATACGCCCTGCCAGACAAAAACGGCTACCATTCCCCCCCTTTTTTTGTTTCACTGATGTTTCCGTTCTGTGCCATCTGAATGGAACGGCAAGAAAACATGAAATAGACAAATGAAACGGGAACCAGGCCCATGACTACTATCTAGTTGATGATGATGGCAAGCCCTGAAGGCATGCATGGTGGGGCTTCAAAAACTGGTAGATTGCTCAGGCTGATATAACAAATTTATATTGCTATTATTACTGTTTTTGTTATTATATTTACTAGTACCCCACTTTATCTCTCCCAACAGAGACTCAAAGAGGCTTAACATAAAAAATTAGCACAAAATATACAAATATGCAAAATTAAATATGAATTAAATATGAACAATATTAAACATTTCACAACTAAAAGCCATACCAAAAGAGACAACACTTTCCTAGTACCATGAAGTACTGCATCTGAACATTTTGAGATGTAAACTAGGTTTGTCATATGTCTGGATTTCAATCACATAAGACCTTTCCACCTAAAATGGTACAGTTCAAATGTTATATCCAGGGAAAGACACAACAAAATTGACCTGTAGTAAGTTCATGACAGAAATGGGCTCAAAGACTTAAGATTATGCAGGAGTTTTGATGACATTTAAAGAGAGAGGACAGGTCAAGCAGCCTGTCTATAAGGAAAGTAACAACACCTAGGACATCATGTTTATATGCCAAAGAACCAGAGTGTGTGCTGGGAACAAGTTCCTGCAAAAATATGACTACTGAAATGTCAAAATTCCTTCTTTGCTATGGTTGATGATTTCCTATTTACTGTTATTTCACCTTTTTCTGCAAACTAGCTTCTATTGGGTCTACAATGCCTACAAAACGATAGAAGAGAGTGAGATATGTCAATTTAAACTTTGACCCCTCACATGATGGTGGCGTTCAGCTCCTCGATTTCTTCTCGGAGACGCTTGGCCTCCTCTTGCATCTGGGATCTCTCCTGTTGCAGCTTTGCAATGTACTCCGCTGTCTTCTGGAGTGTGAGGACATGGCTAATCTGCTGTAGACACACAAAGGGCACAGGCTCAGCTCAGCAGGTCTGTGTGCCAATAAGAAGAGCACAAGACTAGAACTAGGAGGATCTGGCTTCCTGGGTGATTGTGGGCCACTTATTCATTCTTCCAGCCCAAGCTACTTCACAAGGTTATTGCGAAAATAAAAGGACAAGGACCCACTGAGTGGATATGTCCATACTCACACTCGTTCCCCCCAAGGGTTGGTCATGAGGGTTCTGTGTACCAAGTTTGGAATTTATAGTTCATCTGCAATCAAAGAGTACTCTGAACACCACCAACGATGGATCTGGACCAAACTTGGCACACAGAACCCTCATGACGAACAAAAATACTGGAGGACTTTGGGGGGAATTCACTTTGATTTTGCGAAGTTGTAGTTCACCTACAACAAAAGAAACTGTGAATCCCACCAACAATGCACCTGGACCAACCTTGGCACACAGAACTCCCATGACCAACTGAACCTAATGGAGGGGTTTGAGGCAACTGACCCACCATGGTGGGAGCTGTAGTTCACCTTGCAGCCAGAGACCTCAGGGACCCCACTAATGATGCATATAGAGAGCAAATTTATCCAACATGACAAACTTTAATGGAGTTTCAGGGGGTTAACCTGGCATGATGTGAGTTGTAGTTCACCCACAACCTTATGCATTTTGTAGATTTTTTTAAAAAAAGACTTTTTTCAAATAAACCAGGCAATGCCGGGTATCCAAGTTAGTATATATATAAATTTCAATACACACACAGTGTGAGGCCCATGTTTCCGGACTTTGTGTGGATAGTAGCAAACCCCTATTTATTCCAATGGAGCAAATGACAGAGATACCAAGAACAGTGTCGCCTCTACAGGAGGTCCTAAGTAAATAAGGGAAACGTGGAAACGTGGATAAGGGAAATTGTGTGGTTGGAAAGGGGAAATAGTTCCTTACAAACCAACTTACCGATTTAGAGCTTGTTGACACCAAGCTGTTGAGAGTACTAAAACCAATCTTGATGTTGAACCTTCGCTTCTGTTCTGCTGAAATATGCTTCATCCTGTGATTCTGTGCCTGTGGAAATAAATACCAGCTCGTTTTAACACTTTCCTCATTTCTACCTCACATTCAACATCAGAAAGGCAATGGGACTGAAAGGCCCTTTCCTTCTGCCAGTTGGTAATGCCAACCCCATGGCAAATGACAAGAGAGGGGAGACCCCAGAACTGGCCTGGTGTTTGAGGCAGCAGAGGGGCAGGCCTTAAAAACACAGACCTTAAAGACCACCCCCTGAGGATCAGTTGTGGTTTTCCCTGAGCAGCTGTTCTGTGGGGATTGAGGGCTGGGGCTCTGTTCCGAAGTACATGGCGAGGCTTGCCCCGAGGGTTGACAGTCTCGGCCTTTGGGAAAAAAGGAGAGAAAAGCTTAATCAGTTCATGAGGGGACAAGTAAAAGGGCAAGCAGATAACGGATTTCATGTTCTGATCTTCAAAATGTGTTTTGTTAGGTTTTCTGATCTAAGGTTCCTCACAGGCATATCTGTTTCCATCTGTCAATGAGAGAGTTAGCAAGGCCTAAGAAGATTTCCCTTCCAAAAATGCTTCTGATTGCTCAACACTTTTGACCAACTCAAGACACCTAGGCTCCATTCTCAGCTTGCAAAGTCACATGGAATGAGAATGTGTTTCAGAATTCCTTTCAATGTTTAAGGATACCTATGTGAATGCATAATAGTGACACTTTCTGAGCACAGAAAGTTTTGAAAACCACTTGTGCCAGAGCATGCATGTGTTACAATTTCCATCTTCAGTCAGAGGCCCAAGAGCTGTAGCTATTTTTGCCTCTCCTTTCAATGTGCTCATTGCCTCAAGACCCCAGTTCTGAACAGTATGCATCTTTTGGATACTCAATAAACGCACAATAAACATGGAGGGAAGCTACTGTTGGGTGAATGCACTTTCTTGCAGATGGCCCCTGAACCCTCCAGTCAAAAGGAATGCAGGCACCACGGCGGACAAGAACCACACTCTAGTTCTGACCCTGGAGAGCTGGCACCAACAGTATTGGGCTGGAGAGAAAACCAGGTTGACTTGCTATAAGAAAGATTCATACACTCATATCTGCTGGCTCATCAAATCCAAATTGTGAGGTGACTCTTCATTATGGGATTTTTTCATATATTTGTACAGAATCAACATTTCAAATACAAAGATTATGACGCCCCAGCCAATGAATTCCCTGAAAAAGTCTACTTGGCACCAATACTACTACAGTTTAGGAGATAAGAAAACCACCGAGGGATTTTAACACATTTTACTCATTTAATGCCTCATGTGGGACATTCAGAAGGTAAGCAGAGCATTACAAGGTGAACCCAGGGCTAAAAACAAGGACTGGGAAACAAAACCAGGAGGACTTTGCATGCCCTCTGAGCCTTTGCAAAGATCTGCGCCTGAATCTTAAGAATCTAGTCCAATCCCATGTCAACTAAACCACTGCACAATGTGTTTCCTTTGATATGGATGCTATATTCCAGCTGTGGCAGCCCAGAATTGCGTTGGCATTTTTTGCTGCTGCATGACACTATAGAATCATGTTTAGTACGTAGCCTACTAGGACCCTTCCTAGGATTGTTAAGGCCATCTTCTCAATGCAAGTTTTAAAAGCTTCAAGGGATGCTTCCCTTCCAGGAGCTACACTTCGTCCACTTACTAGGCGAGGGCACCTGGCAGCAGGTTTTGTGGGGAGGGGGCTGTTCGCCTTTCACCAGGACTTCCTGGATTGAAGTGGGAGAAAAAAGATGTGGAACAGCCGCGGAGACCGCCTGGGGACTTGGAGGCGGCTGGCCTGGGCTGAGCAGAATACTGCTGTGGAATTCTGTAGCTTGAGGCACCTGGGAACAGAAGGCAGAGAGAAAAAGGCACGGCAAAGTCTTGCACGGTGGCCCCAGCCACCCGCCTCTGCCCTCCCCTCGACAGATGCTGGGCTTCTTACTCTGGGCATTCCTGATGGTGCAATGACCACACTGGGCTGAGACATTCTGGGGGCCAAAACACCATCTCTTTTCATAGCTGCAGGAGATACAATCACCGTTCTGGACGGCCCCTGAAAGGCTGCTGAAAAACAGAGCAGAAGATGGAACCAAGAGAGGAAAGGGATCCAGAGCATGGTGGCCTAAGGAGAATGTACCCAGAAAGTGTACTAATGTTGTCAAACAAGTCTGTAAAAGAACACAGAAAAATGCCATAATGCACCACAAACCAGGTCCAACCTAGTCTGATAGCAAACTGATTGGGTTCCCACAAATGGTGCAGTACCACAATTATCCTTTTTAGCTAGATGTACCATCTTCCCCTAAGAATCAACCTTAGGAGCAATTGCAGCTCCTCCTTTGCAGCAAAAGCCAGCCAGTCATGGTATTGATGGGCTCACCCTTGTGACAGTGTCAAAAACCGCTTCCTCCTCCGCCCTCCTGATATTAAAAGCATCAGCAACTAAATAACATGTTGGCATTTTGTAAAACAAAAGTAGACAACATGGAACTGGGTGAATATACCAATTCACCCAGTTCCCACCCAGTTCCCACCTGAAGCATGGAGGACAGGTATAAAAGAAGAAATTGGGATTGGAGGGACCTATGGGCATTGTTGAGAGTAAAGGTAGGGGTGGTGGTATATATGCGAGTGTATGAGTGAAACCCCAATTCTCCCTAGCCGGGGTAAAAGCTGTGGTTGTTGTCGGCACACAATTACATAAAATCCCAGAGCAAGCTTCAGCAGGAATGTGAAAAAGCATTGCACCCTCAGAGGGGTTACAGATCTGAATAAAACATGGCTTCAGCGCAAGACCTCCTTCAACAAAAGAGGCATTACAAGCAGATGCTTGCATATAAAAAAAAGGAAGCCATGAAAAACAACTGGGCTCAGCTTATTAAAGCTGTCAAAGAGAAAGACTCAGCCACTTTCTGGCATATTACATCAAATGCCCAAAGATCTGATCAACCTATTGTGGATTCCCACATCCCTCCGGGGATTTGGGAGGCATATTTCCAGGATCTCTATATGGACACCTCTACTGGAAGGGACTGTCCCAACCTCGATACAGAGAACCTTCCACCATGGCCACCTGTATCAGCTACAGAAATTAAGAACCTGGTTGCCCAACTACGATCAGGCAAGGCCCCAGGAGAAGATCTTATCCCAGCAGAGGCCATCAAGAACAACCTGGATTTCTGGACCCCCATCCTAGCCTCACTTTTTACATGTATTGACAACCATGGCCAAATCCCCAAGGATTGGGGGCTTGCAATCATTGTTCCCATCTATAAAAAGAAAGGGAAAAAGGATGATCCTGCGAACTATCGACCAATCAGCCTCCTTAACACTATCAGCAAGCTATATGCTAGACATCTACAATGGAAACTCCAAGATTGGTTGGAACAAGAAAGCATATTAGCTGAGGAGCAAGCTGGATTCAGGGAAGGTCGATCCACCATAGATCAGTGCCTAGTGCTGCAACACCTTGTGGAAAAATATTCCTCCCAAAACATAACCTCACTATATGCTGCTTTTATTGACTTTAAAGCAGCATTTGATTCCATCTCGCGAGTTAAACTCTGGGAAAAACTGGAGAGTTCTACAATTGATCGCCGTCTATTATATCTAATACGCCAACTTCACGAAAAGACCACACTCAAAGTAAGATATAACCCACAGGGCCACCTCACTGAGGCTGTTGAAACAGGCAAGGGTGTCAAGCAAGCTGCGTCCTGGCCCCTTTGCTGTTCAACTTTTATATAAACTCCATAGTGGACCAGCTTCAAAATATGGACTTCCACCCCCCAAAGCTGGCGGGAAGACACATCTCCATCCTGCTTTATGCAGATGCTGCTGCTGTACTCTCTAGAACACCCATTGGGCTCAAAAGAGCTCTGAGAGCATTAATACAACATTGCAACACAGATCAGCTCCAACTTAATTACAATAAAACCAAAATCATGGCTTTCGCTAATAGGCCCAGGACTTACTCTTGGAGCATAGATGGTCATAAAATTGAACAAGTTACATCCTTCAAATATCTAGGTGTAGTTTTCCAATCTAATGGTAGCAGAAGAGCTCATGGGGATCAAGTAGCCAACACTGCGCAGGGGAGCTCAATTGCCATTCTTAAATATCTTAAGTCAAGAGGGGGCCACTTCACACTGGCAGCGCTCAAGCTGTTTGAAGCCAAGTCATTAGCCCAACTCTTGTATGGTGCTCAGCTGGGCCCCTTCCCCAGTTTTGCCCCATTAGAGCTGGTTCAGTCAAAGTTTCTGAGATCGGCCTTGCAGGTCCCTAAATGCGTTTCTAATGCCACCCTGCGACTAGAGACGGGCTTTATGAGAGTGGAGGCCAGGGTGTGGGTGGCCATACTCAACCTCTGGCTCAGACTATCCCGTGCACCCTTTGGTCTTGCCCCACTAACCATGAAGGATGACTTCCAATCCACATGGAAGCAGGCGGTAGCATCCAAAATCTCCTCATTGGGATTTTCTCCAGGTCTACTATTCGCTATGGATTACAATCAAGCCAAAGCACTTATTAAACAACGTATCACAGACACAGAGCGACAACTAGATCTGGCCTCGGTTCCAACCTTCCTTATCAATGAAGACAGCAGATATCTTGCCTCCCCTATGGCATATTTAACCAACTTAGAGGTTCCCATTCATCGAAGGGCTTTCACCCTGGCTCGATGCCACGCTCTCCCATCAGCTGTACTCGAAGGCCGCTACCGGAAGATCCCTTTCCCAGAGAGACTCTGCCCCTGTGACTTGGGTCATGTAGAAACAATAGAACATGTGCTCCTCCAGTGCCCGTTCTACAGGGATATCCGTGCCAGGCTTATCTTACCTCTGTTATACAAGCACCCAGGCCATTCAGGACAAGGGTTGTTTTAGGTTTTTCCGGGCTATATGGCCATGTTCTGGAGGCAATTTTTCTCCTGACGTTTCGCCTGCATCTATGGCAAGCATCCTCAGAGGTAGTGAGGTCTGTTGGATATAGGACAATGGGTTTATATATCTGTGGAGTGACCAGGGTGAGACAAAGGACTTTTGTCTGCTGGGGCTAGGTGTGAATGTTTCAGCTGATCACCTTGATTAGCATTCAATGGCTTGGAAGTGCCTGGGGGGAATCTTTTGTTGAGAGTGATTTTATGTGCCTGTTTGTTTCCCCTCTGTTGTTTTGCTGTTGTAATTTTTGAGTTTTTTAATACTAGTAGCCAGATTTTGTTCATTTTCATGGTTTCTTCCTTTCTGTTGAAATTGTCCACATGCTTGTGGATTTCAATGGCTTCTCTGTGTAGTCTGACATGGTGGTTGTGAGAGTGGTTGTGAGGTTGTCAGCAAAGGACAAGAGGGATCCTCTCACCTCTGCAGGAGTCTACCGTGTATCATGCAGCTGTGGACAAGTCTACATAGGGACCACCAAACGCAGCGCCCAGACACGCATCAAGGAACATGAAAGGCACTGCAAACTACTCCAACCAGAAAATCAGCCATAGCAGAGCACCTGATGAACCAACCTGGACACAGCATATTATTTGAGAACACAGAAGTGCTGGACCACTCTCACAACCACCATACCAAGTTTGTATGAAAATGTGACTATTTCCTGTGCTGGTCAATGACCGAAATAAATGATTTGATTTAATAACATGGCTCCAAATCACTCCTGTTGCACTAGGGATCTATGGAACTCTCAACATAATGTATTCTAGGATGCATTAAGCCCGTAGTTTAAGATCCATCACATGCATCTTGTCAGAAATGACAAGGTCCAATGGGCAACTCTTGGAATTGCATACATTCTGGGAGTGTGCACTGCTCCTCAATCACATAAGATATATTTCGTCCTTGGTAATACTGAAAGTCAGCTATCTTTTTTCCATCTCCATGTCTCCACATTACATAAGAAAAACTCACAAAAACATAGGAACAGCTCTGGCAGAGAAGCTAACCATCTTGTGAAGGAGGAAGCAAAGATCTTAACCTTTTCTTCATCTATTCCGCTCAAGCATTCAGAAGCCTTAAATAATTAAACTTGGGAAGACATCAGAAGCAAGCCTATCACTTTCTACTCCAAGTGGCAGAACAGCTCTGAAGAACTGAGGAATAATAAAACGGCCATGGCTCCTGGGTGTTCCTGAAGACCCTACATTTATTTGCTCCAGGATGTATGTCTGTCCCTCAGTTCAGAGGGAGAGCTCATGCTCTACATGCAGGTCACAGTTTCGATTCCCAGTATGTGCAGTTTTAAAAAAGGGATGACAAATGTCCTCTGCCAAGCCAACCGAAACATAACTTGGAAGGATTACCTTTTTGGGACCACAGCACTCAGAATGCCCCAACCAGCAATGCCACTGACAAATTGGTCTATGCATGGCCTAGCTTTATATATCTGTATAAAGCAGCTTGATGAGGTCCTGTGAATGCAGCTGAACAGCCAAGGACATTTTTTTACAGAAAGTATCGCTCAGACCTCTAAGAACCATTGGTTTGTGTCACAGAACCACTGCACACCTGCTGTCCCTTTTCCTCCAGTTGGTGTCACTGAGATAACTTCAAACATTGATCAGATCCGAGAAATTGTACAATTAATTCCATGTGTCCAAGGAGGCTTTAAACATCCTGCGTGCATATAAAGCAATTAAATATTTAGTTCTCCCTGTTATAAGGGAGATGCCTCTAAAAGATAGCTGCTGAAGAATAACATGACTTGAGGGTGGGCTAATGGGGATCCTGGGATACTTAGATGTAACCTAACCCATTGTATATGTTCATACAGAAGGCTGCTGTTCACATTTCAGACCCCCTCCACACCAGATTTACATCCAAGATTACTGAACTCACCTAAAGCAACATCTTCAGATGCTAGTGTCAGAGGACATATCTGTTACTTTCTGGAGATAGCTAATAGATAACTAGGCCCTAACCTTCTTATATAGAAATGTAGTTCTTTCAATAGTTTTTGTCACTTTTAAAGCTTGACTCTGCTCCTGAATTTGCTGGAGTTAATTCAGTCCACTGTTAGGCTCAAGAAGCTTCTGATTTGCTAAACTGCTGCTGTTGTTGATTGACTTTTAAAATGTCTTTTTCTTCTTGAAATAAGCCAACACCTCATTACTACCTCTGTACAGGAATCCTGGCCCATTTGTGAGGAGACACATTTACAATCCCGATCCCACCAAAACGGGGTGCCTTTACCACTCACCTGGGGCAATGAAGGCATTTTTCAACACCAAGGAGACTGTCTCTAGCTTTGGGGCAGGCACTATCTTTTGCGGCTTCTTGGGCCTCATCCTGGAGCCAGCAACAGGGAGGACGAAGTTTGTGTGGGGCTGCAGCAGAGTTTGCTGTTGGGGGACCGCAGCCTGAAGGGTCAGGTTGCAAGGCACTCCTCCCGGCTGCTGGGTTGCCAGGAGGCCAGCCTGGCTGTGGCTGAAGGTGGTGGCAGGGACATTCCGCGTCAGGGTAGCCGAGGCTGTGTGGGTGATCACGGAAGACTTGCAGAGCCCAAACTTGGGGGGCTCTGAAGGAGCAAATATGGGCGTCTGGGAGGTCAAGCCAGCATTCAGAGGCAGCGAGGCCTGCTGCAGTTGGGATGGCAGAGAAGGAACACCTGGCTGCAGGAGCGGAACGAGATCCGGGAAGGGAGGCAGGAATGGAGGCTGGCTACTCAGCGAAGGTGTGGAACTGAAACCGGGCGGCTCTAGGAAGGAGTCCCCACTCCTCAGGTTGAGGCACTGGTCGACACCAATGTCCACCACACCAGGAATGATGGGAGCAGGCACTGGGGTGGCAATGAGCCCTTCACTGAGGTTGACCGGGGGAAGAGGGCTGGATAAAGAGCCTGGAGATAGGTCCGAAGTCTGAAAAGGAATTTAGGAGGGAGTTTATTAAACATGGGCTAACAGTATCCAACAGCTACAACTAATTCCCTAAGATAAACATGAAGTAATATTTCTAGTTACTGGATTCTAATTTGTACATAAAAGAATTGAAATCATGCAGTTTCCAGTTACATGAAATAACAGTGAACTATGCCCGCTAGGAAGACTTATCTATATCTAATTATATAGATTTGCCCAGTGATCACCTGCTGGCAGGCTAGAAATTTAGATATACAATCAAAGGTTGCCTGATCTCATCTTTCATCTAGAAATTATTTCTAGAAAGCAAGCTTACAGAGTCAGACAGGTTGCTTACTTGTAACCATGTTTCAAGTGGTACTCTGTGAATGCACACATATGGAGTATCTGTGCCTGCGCAGGCTCCAACAGAAAACTTCTTCCAGCTGAATCTTTTAAATTTTGGTGGTAATCCAACCCACTCCTCCCAGGGCATAAAAGGGAGCCCTAGCTGCACACCCCCCAGTTCCTTCGCCACAAAGGCAGTGAGAAAGGGGGAGGTTTGCAAGAGGGAAGGAAGGGCGGTTTTGTGTGGATTCAGAGAGTACCACTCAAAGAAACATGGTTACGGGTAAGCAACCTGACCTTTTTCTTCATGGACTCTGAATTCACACATATGGAGACTAGAAACCTAAAGTCTTGGTAGGTGGGACATATAGCAAACCAACACCAGTTAAGTGAAAACAGTACAACTTTATTTGTAACAACAATAAACTGTGAATGGCAGGGCCATCCCTTGTACAACAAGTGCCTTGAGAGGCTAAACACATAAAGTGAATCAGTATAAAAAATTATAGTAAGGTGTCAAAGTCTCATTAGGGTGGTAGTGCAAAGAGGGACACCCACATGGGTGAACTACTTTTGTAAACATGTAGGTTCCAATGGAAGAGTAGGTAAGGTGCAACGACTCAAAGTGCCATCAATTCAGATGGGCTGAGGTGATCGCCACAAGGAAGGCCACTTTCCACGAGAGGATGCAGAGGTCCAACATGGCAAGCGGCTCGAAGGGATGACCAGAGAGGTGAGAAAGGATGAGTTTCCCAGGGTCGGCAGATGGACTGGTAGGTGCAAGTTTACTGCATTTACTGCACTTTCTCTGGCAAGGGCAAGGTGCGAGGGCAAGATTCCATTGCGCCAAGGTAAGTAAGAAGTCCAGTACCATCGGTACTGACGACGTGACCAGGGATTGATCTCGGGATTGAAGGAAGTCCTGGAAACGAGCAAGCTTATAGGCATACACCTTTGTTGTTGCTGGCTTGTGTGCTGCACTCAGGATGGAGCAGAGAGCGAGTTGTAGAAAGTTTAAGTCACTACTCTCCATGCTGTGAGGTGAAGAGAGTGAACACCTGGATGGAGTAGGAGGCTGTGAGATGAAAAGAGTGAACACCTGGATGGAGTAGGAGGCTGTGAGGTGAAAAGAGTGAACACCTGGATGGAGTAGGAGGCTGTGAGGTGAAGAGAGTGAACACCTGGATGGAGTAGGAGGCTCTGCTCCCTGGTGAGGAGGCTCTGCTCCCTGGTGAGGAGGTGAGGTAGGGTGTGCAGGACGCCTCAGGATAAATCCAGGCATCATGGCTGTAGAGGCCAAGTCAGGGCTATCAGGATGCAGTTTGTGCTGGAGAGTTGTAACCTTTCTACCACTTTGAGAATAAGTGGGATTGGAGGGAACAAGTAGAGGAAGGCTGACAACCAGTCAAGGAGAAACATATCTCTGAGACACCTGGGTCAGGGCCTGGGTCGTAGGGAAGTCACACCCTGTATCAAGGGAGTTGTGCATTCTGGGGGGAAGGCTAAGAGACCAATGTCCGGCCAGCCCCAGTCATCGAAGAGAGTGTGGAGTTCCCTTTGGTCGAGTTTCCACTTGTGGGACATTGTTTTTGTCCAATTGAGAGTGTTTGTGAGATTGTTCAGGGTCCTATGGAGATGAATGGCAAAAATGGTCATAGAGTGGTTGCTACACCACTGCTGCAGGGAAAGGGAGCGTTTCAGGAGTTGCCTATTTGTTGATCTAGTACATGGCTACTGTGTTGACCATCAGGATTTGGACAGTCTTGTGTGTGACCAGTCAGGCAAAAGCTCTCAGGGCTTTGAAAATAGCAAGGAGCTCCAGGTAATTGATGTGATGGAGCCTTTCGTGTTTCGACCAAAGGTCCTGTATGGTAAGGTCTTTGGTGTGGGCTCTCCACGGAAAAGTGGAAGTGTCAGTCATTATCGTGACCGAGGGCCGTTGTGGGTGAAAGGGCACACCCACACCTATGTTGCACCGAGATGTCCACTAGTTCAGGAGGAGGACAGGTTTTGGGATTGATAGGAATCTCGAGTTGTGGTGTCGAGATGGGTTGAAGTGGTAGATGAACCGTCTTTTGAGCGGCTGGAGCTCGGGTCTCGTGAAGGGTGTGACGGTGAGACTGATGAAGGGTGTGACGAGGAAGACAGATTGCTCGGGCTTGAACTCTGTGATGGGAGTTGCAGCGATGTATCTCCTGTTGGACAGCAAGGATACCTCTTCAGTGGGAGATGGAATTGAAGAAGGCTCTGATGAACTTTATCTTTGCTGTGGGGTTCAGATGGGATTTCTCGACATTGAGCTGGAGACTGAGGGAATCGCGAAATTGGAGAGTGGAGCTGACGTGGGAGTTGAGCATCGACAGGGAGTGAGCCACGATCTGCCAGTCATTTAAATAAGGGAAAAGTAGGATGCATTGCTTCCGGAGATGGGCTGCCATGACTGACATACATTTGGTGAAGACTCTTGGGGAAGTAATGAGGCTAGAGGGTAGGACAGTGAAGGTTTGGTGAAGGATTTTGAAGGACAGGTAGCATCTGTGAGCGGGTCAAACCGCCAAGTGGAAGTAGGCATCTCTGAGATTGATGGATGCGAACCAGTCCCCTGATCAAGGAGGGGAAGGACTGACGATACTGTAACCATTCTGAACTTTGTCGACAGGATGTAAGAGTTCAGGTCCCCTCCTCAGGATAGTGAAGAACCTGGAGCAGAAGGCCAGTATGTCCAATTCTGAGGGGGAAGTTGTATAGCCTCTTTTGACAATAATGTGTTTACCTCTGTGAGGATTTCTGGAGATGACTCTGTATCAAGGACATGTCCTGTTGGGGGAAGGTCCTCTAACTCCAAGACATAGCCTTCTTTCACAATCTTTAGCACCCATGCATCGGAGGGGATGGATTCCCAGACAGGGATGAAGAGGGACAGGCAGTCGCCAAATTGGGTGACATCAATGAGATGAGTTGGCTGAGAGGTGAGGGAAAGTTGGGGTGGAGTTGGCAACAATAGCGGAAGTGGAGACGATATTGTCTGGTACACCATCAAACACGACATCGAGATTGGTTGTTTGAGCAGCCCTTACAGCCTCTGTGCTTCTAGGCCTGTTGAGGGCGGCGTGGTTCCTGCTAAGGAACTGGGGGGGGGGGTGTGCCTGCAGCCTGGGCTCGCTTTTATGCCCTGGGAGGAGTGGGAGGGATTACCGCCAAAATTTAAAAGATTCAACTGGAAGAAGTTTTCTGTTGGAGCCCGCGCAGGCGCAGATACTCCATATGTGTGCATTCACAGAGTCCACGAAGAAAAACACTAGTGTCACTGAGCTAAATATTGTCTATCTCCCCTCTAGCTGTGGGTCTCTAACAGAAGCCTTTCCTTAAAAAAAGGAATAATCATAATCATGATAATCATAACAAGTTAAAAGTAACGTTAAAGTAATGTTAAAGTACCAGAGTCAATATCAATTTGTATGGTCATCTAATTGTTTGGCGACTTAGCCTGCCTGAAAAGCCATGTTTTCAACTCCCTCTGGAAACACTGAAGAGTGGAGGTTTGCCTGATTTCCCTGGGGAGGGCGTTCCAAAGCCGGGGGGGGGGGGACTGAGAAGGACCTCTCCCTCGCCCCCACCAGCCGCGCTTGAGATGGAGGCAAGACCAAGAGAAGGGCCTCCCTGGCAGATCTTAAATGTCTGAGCAGGTTCATGGGGGGGATGCAGTCACAAAGACAGCTGGACCCAAACCATGTAGGACTTTGTAGGTTATAACCTGCCTTTTGAATTGGGGTCACAAACTTGTCTGCAGCCAGTGAAGCTGCTTTAATAGGGGCATGGAATGCTCCATATAGCTAGCCCCAGTAAGTAGCCTGGCTGCTGACCATTGCACTAATTGCAGTTTCCGAGCCGTCTTCAAAGGCAGCTCAATGTAAAGTGCATTGCAGTAGTCCATTCTAGATGTAACCAAAGCGTAGATCACCATGGCCAAGTCAGACTTTTCGAGGTACGGTTGCAGCTAGCGCACCAGTTTTAACTGTGTGAAGGCCCTCCTGGCCACCACCGACATCTGAGCTTCAAGCCTCAGTGCTGAGTTCAGGAGGACTCCCAGACTGCAGACCTCAGGCTAGTGTAACCCTGTCGACCACAGGTTGCCACTCTATACCCCGATCGGCCTCATGACTGACCTCTGTCTTGTCTGGATTAAGCTTCAGCTTGTTAGCCCTCATCCAGTCCATCACAGCTGCCAGGCACTGGTTCAGGATCTGGAGAGCTTCCTTGGATTCAGGTGGAAAAGAGTAATAGAGTTGTGTCATCTGCATACAGATGAAACCAAACTCTAAAACTCCAGATGACCTCATGCAGATGTTGAAAAACATGGGGGGAAAGAATCAAATCTTGCAGGACTCCATAGGTCAATGGCTAGGGATCCAAGAAGGTGTCCCCCAGCATCACCATCTGGGTACAATCCTCCAGGAGGGAGTGGAGCCACTGCAAAACAGTGCCCCCAACTGTTCTTGCTATTGTTGTCCCCTAGTCTTACCTGGGAAGAATGAGTACAGGCATCTGCCATGGCAGAACTGGCAGTAGGCGTCATGGCACTGAAGCAGTTACTGGAACGATTTGACATGAAAAGTTCTTTTTAAAAAAACAGAGGAAATATTTCAGTTTCATCTGGATACTCCCACTGATTTGATAGCTTTGTTGCTGGTAAAATATCTTTTTTGACACACAAAGAAACTAAAAGCAGAAAGAACAGGAGCCTCTGGCACACAAATTAAATAAGAACTAAAATAAGGGATGTGCTACTTTACAAATGAAGTCCTTCTCAAACTTAGTATCTTGGACAAAGACCAGAGCCAAAAGTGATACCCAGAGCAGCTGAGTGGCTTAACAGATATCATTCTAAACATTCTTACTGAACCTTTCCAAAGGTGATAACATTACAGATTTCAAGCCAAAGTAAGTATGATGATATAGGAATCTTCAGGCCAAAGAAAGGCCTATTTCTCCCAAATTGATACGTCTGGAGCTGGGCTGTGACACAAGAAGTGATACAAGCCCTGACCTCTATGTAAAGAGCTCAATAGGACCATGACTCCCTGATGTCATCACACTTTCAGCTGTTATTGAGCAATCTGGAAGTCAAACAATACATCTGAACAGAAGTGAAATATCATACTAACATACTACTGTACAGAGCTGCATAAATGCTATCTGAAGAAATTGAGGCTAGCAAATAGAATGTATTGTTTCTGTAAAAATTCCTACCTTGAAAAAGTTCAAAGGTATCCATACAGTTGGGCTGGAGAGGAGTCAGTCCTGGCTGAATCATGTCAGCATTGCCTAAATGTGCTAAAAAAGTTCAGAGACAGTAATGAGAAATTCTGAAGTCCTCGAGAGCAAACAAGTCCCCCTACAGCACAGAAAACTCTTGTAGACGTGGAAAGCAGGAAGAAAGTGGCTCATATAACAGGATAGTCTAAAGATGAAACAAAGGAAGACAATTTAGTCTCCAAAGGATACGTTTTAAAAGAGTAGTTATACCAAGCCTTTTGCACCACAAGAAAACAAGGGGTCCCATGTTCGCCAAAGGACTTTAAACAATTTATTGAGGCCTGAGTATCATTTTTTTTTCAAATACACACTCCTTATGGCAACGCCAGACTCTCAGTTGTTATTCCTGAAAAAAGGTGGAGTGTCTAATGTGTTTAGCAACAGGGCAACCAATTCCAATTTTCCCTTTGGAGTTCACTCTGTAGAAAGCCTTTCAAGAAAGAGTATTTCTATGAGAGGAATATTGTTTTGGACTGGGCATTCTCTCATCAAGGGTTTTCACGAACCAAATTTGTCAGGCTTTTTAGAACACATGAAGATACAAGAACAGTCTGTCTAAATATTCCTCGTCCAGTTTCAGATGTGTCTGGGAGATACAAGCCACAAGGAGAGACGGGTAAGAAAGGTTGCTTACCTGTAACCGTATTTCTTCGAGTGTCCATCTGTGAAATTCGTACCTATGGGTTTTCCCTCGCGCATGCGCAGAAATCCGGAACATTCTAAAGTTTAATGAATTTTTAAATGATTATTTTGAGAAGTACAAGCTCCACCCATCTCCCCCCCCCCCAATATATGTGCCGCGCGGTGCGGCTGAGCTCTAGTTCCCCAGTGCTAAACAGCGGCTAGGATAGAGGCATGACAGAGGGGAGGACGGGTGGGTTGTGCGAATTTCACAGATGGACACTCGAAGAAATACGGTTACAGGTAAGCAACCTCTATTTCCTTGTCGTGTCCTCTGTGAAATGCGCACCTATGGGTGAATAGCAAGCTGCTGACCTGGAGGTGGGTCATGCCACGCAGGAAAAAAGAACTGCTCTGCCGAAGGCGACATCCTTCTTTGCTTGTATATCCAACTTGTAGTGAGAGGCAAATGTGGAAAGTGTAGACCACGTAGCTGCTCTGCAGATTTGTTCCAGAGGAACTCCTCTTAGGAATGCTTGGGATGTGGACACGGAACGTGTCGAGTGTGCCACGAGGTGAGAAGGCAGTTCTTTACCTGCCAACTGGTAGGCTAGTCGGATCGTTGAGACAATTCAAGAGGCCAATCCTTCTGAGGACACAGGATGGCCTAGCATGTCTTTCCTGTATTTCAAAAACAGCTTAGGAGACTTTCTATAGGTAGATGTTCTATGTAAGTAAAAAGAAAGTGACCTTTTAACATCAAGGGAGTGTAAAACTACATCCAACGGGGAGGATGGGTTGGGAAAAAAGGCTGGTAGGATAATGTTTTGTGACATATGGAAGTGGGAAAGTACTTTAGGGAGAAAAGTGACATCGGTACGAAGAACGACCTTGTCATCGTGGAATCTAATATAAGGGGGGTCCGAGCGGAGGGCTGTGAGCTCGCTGGACCTTCTAGCAGAGGTGATGGCCAGAAGGAATGCTGTCTTCCATGACAAGTGGGATATATTGTTAGAGGCCATAGGTTCAAAGGGTGGCTTCGATAACTAGGATAACACTAGTTCTAGGCTCCATTGAGGGGAAGGAAGGGAGGTGGTAGGGTGGATGTTTTTATAGCCCTTGAGAAACAATTGAATTACGTGGTCTTGAAAGAGTGACGGCAAGCCAAACTTCCTCCGAAAGGATGAAATTGCTAAGTAGCATTTGACTGAGGAAAGGGAAAAACATTTATTAGAGACATGTACTAGGAAGTCCAGTACTACAGGGATAGGTGCAGAGATAGGATTGTATCCAACTGATTGTGTAAATGATTTGAAGGAGGACCACTTATAGTTATATGACTTTTTAGTGGTTGGCTTATGAGCAGCCAGGAGTATGCGTGATACTTCCTCAGATAGGTTTACCGTAGTCTGATCCTCCACGCCGTCAGGCGTAGGGATTGGAGGTCTGGGTGTAGGACCAGGCCGTTCTCTACTGTGAGAAGGTCCGGGGTCAGGTTGAGGTGGAGGAATTCTCTGTTGGAGATTTGGAGAAGGGGGGGCAAACCAGTGTTGTCGTGGCCACCAGGGTGTGATTAGAATGCAATCTGTGTTGTCTTGGATTATCTTGACTATGACTGGGGATAGGAGAGGGAGAGGTGGGAAGAGGTAGAGGAGGCCCGGGGTCCATTGGAATAGGAAGGCATCTCCGAGACAACCTGGGGATGCGCGAGGGTGGAGCCTCGCGCAGTAAAAAGGGCAGTGATTGTTTACCGGGGATGCAAAGAGATCTATCCTGGGTTTGCCCCACTTGAGTGTGAGGGCTCTGAACTGTTTGGGGTGCAGGTGCCACTCGTGGTTGTTTTTCGATGATCTGCTTAGGGAATCTGCTAGGGTGTTGTCCTGCCCCGGTAGGTGAATGGCTGTGAGAAGAATATTCCTCTGAATGCACCATTCCCAGATGCATGTCGAGATGGACAGAAGTGTCCGTGAGCGTGTTCCCCCGTTTGTTGATATAGTATTTGACTGAAGTGTTGTACGTTACAATTTGAACCATGTGGTTGGAAATGATGCGGGTGAAAGCTCAGAGAGCCTTTTCTACTGCCATCATCTTGAGTGCATTGATGTGGAAGTGTTGGTCCTGGGGGGACCAGTGACCGCTGACTCTGAATCCCTTGAGGTGCGCACCCCAACCTGAGTTGGAGGCGTCGGTAGTGAGGGACATGGAAGGACAGGGTTGGTTGAAAGGAATCCCTGATTGAACACTGTACTGCTTTATCCACCATGAGAGGGATTGGAGGACAGTGTGTGGTAGTTGGAGGATTCGTGACTGGGGGTCGAATGATCTGATGAACCAATTTTGCAGGGGCCTCATCTTTAGGTGGGCAAAGGGGGTCACATTTGTGGTAGAGGACATGTGGCCAAGAATAGATTGGATAGCCCAAGCTGATGTTTGTCAGGATCGTTGGAGGTCTAGGATAGACTGATGAAGCTTGAGGAAGCGGTCTTCTGGGAGGAAGGCCCTCTGGAGTGCAGAGTCTAATACGGCTCCTATGAACTGGACGCGTTGTGTCGGGGTCAGATGGGATTTTTCCTGGTTTACAACCAGACCCAAGTCCTGTAAGAGAGATAAAGTGTAATGAATATCGTTGCACATTTGAGTTTTGGAAGAAGAGCATAGTAACCAGTCATCCAGGTACGGAAAGACCATAATGCCTTGCTGGCGGAGGTGTGCGGCTATGACTGACATGCATTTCGTGAATACTCTGGGCGCCATGGATAGGCCAAACGGGAGAGAATTGAAGGAGAAGTGATTGTTTTGAACCGCAAAGGTTAGGAACCTGTGGTGTGACTGTCTGATTGAAGTAGGCATCCCGTAGGTCCACCGTTGCTAACCACAATCCCTCCGGGATGAAGGGAAGTATGTTAGGGAGTGTTACCATGCGAAATTTACACGGTGTAATGAAAGTGTTGAATCTATGTAGATCGAGGATGGGGCATAGCCCACCATCTCTTTTGTCTACTAGGAAGTAGCGAGAAAAGAAACAATCATTGGCATCATGTGAAGGGATAGCAGAAATTGCACCCTTTTGAAGTAGAGAGTTTACCTCTTCCCAGATGGTCTGGGAAGGTTGGGTGAGGAGGATGTTACCAACTGGTGGATAGTTGTCAAACTCTATAGCATATCCTCTTTCAATTATATCCAGGACCCAAGCGTCCGTGGCGATGGATTGCCATGTTGGAAGGAATGTGTGTAGTCTGTCTAGGTATGTAAGTGGTTGTGTGTGTGTGGGGGGGGGGGAAGGGTGGTGATAGGTAGAGGTGTGCTAAAAATGACGTTTGTTGTTGTTGGAGGGTCTGGTACCACGGTACTGACCTCTAGAAGGAAGGGGAGGTCGTCTTGCTGCTGCAGAGGGAGCGTAGGGCCTCTGTCGTCCCCTGTAGAATGAGGTGTTGTAGGGTCTATTGTAGAATTGGGGGCAGTAGTAGTAGGATCCCCATTGCTGGCGTTGATAGGAGTATGGCTGTTGGTCATACTTGTATACTGTTTGTTTCATTTTATGGGAATGTTCTAGTTGCGAATCTGTTTCAGGATTGAAAAGCCCTGCTTCATCCATGGGGAGGTCCTCGATAAGGGTGCGTTGTGATTGAGAAAGGATAGCCGCCCTTAGCCAGGCATGGCGGCGAAGGGCTACTGACCCTGCAATAAGGTTACCTGAGGTGTCAGCAATGTTTTTTGAAAGGTCATTTTGTAAAGAGGCCAAAAGAAGGGTTTCTTATTTAAAGGCCATGGCTAGTGGTTGTTCAGTTGGAGGTAATAGGTCTAAATAAGAAGATATTTTGTTCCATACACTCCATAGTGAGCCATGCGTGCAAAGAGGCATGTTGAGGAATAAAAATTTTTGGCCATGGAATCCAATTTCTTCCCTTCTTTGTCAGAAGGGGAAGCCTGATTTCTTTGAGTAGGTTTTGGTTGAGCATCAGAGTTTGCTTTAGGCATTTCAGATAGCCATGAAGCTGAGGATAGATCAATACGGTACAAGTTTTCTGCCCTTTTGGGGGTTGCCGGGACCATAGCCGGGGCAACTCCAGTATTTTTAAGGACCTTTAATAGATAAGGTAAGGTGGGCAACACAGTGGATGTAGGTTGTTGTTGTTCAGTGGAAGTAAAGCATGGGTCAACTACTGTATCTGTAGGTTCAGGAATATTTATTATTTATTTATTTACCTTACTTATATACCGCTGTTCTCAGCCCGAAGGCGACTCACAGCGGTTCACAACAAATACGAACAGCAAAAATTCAGTGCTACAGTATAGAAACAGTTAACAACCTAACACATTACACAATTAATAAACAGTTACTACAATACCCATTCACTGTTGTCTCGTCATCAAAAACATGTTCCAGATTCGTCATCCATTGTTCCATTCCAGTGTTCATTAACTAATCATTGCACTAATTATTCGAACGCCTGCTCAAACAGTAGCTAAGTTCAGGGCTCTGGAGAGTCTTATTAGTAGAGCTGAGATTTTTTTGAATTCTTCTAAGTTTTTAGGTGAGGGGTCAGGGTCCGGTTGGGGGTCTTGGATGGCTGGAGTGTCATTGGTGGATTCAAGGTCAATGGTTTCTGAATCTGGTTGGGGTTGGGGGGTGGGTTCCTGAAGGGATAGATGAGTTTTCATTTCAACCTGGTCTTCTGGAGGGTGAGAGAGTGCGGCTGTAGGAGGCGCATGGAGGGTTGTGGGTATTTGGGATCTGGTGGATAAGGGGCATTGAAACCCCTAAAGTGGTCGGGGGGGGGGGGTAATAAAAAGAATATGGTGGAAAGGGAGGGGGAGGGGGTAGAGGTGATAAGGATAATCATGGTATCCATAAGGGTGATAGTGCTCGGGGGAGCGAGATTGCACTCTCTTGGAAGGGGGGAGGGAAGGAGCTGGCGGTTCTGAATCAGGGGATGGAGAGCAGTGGTGGCGACAGGAAGGTTGCGCCGTGGGCGTGGGCTGTATTGGGGAAGGAGTTTCCCTCGGTACCAGAATTTGAGGAAGGTTTGGAGATGGGGAGGTGAGGTTTGGGAAGGAGGAAGCGGCGGGGGGGGGGGGGAGATCGAGAGATCGGCAGAAGGCTGGGCTTCTAGTTCCAGCTGAGGAGCTAGGAGTTCGAGCGGAGGAAGGTGGGAGGTATCCTCCATTTGGAGCATGGTAGGCAGAGGCTCCTGGAGATGTAACGTGGAACTGGAAGAGTGAGGCATCGGTTCAAGCATGGGAGGGCTCAAGGGCTGCGTGCCAGTGAGTTGCCGCCCCTTTTTCTGTTTGTTTGTTTTTTCCTTCGATTTCCCCGGTCTCGTGGCCTGTTTAGAGGGCTTTTGTTTTTTTCTCGACAGCTCCATAGTGGAAGCGGTTGCCTGTTCAGACTCACGCCTATCCCCAGCACGTGGGGAGGGAGGCTGGGAGGGCTCTTGTAGCGGGGAGGACTGGAAGGGGGTAGGAAGGGTTTGTAGAGCCAAAGTGCGTTCATAGAACAGAGCTTTTAAACGGGCGTCCCTGCCCTTACGAGCCCTCGTAGTAAAACTTAAACGAATCTCACATGATTGGAGATTATGGGATTCTCCCAAACAATGTAAGCATTTAGAATGTCTATCAGCCTTGGGCAGGGTGGCCCCCCAGGCTATTTTTGAAATAAAGGGAAGACATCTAGCCTGAGGGTAAGGAAAAAGAGTTGTCAGCCGGTCCGGGTCAGGAATGGAGAAGGAAGGTAGTCAGAAGGAGTCCAAATAGTCAGTCCAGAGAGTCGAGGAGAGAGATTGTTCCGAGATGCTGCCTGTTTAGCGCGGAAAAAGGAACTAGAGCTCAGCTGCACCGCGCGGCACATATATTGGGGGGAGGGGGGGGCAGGCAGATGGGCGGAGCTTGTACTTCTCAAAATAATCATTTAAAAATTCATTAAACTTCAGAATGTTCCGGATTTCTGCGCATGCACGAGGGAAAACCCATATTATTATTATTTATTATTTCCGTCACTTTTACCCCGCCCTTCTCACCCCCTAGGGGGGACTCAGGGCGGCTTACAGAGAAAGGCACAATTCGATGCCTTGACACATATACATACATATATAAAAACAATTAAGCAATTACAAATTAAAAATTAAATCATCAATACACAGTAATACTAAAAACACAGTAGTAGGCTAATCCTGAGCTCAGCGTTCGGGGATCCATAAATCCATTCCGTCTTGTCCAATTCCAGGTCGTCATCAAGTCTTTCTTTAACTGCCTGAATGTCCAAATGCCTGGTCCCACATCCAGGTCTTCAACCTCTTCCTAAATGAAAGAAGGGACGTTGCCGATCTAATCTCCCCGGGGAGTGAGTTCCACAGGCGGGGGGCCACCACCGAGAAGGCCCTGCTCCCCGTCCCCGCCAATCTCACTTGTGATAGAGGCGGGGTCGCGAGCAGGGCCTCCCCAGAGGATCTTAGATTCCGAGGTGGGACGTAGAGGGAGATCCGTTCGGATAGATACACTGGGCCGGAACCGTTTAGGGTTTTGTAGGTCAAAACCAGCACTTTGAATTGTGCTCGGAATTGGATCGGCAGCCAGTGGAGCTGACACAACAGGGGGGTGGTGTGCTCCCTGTATGTCGCTCCAGTGAGCAATCTGGCTGCCTCTCGCTGGATCAGTTGGAGTAGGTGCGCATTTCACAGAGGACACGACGAGGAAATAAAATTATTATTGTTATTCGAATCACAGCAAGTTGAGTCCACAGCAAACAAGATCACTATGCTGGCTTTTGTATTGGATCACACGTCAGACACTTCCCAAGTGTCTAGGACTGTGTGATGTATCGGTGAATAATGTGTGCAGATCTCAGTCGGGTGGCCTTTTGCAGCTGACAGATGGTAATTTTGTCAGCACCGATTGTGTTTAAGTGCAGGCCAAGGTCTTTAGGCACTGCACCCAGTATGCCGATCACCACTGGGACCACCTTTACTGACTTGTGCCAGTCTTTGCAGTTCGATCTTTAAATCCTTATATCGTGTCAGCTTTTCCAGTTGTTTTTCTTCAATCCTTCTGTCGCCTGGGATTGCAACATCAACGATCCATACTTTGTTTTTTAACAAGATCGTGAGGTCAGGAGTATTGTGCTCCAAAACTCTGTCTGTCTGAACTCGGAAGTAGTTTGAATTGTTCCTTTTCTGTAACTTTTTCAGGCTTGTGATCCCACCAGTTCTTTGTCGCAGGCAGATGGTATTTGTGGTACAAGTGCCAATGAATTATTATTATTATTATTATTATTATTATTATTATTATTATTATTAGACCATGACATTCTGCACATGTTTGGGGAGGCTGCTTCAAATGTTATTAATGAATTAATTTTTGAAATAAATTTTATTCAAAATATTTTAAACAATTGATTAAAAGAAAAGTAGATACATTGATGGAAAAAAATAGGTACACACATCTGGCTTCTTGAAGCCAAAGAGGAAAAATATAGGGTAGGAAGAAAGGTAAAGGGGTAGGAGGAGTGGGGGTAGGAATGGCTAAGGAAGGCAGGGTAGGGAAGGGGGATAGTTTCTTGACCTCCGATCTCCTTCCTGGTGGATTTAGTCTTGTCTCTCTTTACCCCACCCTCCATCTCCTTTCTTTTTTTTCTTCACCCATAGCTTCTCCTTTTCTTCTGACCTTTCTGAGATAATTCCTTTTAATTAGGTTGAATTAGTCTAAATTTTTATACTTTTTATTTTCTTGAATCATATAATCATTAAATGGTTGCCAATCCATGTTTTATTAAATTTAATTTCCTCTCGTGTCTCAATAATTGTGTTAATTTATCCGTGTTCATGACTTCTAGGATTATTTATTTATTTACTTGTATACTGCTTTTCTTACCGGGGGGGGGGGGGGGACTCAAAGCGGTATATGGCATATATATGGCAAAATTCAATGCCTCACATACATAAAAACCTAACATAAAACATTGGTGACATACAACTATCAATTAAATCATAAAACACAACGACATTTAAACATTAAAACGTGGGAGTTAAAAACATATTCATATAAACATTAAAATCACATACACTGTTCCCTCGCTTATCGCAGGAGTTACATTCCATAAGTGAAAAAGCACGAAACAGGGACGCCCCCCTCCCCTCCCCTGGTGGCGACCATGCGGCCACCCCCTCACCCTCTTTACCTTCCTCCTCCTGGCCATTGCTGGGGCCTCTTGCTGCCAAGCGGCAGCAAGAAGCCCCGGCAATGACCATGAGGAGGAAAAGGAAAGTAAAGAGGGTGAGGAGGGAGGAAGAGCCGCCCCCTCGCCCTCTTTACCTTGCTCCTCTTGGTCGTCGCTGGGGCCTCTTGCTGTTGTGGCGTACTGTGTTCCCTCAATATATATATATATATATATATATATATATATATATATATACACACACACACACACACACACACACACACACACACACACACACACACATACACACACACTGTGAAGCAGCGAGTCCACAGTAAGTGAACCACAAAGTAGTGAGGGAACACTGTAATCCAACAATCCTAGTCCAGGGCTGTTCCAAATATCAATATCTATTGCAAATAATCCTGATAATTCCTTGTATTGCTCACTGCCCAAAAGCTTGGTCCCATAACCAAGTTTTTATTTTTTTCTGAAGGCCAGGGGAGAGGGTGCTGATCTAATTTCACTGTTCCATAGCCAAGGAGCCACTACTGAGAAGGCCCCATCTCTCATCCCCACCAGTCATGCCTGCAAGGGAGGTGGGACCAAGGCAGGGAGCCATAGCCCTTTCAAAACATGTTCACTTAGTGCTAGTAGTTAACATGAAGCAAAGTTTGAAATAAAAGAGGGACGTTCATCTGTTTTTAAAAAATGGAAGGCACAAAAAGCAGCAAACCCAATCTTTAGAAATAACTTCTCTACAAAGGACACAGGCAAGATTTTACCTATCTCTCTGGGACTTGGCCAGACTGGCTGGTGAGAAGACAATGTGGAGAAGAGGGTGTCCGGCAACTCTGACATGAGCATGTCAGTGCTAAAGAGAGAGTCCAGTTCCATTGGGACCGGAGTCTCCCTGCCATAGCTCTCATTCTGCCAGAGCAGCATATCGTCATCCTGCAGAAGAGGAAAGGAAACTATTAAATGAGAGGGCCAGCAGTTGAACACAACTAGCAATGAGTCCATAAGGCATAAAGCCTAACAATTCATCCACATTTGAGAGAATTGTTATTGGCTACCTTTGCTAGTTGTACTATGCCACAGTTAGCATCTGAAACTGAAAAATCTGCAATTGTATTTAGCTTTTAATCACCAAGAAACTTTTTGTCCTTATCAATACTTGATAGATCCAGGCCTTGATTTTTTTATATGTCAATACTGGGACTTTTCCCTAAACAAATAAAACCAAGAAAAACTCAACACCTACCCGGACCAAACTGGAAAGGTCTTCATCTTTGTGCTTCTGCAACTGGAAAGGAAAAGGAAAAAATTGTTTTCATAATTACACTGCAGTTCTTGAACAAGATGTGGTTTTTTTTTCATATCTGTAGACCAGCCTTCCTGACCCTGGAGATGGGAGATAAACTTTGTGTCCAATGAACATCAGGAAGGCAACAAGTTGGGGAAGACTGTTTAGGGCCCCAAACTCCCTTTTTAGGAGGAATTTTTACTGGCTTGAATCAAAGGAACCTACAATCTTATTATTTGATTATCCTGTCTGACCAACTCACTTGAGCCACAGCTTTATGAGTAACACAAAAATACACAAATGGGGAAAACGTTACCACTACAGTAGAGTCTCACTTATCCAACATAAACGGACCGGCATAACACTGGATAAGCAAAAATGTTGGATAACAAGGAGGGATTAACGAAAAGTCTATTAAACATCAAATTTTGTTATATTTTTACAAATTAAGCACCAAAACATCATGTTTTACAACAAAGAAAAAACAATTCAATACAAGGTAACGTTATGTAGTAATTACTGTATATTTGAATTTAGCACCACAACATTGCAATGTATTGAAACTGCGCTGGATCCGGGCGGGAGGCAAACTGCATTGGATAATGCAGAACGTTGGATGAGCGGAGCATGTGACTTCAACCAAAGCAATTTAATTGCTGATTCTTATTTTCTCTGTTTTCACAATTCAGTTCTTTCATTGAAAAAACCTTGTCATGCTTGCTTAAGGCAATTCACTTTTTCCACCTTAAAAGAACAGCTGTAAGTAAGCATACCCTTTTTTTGAAGTACGTTCTCCACTTGTGATACTCTCGGATCACAATTTCTATCCGTCGTTTCCAATATTTCCCTTCTGTCGCAATAGCCTAAAACAAATCATAAAAATTGAGGGAGGAGGAGGGACATGATTGAAACAAAAAAGACCGGGAGTTTGCGCTTGGCCTCTACGGAGTTCTCATTCATACTTGCATACACATTCACTCACATAGTATAGCACAAGAAGCAAGGAGACACAGGAAGCATGAAAGCAAACTGAAGCTTCTGTCTGACCTACCTCAGGACGACGGTGCTCATCTACCTCCACAGAGCCATCCAAGGGAGTCACAAAATGGCACACAGGGTTCTTCCGCTTCTCCAGATCTACAAGAGAATTGAGAGCACTCTCAGAGCATAACCAGACCCTGTCCTGGGTCTTCTTCCCCAAGGCTCTTGCATACAACAGCTGGGGAATGGAAGACTTCTGCATTTAACCAAGTTCAGACAACAGGTTCCAGTAGATAACACTTGTACTTCTGCCCTCCCTGTGGATGCAATGTTCCTTGTTCTTTGTGTAACAACACTGACCTATTACAGCTTTTAAATACTTAATATGTAAAAGAAATAACATGTCACACAGGTCACAAATTGATGGATGCTTTCTGTCAAACACACAAAAACAGAGCCAGAGTGCTTGCTACTTACATTGGATGTACCAGGCCCTCCAGATGGCGTTGTTGAGCCGGATTTTGTCCCTGCATTGAAGCTTGAGGCCCTTGAAATTCTTCCACTTAGGAGAGACCAATTTGCCACTGCAACAAAGGACAGAACAGTAATCGTTTTAAAATAAAGATACTTATGAAAGTAAGCAGATCGGTAGGGTTGGCAATGCTGAAAGCAATCCAGCACCTTACACCAGAGCTTCCGCTCCAGAGCTAACAGACAGCAGACAGATTGTGGTGAACTTGTGATTGAACTCAGAACCTGTTTCTTTTGGATACTAACATAACTTTGTATCAGGACGACTATGAAGCTGTTTCAAACTAAGTTATTAGGGCTGGGTGCAACAGGCTCTCTCTTTTGTCAATTACCCAATGGAAGACTTTTTATTATTTTCTAGCTAAACCCGACCACCCTTCGCTGTGGCCCAGTCTGATATGAAATAAATGAGATAGTAAGTAAAAGTATTGCTGTCAACATAGATTCACCGAAAAAACACATCATTCAATTCAATACCCTGCCTTGCATTGCTGTGTCTATGTGAAAGGAAAGGAAAGGAAAGAAAAATAGGTTTTTAACAGAATTCATTTTTATTGTAAAGCTAGTGGTTTGACTACATTTTTGGGTTGTCCATTTTCTGCATAAACATAAAGATCAGATGGTTTAACGACTCTGGAGCATGCGACGTATAAGTGCGCCCGGGAGAAGCAATTGTTTTCTAAATTCAAACCGCACACTTGTAAAGATTTCCCCTTTATTTTATTGACAATCATAGCAAACACAAGGTGTATTGGAAATTGAAGTCGTTAGTACTTTAATGCCATGTTGGTCAGAATAAATGGTATGCTAATAGCAACCAAACACAGCTAAGCTTTCATTTCTTATACTGCTGAAGTGAAATGAAAGCTGCTCTGTGATTGGGTGGCATTTCTTATACTAGGTTCTTGTGGGTTTTTTCGAGCTATAGGGCCATGTTCTAGAGGCATTTCTCCTGACGTTTCGCCTGCATCTATGGCAAGCATCCTCAGAGGTTGAGAAGGTCTGTTGGAAGTAGGACAATGGGTTTATATATCTGTGGAATGGCTGGGGTGGGGCAAGGAGCTCTTCCCTGCTGCAGCTAGGTGTGAATGTTTCAACTGACCACCTTCATTAGCATTTGAAGGCCTGGCTGAGCCTGGGAAAATCTTTTGTTGAGAGGTGTTAAGATGTGCCTGGTTGTTTCCTCTCTGCTGTTTTGCTGTTGTAATTTTAGAGTTTTTTGATACTGGTAGCCAGATTTTGTTCATTTTCATGGTCTCTTCCTTTCTGTTGAAATTGTCCACATGCTTGTGGATTTCAATGGCTTCTCTGTGTAGTCTGACATGGTGGTTGTTGGTGTGGTCCAGCATTCTGTGTTCTCAAATAATATGCTGTGTCCAGGCTGGTTCATCAGGTGCTCTGCTATGGCTGACTTCTCTGGTTGAAGTAGTCTGCAGTGCCTTTCATGTTCCTTGATTCGTGTTTGGGCGCTGCGTTTGGTGGTCCCTATGTAGACTTGTCCACAGCTGCATGGTATACGGTAGACTCCTGCAGAGGAAGAGGATCCCTCTTGTCCTTTGCTGAACGTAGCGTTTGTTGGATTTTCTTGGTGGGTTTGTAGATGTTTGTATGTTGTGTTCCCTCATCAGCTTCCCTCTGAGGATGCTTGCCATAGATGCAGGCGAAACATCAGGAGAAATGCCTCTAGAACATGGCCCTATAGCCCGAAAAAAACCCACAAGAACCTAGTGATTCCAGCCATGAAAGCCTTCGACAATACATTTCTTATACTGCTGAGGTAAAAGGAAAGCTGTTTAGTGAGAGGTTGTTATTTCTTTTACTGCTGAGGCAAAAGGAAAGCTACACAGCAATTGGTTGCTAGAACTCAGTTTTCATTTGTTATACTGCTGAGGTAAAAAGAAAGCTAAGCTGTGAGTGGGTGCTTTGGGCATCACAGATTCCATTGTGCCTATTCCTGGACTGCCAGCTTTATGCTAAATAGGCCTGTTTGATCAAGAAAAAATTTGTTTCTAAAATCGATTTGTAATTGGGGTGTTTTTTTGTTTCGATATTTAAAATATTTACAAAACTTTCCAAAAAAAAGTTTTGGTATTTATGAAATTTTGTAAATATTAACGAAATTTTTAGAATATTTTTTGTATTTTTTAAGAATAATATTAAAATAATATTAAAAAATATTTTAAAATGGAAAATTAACCAAAAAATGGCCCAAATGTGGACCAAACACAGGCAGGAGACAGCAAATGAGAGCACACACCAACAGAAGAGTCTTTTCTTTTTTAGAATATTTTTAAGAATAATATTAAAATAATATTAAAAAATAATATTAAAAATAATATTAAAAAAATTTTAAAATGGAAATATTTTAAAAAAAATGGCCCTGATGTGGACCAACACACAGGCAGGAGACAGCAAATGAGAGCACACACCAACAGAAGAGTCTTTTCTTTTTTAGAATATTTTTTTTAAAAATAATATTAAAATAATATTAAAAAATAATATTAAAAAATAATATTAAAAATATTTTAAAATGGAAAATTAACCAAAAAATGGCCCAAATGTGGACCAAACACAGGCAGGAGACAGCAAATGAGAGCACACCAACAGAAGAGTCTTTTCTTTTTTAGAATATTTTTTAAGAATAATATTAAAATAATATTAAAAAATAAAATTAAAATAATATTAAAAAATAATATTAAAATAATATTAAAAGCAAGGCCATTCAGTGCTAATCAAGGTGCCCAATTGCAACATTCACACTTGCCTCCAACAGACAAGAATTCTTTCTCTCACCCTGGACATTCTAGCAGCCAGGCTTTGAAGCTGCAAGGCCATTCAGTGCTAATCAAGGTGCCCAATTGCAACATTCACACTTGCCTCCAACAGACAAGAATTCTTTCTCTCACCCTGGACACTCTAGCAGCCAGGCTTTGAAGCTGCAAGGCCATTCAGTGCTAATCAAGGTGGCCAATGGCAGCATTCACAATTGCCTCCAACAGACAAGGGTTCTTTCTCCCACCCTGGACGTTATTTCACAGGGATATAACCCCTACTTGCCTAGTTTCCAACAAACCTCTGAGGATGCCTGCTATAAGATATGAGAGAAACGTCAGGAGAGAATGCTCCTGGAACAGAGGGGTTTACCGGTTTAGCTGAGGAGAAAAAAAGAGCAACCAAGCGCGCGCCTGCCTCCCTCCCTCCGCCAAACGTGGCAGCCGAGGGCCGGGGCTGGAGGATTCTTTCTCCCGACCTGCCTCTCTCCCTCCGCCAAACGCGGCAGCCGAGGGCCGGGGCTGGAGGATTCTTTCTCCCGAGATGTACTCCTGCCTTAAAGAGACAGCACACACTGTTTTTCTCTCTCCCTCTCCTTTCGCCCGCTTGGAGAAGCGAGCAAGCAAGCAGCCCACAGCCAGGGATTTGGCAGCATGTAAGTTGCTTCAGCCGCCCCTGATGCAGCGCTATATCACTGTATGCAGCCGCATGTGGAGGAGGAGGAGGAGGAGGAGGAGCAGTGTTGGAAAACGGGGAGAGGGGAAAGAGGACGGGGAGAGCAGCCCAGGCCGGGAAAGAGGGGAATGCCAGGCAGGCCTAACAGCACTCCAGCAGCCTCCATCCCATTAACGAAACGAGCGGAAGCTCGTTAAATCTATGGGGGTTGCCGGTTCGATATTTTTAAACCCTTCCGGGTTTGAAAATGTGTTTTGATATCGCTTCAAAAATGCAAAAAAAAAACCGAATTATTAACGGATTAACGAATTAACGAACGAAATCGCACAGGCCTACTAAATACATGTGTATATTCGAATGCAACGTTGTGTAAAAATTAAATTTTACTATAAAAACACGCATGTTTTGGAATGCTATGTTGTGTCAAGTCAATCGACCGACTACTTTTCGAGTTCTGCGAGCACAAACATACGCAGGCTGAGATTTTATATATAAAGATTTTGTGTCAAAAGCATTGCATAAAATGTTGGAAATGGGTTTGAAAGATTATCTGTTTACAAGACACATTGCCCAGGGGACGCCCAACTGTATTTACTCAGTCTTCGAGGAGGCTCTTTCTGTGTCTAAAGACTGAGAAAGTGGCTAAGCCCAGCCTCCTGGCACACATTAGAGAGCTGGTCCAGAAATCTATATATATAAAAATGCTCTGTGCATAATGAGTACCTTAAAAACAAAAGAACGAAGGAACGAAATCACACCAAATTTGGCAACAAAACGTCTCACAACACAAGAAGTGACCATCACTCAAAAAATTATGATTTTGTCATTTGAGAGTTGTAGTTGCTGGGATTTATAGTTCACCTATAATCATAGAGCATTCTGAACTCCACCAACGATGGAATTGAACCAAACTTGGCACACAGAACTCCCCTGACCAACAGAAAACACTGGAAGTGTTTGGTGGGCATTGACCTTGAGTTTTGGAGCTGTAGTTCACCTACATCTAGAGAGCACTGTGGACTCAAACAATGATGGATCTGGACCAAATTTGGCACGAATACTCAATATGCCCAAATATAAACACAGATGGAGTTTGGGGGAAATAGGCCTTGACATTTGGGAGTTGTAGTTACTGGGATTTATAGTTTACTTACAATCAAGGAGCATTCCAAACCTCACCAACGATAGAATTGGGTCAAACATCCCACACAAAACCCCCATGACCAACAGAAAATATTGTGTTTCCTGGTGGTCTTTGGTGACCCTTCTGACACCCCCTGGTGACCCCCCCCCCCTTGGTGTGTTGACTTCTCAGGTTGAGAAATGCTGCCTTAAGGCCATCCAGTCCAACTCCCTTCACCAGAGCAAGAAAACATAATCAAAGCCCTCCTGACAAAGAGCCATCCAGCCATTCACACACACACACACATGTATGTATGTATATGGCAGATGCAGTATCAAAGATTTGAAAGGGACCCCTAAAGAAGGACAATGATATGTTGCATATTCCAGAGTAGGCAAACCAGACAATCTCCACATCAACACTGGCAAAGAAACAGCAAGAAATATTGTTTACCCACAACCATAAAGAAATTGCATATATTAG